ATTAACATGGTTCCATCATATGAAAATGCCACCCATCAAGAAAAGAATAAAACATTTTAATAAGGCTTAAGAGTAGACAGTCATGCTTACAGCCGATATCTGACTGTACTTACACTAGGCAACAACCCTGAGTCATGATTTCCTCATTAGATTTCTCACTGGTTTTTTGCTGCCTCTGAATCACAGGAGTCAAAACACCAGCCCAAACTGGAAATACTACCAGTTGGGTCTTGGGTTTCTGTGGCCTGAATGTTCCTGGGAAGCCGACTGGAAAGGGATGCAGCTGCTCTCTGTTTCACCCACTCAGTATCTGCTGCCTGCCTGAAACAATGGGAGGCTGGAAAACTCTGCGTGGTTGTTGAGGTTATTCAGGTTATGCAGGTCTGGTCTCTCGACTGCTGGGACATCAATGAACTCCTTTCATAGAATACTTTTCAAGTACTGTTGCTCTCGCAGAGGAGTTTGAGTGACATTTTATGAATGCAACAGGAAAGATCTGAGCACTGTGAGTATCTGCAGGATTCCTGGACGACTGGATAACCACTCTGACAGCCAGTCACTGATGATATCTTTCTTAAAATCTTTGGAGATATTTTATACAATTATGATTGTCAAAAGAAGTAATTTGAGGTAAGTTTTAGTAGGTTAGGCTTTGACTAGGCCTCTCAGATTTACTGCTATGTTTTGGGTCACAGTCATGTTGCAGGGTTCAGTTCTGTCAAGTACCCCCAGATGCACAATAAACAACCAGGTGGATGCTATATTATAATTCATAGTAATTATCATTTGTACAATCAGTTATAATCCTATTGGACCTGAACACTTTCTGTGTCTCCAATATGACTCGTCTTATGTCCCATTTTCCAGTGATTTTCTATGGGACCTGTCAGCTGTTCCTGGGTCTTCATGACGTTCTGCAGCCTTCAGGCAGCAGCTGGACTCAAAGTGTGATTTAGTTGCATGCAGTTATCAAAATAATACTGCAGCTGGACTGACATATTATTGGGTGACGTCTGAGAATATCTGTTTTTTTATTTTGGAGTTTCAGAGATGATCCGGCAGAAATGGACTCGGTGAATTTGGAATGTTGTTGCTCGGTAAATACTGATGACACTGATAATCAGCTACATACAATCCCAATGAAGTTCAATCAAGGCTGCGGTTGTAACATGGCAAATTGACAGGTTCAAGCAGCACTGATGTTTTTACAAACCACTGCACACGACTCATGACTGCTGTCAGCAATACCAGCAGAGACAATACACAGACATTCCAGAGTTCTTCAAATCAAAAGAAAGAAAATATTCAAAATACTTTGAGTGAGGCATTTTTTTTCCCCTTTATGTTTCTTAACTGCGGGTTTGGGTGCTGAATCATGCTGCATAAAAATATTTACCGTTTACAGGAAAAGCCTGAATACCTCTCACACCAGCCTGCATAAACTATAGATATTTTAGCCATCAGAACTGACATCTGGAAGTAGGTAATCAACTCAGACAAGATCTCCCATCTAAACACGTAACACTATTATTACCTCACCACCAAAACACACAGCATGAGCCACAGGGAAAAGGGAAACGAAACTCGTGTGGCATTATGAGGTTAACCTGTAGGCCCTTCTGTCATCAAAGCTCTTCTAGCAGAAGTCATTACTGCCAGAAAGTATGTTCCAGCCAGCAATAGCGCTTCATCTGTAAAGTTAAGATGTCTGTAGTTTGAACTTGGGCTGCAGCAGAAAACCCAGAACCTGACAGCGACTTCTATGGAAGCTGTTGCAAGCATCCTACAAATCTGATTTTGTGGCCTCTTTGCTAAGGTCCTTCAGTGTGTCTGGCTGCTTTAGAAAAAAAAAAAAAAAGGTTGAGTCACAAGGTCACTCACATTAACTTGTAATTGTAACAATCATCATTCCAAGAAAAGCTCAAACCATGAGTTCACACATGTTGCATTAGGTTTCAAACACTGACACATATACATGTGTCCTCTGTGGCCTGGTTAGTGTGAGGAAGCTGAGACACTTCAGACCAGGAGAAGAGTCAAAATATCAGGAGAGGAACATATTCTTCTTTATGTCAATGCATCAGAGGCTGCACATGAAGCCTGCTATAAATCACACAGGCCAGCTCATGGCTGAGGATTTGTTCTAACATGTATTTATAGTGGAACTTTACCACTGTGGTAAGCATGTGGTGTCGAAGAGTGTTTTCTTTCAATGTGTGTGACCACGTCCTACGATGGTCACACACATTGAATGTTTTTCAATGTGTGTTTGTGCTGCATGTGCTGCAAACTGCAGAAAGACCAGAATACACACTCACACACACATGTGTCTGTGGAGTTAACTAATTTCTCTTCCTTCTGTTACTACAGAATATTGTTTTTTATTATTATTATTATTAATAAATAATAAGGCTGTCCAGGGTGGAGATAGGCACCAGCACTTCTCTTGACCCCACAAGGGACAAGGATGTAAGGAAGTGAATGAATGAATGAACGAACAAACGAACGAACGAATGAACAGCCGTGTGACCATGACTTAATTTCATTTCCATTAGTTCAACACCATGAGTTCTGAGTCACACTGCTCTTCCTTTTTCTTACGAACTTTTACAATTTTCTTCTTGTCTCAGTTCTTTGGCATCATTACAAAGCATTTTACTCTGACTGTGCTGCACAGATGTTTCACTTTGACTCGTGAACAGAACACAGAGAAAAGCATTCAGTTTTCAAACGTGTTCATGGGAGAGTTGAGTCCAAACACTGATCATCACTGTTGAAGCACAACAGAGCCACAAGCCACAGCAAGAGAACTGAAACTGGAGTAAAACAGGAGCTCATCTGGTTGACCTTAGGCCTTGATCTAATAACTTTAGGAGAAGTGCAAGTCAAGTAGAGGTAATAAATTGCAACAACAAACTAATCTAATGTCAGGTTCTGCACTTGAGAGCTGATCTCAGACAAGCAGAAAGCAAAGATTGGGAGGGACTTTGAGGCCATGAAACAATATTTTCTCAGTCATTAACTTTAAAGGCCACATTAATGTTCAACTAAGGTCTCCACTATGTAATCTATGAATAATCTAAGAATACCACTGTATATAAGCAGTCAAGTAAGGCCCGTAAGTCTGGAATTCCAACAGGCCAACAGAATCATTAAGCTCATCTGATCCCGGTGCCAAAGTGCTACGGACTGTTAAGTCAGAACATTATGAACGTCTGTTTGGATTTAACAACAGAAACACTTTCAGCTCAATTCAAAGTTCACTTAGAAAGTACTTCACCAGTCTTTTCTGGCATAAAGTAACAACAACAATAACAGTTAAATAGCAACCAAGGTACACTCCATTTTACAGCAAGTTTTCATTACTCAGCTGGGAGTTTGAGCATCTGAGTCATTGTTCTGGAAAGAAACCAGCAACAGAGGTTGTGAAGCGGACTTGTCTAAAAATGTCTGAATAACCATGGCTTTAGAGTTGTTTTTATTAACAGCCAGATATTGGATGTGCAGCCTGTCAGCACATGGCAACACGGCAGCCATTGAAGGGTAAAAACATTTGGTAGAAAGGTCAAACTGGAATAAAGCTCACAGAATCATTAAACAGCATCAGCAGTACAGATAAATATTTAGAGGAGTTGCACTGTTTTTACATGACTGAATTATGCAACGGGAATTATGGGAATCTTGTGCTGTAGAGGGGAACATAATGGTTCTGATGCTACACCAGACATGACCTGTTGGCATCACAGAAACCCACAATGCAACCCATTCAATCCCCATCAGCATCTGCTAGTACTGCCTAATGCAAGTGTGTCAAACTCATTTTCGTTTTGGGCCAAATCAAGATCAAGAAGGCTCTTAAAGGGCCGGTTGTGCCAGAATGTGTTGATAAAACCTGTTCACATAATGTTAATCTGTCAATGAATTCTTAAAATTACATAATGTTATTGAAGATCTCTTCAGTCCCTTCAGGGACTAATAATAAATGAGACTGTTTATTTACTCGCTGTATAAATCATGGACTATAATCATACATCAACTAAATTCTCAAGAAACTGGAAAGATTGATTGATATAAATTGGCAGTAAACAGATAAAAACTGCACTGATATGATTCATTATATAATATTTAATCACACTTAGTGTTTAGTATGTGGAGGGCCACATAAAAAGCTACGACGGGCCGAATTTGGCCCCCGGGCCTTGAGTTTGACACATGTGACCTAATGCGTCCACAGGGCATGAAGCAGTATTAGCAACTCTTGGATAAAACCTTTGAATGTCAAACATGAATTCAGGAAGTTTAGGTTTACATCTTTGTTTCCTGCATAAAGTCACTCCAACGGTAATTTTGAGCACAATTATGACTCCAAGCGACTTATAACTCACACCACTATGAATAAGACCACTTTTTAATGGTTCCTTGAATTAGTCATACTTGACAGCACTAACATTCTGTTGATAAAACAGCTGTTCCCAAGTTGACCTCTTTTCTGGGAGTCCACTTGCCACTCCTTAGTAACTTTCTGTATGTTTTGGATATGTCCCGCAAAAAATATTCATTAACTTTGAGAAGGACTCCAGACATGTGATTCATCACAAGTTTAATTTCAATCATTTTTACTGAACTGTCTGACCTCATTAAACTGGATGTGTGTCCCTACTATCCAGCGGTCCTTGAATCTCTGACTTTCTGGGCCTCAGATATTTCCTGGGTTGTTTAGTTTGGGTCAGTTGGATGAGACTCGGCAGTCTGAGCAGCACAATTAAAACCCAAAAACACATCTGAATTGGGACTGGAATGTTGTGGACTATAATTTGAAGAGGCCACACATCAAGGAAACCACCCAATATGAATTTACCACCATTTCTCATCAGAAGATTGGTCAATTATCCAGACAGAATCAAGCCAGAAGTTTGTTGATGGCTACAAGAAGAGCAGAGACAGATTTAGTGAATATATTTCACTGATGGTGTAAATGCAAATGACAAAAAAGGAACCAATTTCAAATAAATTATGTATTTTATTAAATTATTTTTGCTCATTCAGATAGTAAGAGGCAAATCAACTCAAACAAAAATAAAGGTACATCAGTAGCACATTTATTAAAAGCAAAAACAAGTGAGGCTCGAAGGACAAGGTGGTTACAGTCCCCTGTCTCAACGTCTGGAGCGAAGACAGCCTTCCGCTTGTTTCACTAAAATTCATAACACCGGTGATTAGGAGGTCAGAAAGGTTCATGCATACACAGACTGGATGTGAGGTTTGGTGCAAAGAAGTTTAAATCTCACATTGTTTGTTCACTCACGCACACTTCCAGCAGGACAGGCGACTACAGCAGTTTGCAGCACATGCAGCACGAAGACTGAGGACACTTTAAGGTTTGAGTCAGACAGGCCTGAAGGTGTTCAAAGAAAACACTAAGAGGACAAACCGCCTGGAGAAGCACTGGCATGATGAAGGGAAAGGGCACTTGCATGCTGGCTGTGGCTTGAATGTGACAAACTTGCACAAGAAACATTCTGTGAGCAGCTGCCCTGTCACTGTAAGGCAGTTTGTCATTTGCTGAACAGGAGTGCAGACTGTTCCGCAGGCGGAAATCTGTAGTTTGGTGGAACGGTCTGAAGCAAGCGGTATTGCTAAGACTTAAGGCAAATCTTCCTCTCAACAGTCAGGAGTGGAAAAGAACCCATTAGGACCATTATCTGCCCTTTTCCACTGCACATTAATGCTTCAGTGGAAGGTTTGAGTTTGTTATGGATGAAAAGAAAAAGTTAAAAAGTAAATGCTGTTCTCGTTTTAGTGTTTCTCCTGTAAAGCAATCTATGGTAGTTTAGGACATCTAGACTTCAACCAGGTGATTTAATTACAGCCAGGATTCACTGCGTTTATTGTTAACCCGAATGGACCGACATGAAACTGCATGCCTGATGTCCAAGACTGTTTCATGGAAAGATGAAGGGTTTTAGATGAAACCTACTAAAGCAGAACAAACATATTAGAAAAAGCAGAAATATGCAGTGTGGTGAACGAGCGTTTGCCCCTCCATGACTTCCAAGTCTTTTGTTTCTCACACTTCAGTGTTTCAGAACATCAAACCAATTTAAATATCCAAAACAACACAAGTAAACACAAAATGCAGTTTTTAAACCAAAGTGTTAATTATATTGTGAATAATAAAGTAGATCTAAAAAAGTGATTACCTCATAAACCTAATAACTTGGTCAGTTTATTTTTCTACTGACATCCAGAGGTGAACTTGCAAGGAAACCTGGATCGGTGCATTTTAGGTGCACTTATATTGGTTCTATTGTTTTAATTGCTACTGTTTTACAAAGCAGTGGCTCCACGGGTTCAGTAGTTCACTGCAGTCATTCAGCTTGAATCTAAAGCTGAATGACTTTAGATTCAGCTTTATATTCTGTAGCCTGTAACGTTAGAGCTGCAGTCAACCTTTCAGACTGCAGCTGTCGCTTGCCTTCATCCAGCCGAGTGAACGGCGTAATTCGTTCATGTCAAATTTCTAGCTCATGCACACAGACATGCACACACAGCCGAGAAAGACCACAAAGTTGAAAATTGATCAACTTTTTTAGCTGTTTTCGCTATTGTGTCCCATGTATTGGGTTCAGCCCAAGAGGACGAAAACAGACGCTTTTACCTCCCTCTAAGCTGCTACCAAGGGAACGAGAGGAGAAGAGTAACAAAGCACCGGAGTGAAGACTCAAGTCATCTAGTCTCTTTGGTAGAGAGACAGAGACAGGACGAAAACAAACAAGAGATCATTATAGTATGGAGCTCATTTTAATTTATCGTGCAATTAATTGATTTGTTCATCACCACGGGCCTACCTGTAACAATAAACATCCTCATTTAAAATGAGCATTTTGTGTTTACATATGTTACCCGACTAATATTTCAAAAGGTTTGATGCTCTGAATGGGACAAGCTTGCAAAAGAAAAACAAAAAGGAAATCATCAAGAGGGGAAACACTTTTCACATCACTATATTTGTTGGGAGGTTTTTCCCAGATCATAGGAACGTTTGTAGAAACATGAAGAAACACTCGGGGAAAAACAAATCAGTCAGCATCAGAAATCCTCTGATTAAACATCTGACATGCACTTCAATAAATAGAATATCAATGACAACATTGTTATGACATCACCAAAACTGGTCTAGAAGGAATGTGACTGATCCCAGCCAGGGAGTTTCCTGCTCTCGCTGTAACAGTGTCTCTATGTTCAGACCTTTTCTGATTGTTCTGAGGAGTGTGTGCAGCGGATTGCAGTGGAGTGTTTACTGAAGGTCACTCGCTAGTGCAAGTGTGACTTTCTTTGAAGTGAAAGCTTCAGTTGTGCCCGTTCACACACGTTTACACATGCATGCACTCTAACTCAGAAGCTCCAGGTATGTGACAGGCACTTTTCCTTTCTGATTTCCTTTCTCTCCAATCAGCCAGTCAGAGTCCATTCCTGGCACTGTGTAAACTGTAATCAGCTGAAACACAGAACACAAGGAGCATTTTAGGACAGGCATACAGAGCAGGCAGCTAAGAGCCCAGATGGCTCCAGGCCTCAGCTGACAATCAACCAAAGGTAGAACAGATGAGAAGCAGCATAAGTTTCACAGTTGGGTGATGAAACAAATTCTTATCTCTGATGAAATAAAAAGGATGCACATGTTCACACTTTGTTTTCATTCCATTCATTGTCCCTGATGGCTCATGCTGATCTTGGTGATTATATACTCACTGTTCACTCTCTCTAAGCTCTCTAAGCTGTGCAGGAGTATGACAACAATGAACTCTTTCCAATTAAGTTCCTCAGCAATGTGTTCACAGGATATGCTGCGGCACATTCTGTATCGGTCACTGATGGTGAACCAAGCATTGAGGAATGCACCACAATACATTAAAGATCTGCTGTTGTTGTATCAACCTTCCAGACCTCTCAGGTCTTCTGGTTCTGGACTGCTTTGCATCCCCAGAACCAGAACCAAGAGAGGAGAAGCAGCTTTCAGCATCTATGCACCAAAAATTTGGAACAAACTTCCAGAAAACTGTAAAACAACGGAAACCCTGACTTCCTTTAAATCGCAATTAAAAACACACCTGTTTAGAATTGTTTTTGAAATGTAATATATAACAATGTATTGTCTATTATATGTTGCATGACTTTGTGTTCTTGTGTTTATGATGTAAAGAACTTTGAAATGCCTTGCTGCCGAAATGTGCTATACAAATAACATTTGATTGATTGATTGATTGATTGAATGCAGGATTGGTGGCTTAGTTCACATTAAACGACAGTATTACCAACTGTGGACCACAGAATTCTACTGGACAGGCGTCAACATTTTATTGAAGTTACTGGAAACATATTCTCACTGCTGAGATCTTATCTGTCCATGATATCTCAGAATGTCGGCTTCAAAAATGAGCTCTGTGTGAGCTGTGCTGTGAGGCTCGGGATCCCTCAGGGTTTGTAATTGGCTTTCTGCTATTTTCTTTCCATCTTCTTCCTCTCAGTCTTCTTTTGTGTTCCTTTTGTCTAATCTTTCACTGCTGTGCTGATGATCTGTAGCTACATCTGCCTTTCACTACTGATAACTGTGCTAACTTGTTGAAATTAGAGATCTGCCTAATAGCAATTAGGGGCTGGTCATCAAATCATTTCCTGCTTCTTAACACTGACAAGAGAGACTTCATGATAATTGGACCTGAGAAGCAGCGACACTCTTCTCTAAATCTTACCTTAAATATTGACCACAACATTATCGAATGCAGCGACACAATAAAGTGTCGGCACAGTGGTTTGGCAAGATGTGGCTATGGTGTGTGAAAATGGCGTTCCACACACCATAATGATGAGTCCCAACACAACTGCTCAACATTTTCAAGTTTTAATTTCACTGAACTAATCAACAAACCAAAGGAAAATGCTCTGGTTTGAGTCTGCATATCTCTTGATCTGAAGCTGTATTAAAATGCTATACATTTCAAAGAAATGCAGAAATCTTGCAGTAATTTCACTCCATGGTTCTATTTTTTTTTTCATACTGAGCTGCTTTGAAAATTACAGTTCTAACTATAATATACTTTTCCATCAAAAGTTAGTAATCTTTGACCTTTGAGAGCTCAAGGGCATTATAAATCAAATCTATTTATCCATCCATTATCAAAGATCATTTGCAGCAGGTTGATGAGAAATCCTCACCTCATCAGCCAGAAGGGAGAGCTCACTCGAATCAGCAGCATCATAGTCATACAGAACTTTGGCCTTGCGGGTTCCGGTAGCTGGTGCCTGGACTTCTTCAATCTTCAGCGTCTCCGTCTCCACTGGGCTCTCTGCGCCTTCTGATGCACCTGCTGCAGCAGCCACGGAGTGAGTGGAGTTCAGTGCGAAAGCATTGGGAAGCCTGAAGAACAGGAGGCACACACCATGGTCAAATATGAGGTCCGGTATGCATGTACCTCAAACATGAAAAACCAAACCAATCACAGAGAGCTCAACACACCCAGCTGTGAAAGTATGCATCATAGAAACATGAGGAAATCATGTACTGCTGAGAGCAATACTTACATACTTTACTGATAGCACAACAAACACACATCTCTGATCAATACACTGGAATTAATCAAAAGTACCTTTTGAAAATAACTTTTAAGAATGTATTAAACATAATTTTCACTAAGCTCATATTTCTATTTCAATTTTTTTTTTTTATAATCTGGTGTGATATTCTAACCCTGAATGTCATATGTTCGTCAGAAAAGCTATTCTAATAGTTAAATTGATCATCAATAATATTTTAATTTATTGACTGTCTGTCCTGCTGGTGTTTGGGTGCAGCATTACACCGTGTCCCAAATTATTACGCAAATGATATTTTCTCAGATTTTCTTAGATGGTCAATGCAAATGATGGTGAGTTTCATTTTCAAGTCGTGAACTATTACAATATAAATCAAATTTTACTGAACAAAGCTCCCCATGAGAAAAGTATTTGTTTCAAAAATAAAAAAACTCAACATGCACTGCTCCACATTATTATGCACAGCAGATTTTCTAAACATTTTACGGATTATAAACAACTGCAAACGGTCATTCTTTGAATGAGCAGCATTAAGTAGTCACATGTACTAAAATCAAAAGCTATTTCAATCAGAAACATCTCAACAGACCCAGTTACATATTAACATTGGACCTCTTCTTTGATATCACCTGCACAATTCTCGCATCCATTGAACTTGTGAGTTTGTGAAAAGTTTCTGCTTGAATTTCTTTGCAGGATGTCAGAAAACCTTCCCAGAGCTGCTGTTTGATATGAACTGCATCCCACCCTCAGATCTTCTGCTTGAGGGAACTCCAAAGGTTCTCAATAGGGTCAGAGGTCAAAGGAAGATGGTGACACACCATGAGTTTCTCCCCTTTTATGCCTATAGCAGCCAATGACACAGTGGTATTCCTTGCAGCATCAGATGGTGATGCATGAAGATGACTTTGCTACTGAAGGTCCGGTTCTTCTTTTTGAACCATGAAAGAAAGTGATCAGTCAGAAAGTCCATACACTTTGCTGAGGTCATTTTCACACATTCAGGGTCTCTGAAGGGGTTTAGCAATGATTCTCTCCCCATGATTTCACGTCACAGCCGTGTTGGGACATGCTGGCCATCCACCACCAATCCAATACTGAGTCCATCTGGACCATCCAGGATTGCATTGCAGTCCTCAGTGAACAAGTATGTTTGAAAGTTAATCTTCATGTACGGCTGGGCCCACTGTGACCGTTTCTGCTTGTGAACTCTGGTTAGGGGCCCAATAATAAATTCATGCACTGCAAGCCTCTGGAGGATCCTCCACCTTGAGGTTCCAGAGGCATCAGCAGCTTCAAATCACTGTTTACTGCTTTGTAAGGGCATTTTAACAGCTGCTCTCTTAATCTGATAAATTTGTCTAACAGAAACCTTCCTCATTATGCCTTTATCTGTAGAAACCCATCTTTGTTTTGAATAAGTACAATAATGCTTCAGTTTCCATTAAATATCTAATGTTTTCATACCTTGTCATACGGCACTACACTATCTGATGATTTTCATCAGCAGAGATCCTAACCCTTTCCCATATTGCTTGAAACTTGTGGCCTACTTAATAATATAGAACATCCTTCTTCAATAGATTTTCTTAGATTGAGCTCATCAGATAAATGAATCAACCAGCTCTCTGAAATGAATTACAGTGATTCATAGAGCCCTCACACACAATACCATCTACAAATTTAATAGCACAACAAAAAATTTTATCTTTGCGATGCTTAAATCCAATTTGCAAAATAATTTGGACCACGGTGGAGAGATTACATTTACATTTATGGTGTTCCACAGGGAGCACTGCTGGGATTAGGATGCTTCACATAATGTAGGTATGAATAGAGTTGCCATGTTGATACTGATGGTGCTCAGCTACATTTATTGTTGAAGACTGCTACGTCCAATGAGTTAATTAGACCACTAGCAGGAATTAAAGATGTTACTGCCAGGATGACTGATATTTTGCTTTTAAACTCAAACAACAGAGATTTTTGGTCCAGAGTCTTTCCTTAGGACCCTTAAAGAATACAATTATGTCTGCTATTTACTCTTAATTCCATCAATCTGACCTCCAGTACTAATGTGACTATTTTAACCCATTAAATACAGTCCACATTTGGTGATAACAATGACACTGAAAATCATGTTAAATTATTGTAAATGATCAATTCAACAACTTTAAAAACAAACATTTTGACGTGAGCGGACTTCTTCAAAAGATGTGACCCTGATGTAAATCAGTTAGATGAGCCGAGAAAAAAAAAATACTGGCTGCAGTGGATGCAGGAGACAGCAAAACAAACAAGGATTTCCAAAGGCACTAACTCAAGGCAACAACTGATCCAATATTTCTTGGGAGCAAATACATTGCGGTAAAAATGTTAAAAAAAGAAAAAAAGAAAAATAAAAGAGTGATACTCACACATCCTCATCAGAACTGAAAGCACAAAACAGTAGAAATTATTTGTCATGATTTGGTAAAGAAAAAGGAACTAAAGCTCATCAGCAGACTCAGCAGACAGAGGATGTATCCAAGAATATTTTTATGCTGATACAGATGGAAAAGAAATGGATCACAAACTAAATTAAACTACTTTCAAGAATATAAAACAAAGAATTAGATGCTGCAAAATCAAACTAAGGTAGATAAAGAGATGAACAATATATCAGACAACCACAACTGATGTAGTTGCAAATGACTGCTGTGATGTAATATTAAGGAGGCTTCTGTTTTTAAAGTGTGAGGAATTCATCCTGTTGTTCATGCCAGTAATACTTCTATGGCCCCGGATGAACACTTAAAGGGCCAAAACGTTAAAGAGGTTTTGTAGAGGAGTTTTGAAAGAATCTCAACTTAAAAATGACGGTTTTCAAATCTGCAGTTATTCTGCACAACACTGAAATTAGTAGTACAGAATAACTTGATCCATAGCTTTAGAACTGACTAGAATGTTCAGTAAACCAGAATTACAATCATTCTAATTTTATTACAACAGTCACTACTGAACCAAAGAGCTTTCCATTAGAGCATAAAATAAAAACAATCCAAATCTGTAAAAATAATAGAAGCAATTTTAGCTTAGCTTTTACATAAAAAAAATAGCTCACTGATGGTCTGCAAATCAAAAGGTAATGAATTCCTAAGCTTTGGACCAGCTGGAGCAAACTAATGATCACCATGCTGTTTGAACTTTGACCCAGGGACTTTCAGAAGACGTTGATCAGCAGACCGAAGAGACACAACTAGGTAATGTGCTTGTTGAAGTCACTTACATAAGAAGGTGCAATGCCACAAACAGCTTGAAAAACAAAAATTAAAAGTTTAAAGCAAACTCCAAAAACGCACTGGGATTCAGTGAAGAGAGTAAAGGACAGGAATGATGTGACTGGGTTTCCAAGTGTTGGTCGACAGGAGAGGAGCAGCACTCTGGACCAATTGGAGCCAATTGAGGGAACCCTTGTTTATAAAATGCATTATAATAAATGATACAAGAGCTAATGAAGGCATGCTTTGCAGAAAAAATTCAAAATGCTCAGAAACAGCAGGAGGTGCAGAGACAGTTGCATTGCTGCTATTGTTTCTCCTGTTTGAGTCAGTGCTGTCTTTTGACCTTTGAAGGATTGTAGTTCCTTGTTGCAATAATAATGTGGTTTATTAAGCACAATAACACATATTTCATTTGTTGGTCTTAGTGTTGCAGGGAGAAACGATAAACCTGCAACACCAGAGGATGAACTGAAACAAGCAGGATGCTAACATTGTGAGCAGTACAATTAAAACCAATGAGTCCATTTCTGTACAGCTGAGCAGCACCGAGCTCCCGCAGTATGATGGAGCTGCTGCACAGGACGCCGTGTTAAATTATCCCAGTCATGAAATTCATGACCAAAATGTCCGCAAATACACAATCAGACACACCCTCTTCCACCGCCTTATAATATAACCAGGAGTCATAAAACATATTGAAGCTGATTAAGCTAGCATTCAATCTTTAACATTCTGAACTATGTGCCTTTTAGCTTGTGTACAAAGTTCACAAGCTGATTGCAGTTAAAGTCTTTGGTCACATGACGGGGAACAGCTGTGCTTTGGGATCAGCTCTTCTATTGTCTCTCACCTTCCCAGCTCTTTCTGCAGCTCCAGCATATGAAGATGACCCTGCTTATAGTAAGCGGCCTGGGCCTCCACAAACTCATGCAGACAGCGCAGGTGGTTCACCTGTGAAGACAACAGTGAAACAGTTACTTCCTATCCAAGAAAGAGCTGGATTAAATTAATCACATAGACACCAGCCTGCTATTCAGCTCCAGCTCCAGAGGAGTTTAGCCAGGGAGGGTATTATTTTGTGGGGGCAGAGTAAACAAGCTTATACTCTAATATAAATACATAAACCTTTATGTAACCTTTCAATGAAATCACCATGTTCATTAATACATCCTGAGATCTTGTTCAGCCTGAATAATTTATTTTGTATTTTTTATTTCTATGTGACATGCATAAAATGTTGACATGTATAAAATATTGCTCATATATTGTATATACATTAACTCGTATGTTGCAGAAGTTTCATTTTTCCAATCTCTGAAGTCTATTTCATTAAATGCAAATTCAATCTACTCAAGGAAGAGTAGAAATAATATAACTCAAATAAAAGAAAAAAGTAAAGTGCAAAAAAACTACTCTTACAAGTACTTTTTCTCCCAAAAGGTTAATCAAGTGAATGTAATCAGTACTATCCACTTTTGAACATGGATAACAACAATATTAGTGTTGCCATTAGCCAGTCATCATTCAGTTAACATGATCTGCAACAAACAGCATTGCTCAACTAATTCTGTTAGTTTGGGACAAAAACTGTGCAAAGCCTTTTGCCTTTTGCTGGTTTGCTGCAATGTTTCTAACACACATGTGTGTGTCTGCACAGCAGCAGCAGGTCTCTGGTGTTAAAACCACCGCAAACATTTTAGTGCTTATGTTTCGTTCAAAGGAGGCTCGGAAAAATACATGTAAAAAATGGATTAAACAGTTGTAATGGCTGAAAACTGTGCAAGAGACAGAGGGCACAAATACAAGAATTGCAGGAGTCCATACTGTTTCAAATCAAAATAAGAATAATAGAAAGGTGGCAATTCTGAGGTAAAAATACAAAAGATAGCTTCCAGTCTAGGGAGACAGGGGGCACGGCTAACTGTTGGCAGGAAATGCCCCCCAAAATGCTCCTATTACATACTTAGTGCAAGAGTGATGATTATTTTTAACTATTAGGCCACAAATTATTAGAGAGTTAGGTTTTTAAGTTATTTAACCCCAGCTGATGCAATGAGGAGCTTCTCATTTCTTAAACCACCATGTGGAAAGAGGCAACCTGTGGTTGGTAAGATGTTGGTCTGTTTGAGAAGGGTTACATCATTGGCATCAAGCAGAGCAAACATCTAAGGAGATGCAGAAACTTCCAAAATTGGACTAAAAACTGCCCAACGCATTATTAGAAACTGGAAGAAAAAGAAGAAGGGCACCATCAACTTCGAGCTCAAAGTCTGGTCAGAAAAGTACTCCAGAAAAAGTTTGATCAGTGAGAAAACAGCAGTAGAACTCAGGGCTGTGTTAAGAGCATTTAGACATACAAAATGGAAAATGCAAAATAAATTAGGAAAGCCACAGTGGAAACCTCTTCAACCTAAATGTTTTTCTATAATGAATGAAATAGGAATCAGTAGAGTGTGTGTGTGGGACCAGAAATCTGGTGGCTGACCTACATGTGTACTACTGATGCCTTCCAAAAGCAGCCGTGTAACTTCTGCCTGCCGATCGAATTCCGTCTGAGCCAGCCTGAGATCTTGTTCAGCCTGAAACATCAGACCAGATCAGCTCATTTGTTAGACAAATCTAATATGTCGAAACCAAGTCGAAACTCTCGTGCTCCATATTCACACCTGTTGGAACTGCTCTAAAGACACAAAGCTTGTTCAGCCTGAAATGTTTTTAAAAAAGGGGAACGAAACTGTATATAATGACCAATCAGATGTACTTACTTTTTCCACTTCCTCAGTCCAGAGCTGATTGACCGATACGCCGAGTCAAAAAAGAAAAAAAGAAAAGAGAAACAAGTTTCAGCAAGACAATCCAGCTTCTAACTCATTCCCATGACTTATTTTCCCTTTGGGATCAATAAAGTTTTTTGAATTCAGGTAGAAAGGATGTTTCAAAAGCAACAAAATGATGTTTCTTTCTGATTTTCTTTCTCTCCAAATGAGGGCAGTTGTAGCTTCAGAGCATCTTCCAGTCTGCTAAAGTTTTAGGCAACAAGGAAAATGAAAAAAAGAGCACTGGAAAGTTTGTTACACAGACAGGTCGATACTGGTGAGGATTAAGGATTTGTTTCCCATCCAGTTTCTCACAAACTGAACCCATCTGTCATCTTCATTACAAACTGGTGACTATCAAGACAAGTCAAAGCAGTCTGGCTACACAATCACAAGCTTTAAGCCTGAGTTTGACCACAAGCCAGAAGGAAATAACTGATGTACTTGTTGAAATAACAAATCTGATACAATGCTCTCTAAAACCTTCTGAGGACAGTTTTCTTCCACTTTCAGGGCGCAATCCGTCCGCTAAAGGACAACTCACTGACCTGTTGTGACTCCTCTCAGATTAAAGAGATATTAGCTGGAGGTCTAGCAGTTCAAAAGAGAGAAAAAAAATAGCCCTACAAACAGTCATTTACTGCTGTTAGCTGATTTAGGAACTGCCAGTATTTTCAGATGTCAATTGGGAAAAAGTTTCATGTTTAGATGGTAGCTTAAGTCAGTCGTACTTGACATGCGAAACCACTGGACGGCGCTGTGATTTTCGGAGGTCATTGAGAACACACTTTTCCCCCTTAGAATCCATAAATAAATAATATAATATCCATAAATAGTAACGTGTCTCCCATCAACGAAGTACTCATGTATTCCTCATCAAACGTTGTGTCAAATGGAGCAGGTGAAGTTTATTGTACACATGCACAAGAACAGGGCACAAGAACAATCCACCACTGTTTTTGTTGTTAGCTGCCCGTGCATGTGTACAACAAACCCTACAGCCAGGCGCTTTGTGCATGTGGAGAACTTCACAAAAAAAGTTTCACTCAGAGTCCTGGTTTGAAAAAGTGCTCAGGAGAAGTTGTCAACAAACTGAATTTAAATGTGTAAAAGACAAATATATGAAAATCAGAGCATTTTCAACACTTAAATCAAACATCAAATAGGCTTTTGAAGACCGACTCATAAAGGCCAGAAGGAAGGCACTGAGTGATTCAAAATATTTCTTTGAAATCACAATATCATCATGGATGGTGTTGCACCATCTGTGACAATGACAACCTCTCTTATTGTTTAACACCAGGACTGTGATGTGAGCTATGCTGCTGTAAATTAGAGGGTGATAAAAACGTTTCCCAGCACTGTACTTCCAGTGAACATAAACATAAGTATCAACTTAGTTTATGCTGACAGGATTACTGTGGAATGACTTCTTACTATGTAAAAGTACAACATTAACTGGGCTGCTGCATATTTTCTCTTAACGTTTTGACAACTTTCTAAATGTCAGCATGCTTGAGAGAATGTTACACACAAGTCTGGCATGCAAACTGAAGTAATCTCTGTTTATGGACACGCCCCCTTCTCAATGCTCAAGTCATGCTTCACATCCCATTTACAACAGACATAATGTAATACAAAGAGAAGGAACAGTAAGAAAATATTAGATGTTTTCAGCAATCTGAGAGACGTAAACAGATGCTTCTCCTATATCCAGCATAGATTTGTCATTGTAGTATGTGGCATCTAAACTTTATAGAATTGGTGGGAAGTGTCTTCTTACCGCAGAGGCACTGGCAGAAAGCACATAGTTGCGAGGTCTGGTCTCCTGAAAATCTGGGGCCACCTACACAAATCAGAATTATTATTTCATCATTTGTACTGCTGTATATTCAAACTGCACACTGCCTTGCAAAGGTATTGACGTTACAACAACAAACTATGCTATAGTGTATTGCTGTTTTATGTGAGAAACACAAAGCAATCTGATCTGATGGTGAAACAGAAGGAAATCTTCTGTTTCATCTAAAAATCTGCCAAGACCAGAAATGGAACAGCTGCATTCATACTACGATTAGGGGTGTTTTCACACATAAAAACACAGGTGGACTCTGTTTGAATGGGGACCAAAATTGCAACAAGTGCTACAGTTTCAGATGTTCAGTTTGCTTTCACACTGCACTATGTCAAACCAACCAAACCCTTTGAGAAACCTCTTCACCCCCTCACCAACAACCACTGAACGAAGCAACATGAAAACTTCCTTCTTCACAAAATGCAAATAAAAATTGAGTGGCATCAGATATCAACCGTTGGATAATTTCTCTTTGGAGAAAGACTACAAACCATTTCTCCAGTAGACTCATCCATTTGTTTTGGTTGCATTTACCCACAATGCCCCATGATATGATCTGCTTTGTGCTTCTGGATCGTTCTCCAGTCCAACTGGTGTTCACATATGCATTTTTGGTCTGCATCAGAGTTCAACTACACATTCAAAATAGAAAACCAAGTATAATTTTTAATCCACCTTACAATTCAGCCCCGACAGTGTGTTGTTCACTCACATAAAAACCTTACAAGAGCCATTGGAGTTTGTAGTTGTTGCATGACAGACTGTGAAAAAGTTCAATGTAAAGACTTTTGCAAGATAATGCATATAGAAACCATCTTCAAATACAAGATTTATGTTTACATTTCTTCTGAAGGTGTAATAAAAGGTCCTGGAATCCAGGCCTAATTTAAAGTGACATGAGCTTACAGGAATTACACAGATTAACTGTGAGGGAGAAAAAAAAGGAGGGGAATTTACAACAGCCAGCATACTTTCATATTAGGTGTGTCTGAAGTTATAAAAGAAAGGTGCAGAGAGGTGATGCAATCACTGTATACAAACAACAGCTGAAACCAGTGAGTCAGTCTCTCACTGACCTTACTACTCCAGTCGGAAGCTGCAGGCTGTGCTTTTATCATGCACATGCAAGCGTGCCAGCCAAGTAATGGTTTCATCATCACATAAAAGAAAATATTTCTTCAAATAAAGAAACTAAAAATATAACAATTATGAATCACAAAAATAAATTAATTCAAAACAAAGAAAAAAAAAAGGGGAAACTGGCTGTAATTCTGGCCAAAACACACAATAAGTGAATGGCTGGTTATCTGATTTATTTTGTACAAGTACAGGACAAGGATTGAATTATAAATAACTCCCTGACACATAAAGAAGCATGGTTGCAGAGGAAGTGATGGTGCAGGAACAAAGTCATCATTTCCTATTTTAAGCTCACTTTCCAGAAAAGTGCAGTGATTGTCACACTCTGCATCTGTTTTATGCTATCCTTATAATCCTTCACTTGATCTTTTGCCAGCATTGATTGTTCTTCCACTCAATTAAGAACATGGAGAATGTGCAGCTGCTTCATTCAGATTGCCAGGCATTTTGTTAGAGCCAAGAAAAACATGACTGACACTTTTGTTCGCCCTGCTCAGACTTTGTTGTAGGCATTTTAGATGTGCTTTTTAAAAAGGGGAAGTTATTTGATCATCTAACTCCTGTGGTCAATCTGTAAAACATCAACACAAAAGGCTTTTAAAATAAGTGTGTTTATGTGCTTTGATATTATATCTGTAATATTTTCACATCAAATAAAAACAGCAGAAGGAAAACAAAGAGCAATGATTCTTTATTTTCTACAAGACTTGTCTTGCATTTCTAATTTGTGATCTAGTTAGACTTCAGGCATCTGCTCTGGTGAAAGCTCCTCTGTTGACAAGTCCAATAAATTATTGTACGAAAAGTCTGGTAACATAAAAAATGTTTGTATGGCTCTATTGCCATCTAGTGACAGAACCATTTTTTACAATGAATAAGAATTTTCACAGTGAGAACGTTTTTTTTTAAGAAATTTGCAAAAAAAATAAATAAATAAATTAAGTCAAATGCATTTGAACAGAATCTAAAGTACGGCTTTTTGATTACTGATAAAAAATTATAATCAAGATAATGTGTGTAAATACTGAAGTTTTTTTGCATTTTCTATGCAGGTGTGCAGTTCATTAATTTGAAGATTTAATTTGAAATCTCCACGCTCCTGCCATTTTGCTACCAATTTACCTCGATAACTTGCATCATCAGAACAGTTTCATGCAGAAGGGCACCAAAGCAATGCCTTAGATGTCACTAAATCCTAATCTAAAAAGGAATTAAAAGAAACAAAGATAACAGCAAACAAAAAAAGGCACACAAATGAAAGCAAATAAAGAATAAGCATGATTCATCCATACATAGTAAGTCATTGAGACGCTAATGATGCAGAGTCCATAGAGACAAAAAAAGAGTCAGCTTGAGGTTGTGGATATTTTTTCAGTCTAGTTTTTAAATCATTTTTTTGTCTTTTCGCCAATAGAAGTGGCACTGCACTCTGAAGCAAGTAAGACTGAGAAAATAACTCAAGGTGTACACCATATAAAGCAGTTTTTAATACTTACAGCACCCTCGCACTGCAAAGATGGCCAATATGAAGACAGTTAGTAATAGTCGAGTGCAACAAACACCAAAGCTTTTATTAGAATGATTAAAGGGAAAGCTGAGGGGTCGTGGGAGTGAGTCGGGGCTCACCGCTGCCTTGGCCTCGGCCGCCTTGGCCTTCTTTACACGTGCTTTACAGGCGTCCAGGTCCAGGCGGAGGTTCTCCAGCAGACGGCGCTCTCTCTGTATAAAAACATCAGAGAGGGTCTAAGCTCCCAGCTACTGCAGCAAGACAACACCCATTCAATTTTCTTTCGTTTTTGCTTTTTTATTGGCCACACTTTAATATTTCAAAACATTAAAGAAATATAAAATGTGTTTTTTAAAATGACGATATCCTTCCTCAAGGGAAAGTTACAGAACTGTTTCAATTATGTCACCTGGAAGGTTTTCAAGAATAAACAACCTGTTTGAAGTAATTTCACAGCAATTTATTGAATTTCAGCCGAGACTTTGACTAGGCAAATCTAGATTGTTGCTTCATTCATAACCCAGGAGTGCTTGAGCTTCAAATTCTGAACTGATGTCCAGATGTACATGTTTTTTTATATAACTAAAAAACGAAAATTTATCTATTCATTAATTCCATTAATAAAAATAATTTAAAAAAAGATTAAGTAGATTAATTGACCAACCTAAAAAGCAATCAGTTATAATTGCAGTTTACTAATTTGTATTTGAGAACAAACAGAGCTCAATGTCAAAGATTAAATTCATACCATCAAATTGTTGCTGTGATAACAAACTATCTAACTATGAATATTGTTCCTTGAACATTTACAAAGTAAACTTTCCAGCTCCTTAAAATCTTACATTTAAATGTTAAAATATTTAAAATATTTTAATTTATGTATGAAAAAAAAACATTAAATCAAATTTAGCAACATTGATGTGCTCAATAAATAAATGCTACATTTATGTAGATGTGATCTCTGTTAACATATGAGCATTTATGGCCCCTGAATCCCTGGGGGGCCTTCTGGAGCTGCTGACTTAATTTGGATTAAGCAAAAGTCCAATTGATTTGTTGTTTTAAAGACTAATTGTAGATTTAAATAGCGTTTCAATGACGACATTCTCCCTTAACAGTAATATTTTTTCATTTCTTGTCTACTTAACATTTTTTAATACAAAAGCCGGCTGTACCGCCGGTGGACCACCTCGGCGCCCTGACCACTGGGGTTGGCAAGTTTTCTGGGGGAAACCCAGCAATTGCATGAGGGAGTAATAACTCTGTCCTCCTCTAAAGTGCTTAGTTTTACATCAGAGATAATGGGACACACACTTCCTAAAGTCCTATACGAGTTGACTTTTTTCTCATGGTAAATCCATCGTTTACTTTCCCTCTAATGAACGTGTTATCAAAGTGGGTATCGAAATGTGAAATTTAGACATCATTCTAACACTTAAGCGAGGTGCTAAACCTCAGTGACCGTCATGATGTTAAAAACTCACTGAGATGGTTCGCCAGTCTCCTTCCAGGAAGTTCCTGAGTGGGTTGAGAAAGCTGATGGCTGAGGTCTGAATGAACTCTCTCTCTGCTGCTCCCAGTCTCCTCTCACAGTCCCCAACTTTCAGCAAAGTGCTCCCTGCAACAAGATCAAAGAAATGTCACAAATCAGTTGATTCAGTGCTACTGCAGTTGCTATTGACCAACTCCTCATGTATTGCTTTGTATTTTGTTCAGGTTTACGCTGCATCACTAGAGCAGTGTAAAATGCACAATGCGCAGATGGTGAACGTCTGGTGAGTTGTCTATCTAGGAGAAGAAAATGTAGGTGACAGATATGAGCTGAATCACTTAGGAATGAAATCTGTTTCTATGGTCCAGCTTTTCCCAACAAGTATCTGTATTTCTATTGGCTGCATCATTTGATGTCAATGTACTTCGTGGTTCCTAGATTGGAGATATGGAGCAATTTTTCAACTGCAGAAAAAATTGAACAAAATCAGAGATTCCTCTGAAAGTTTAAATTGTTAATATGTATTACTGTTACTGAGTTCTCATGATGTTTTTCTCACATAATATTTATGTTAAACTTTGCGTTACGCTAAATTCAACCTGAGCATGGGCGAATCCAGAAAGTTTTTAAAGAAGCCAGTGATGATCTTGGGGTGTTCCACCAAAATAATGTTTAAAATATCTGAATGATCAACACAATGCCCTCAAATAGATACAAATCTAAGTAAATTGTCCAACAAGTTTCAAAAATGTCCTGCATGAGACACTTCCACATCTGGCAGTTTGTCAGACAAAGCTCAAAAGTTTTTTTTGAAAATGCCTATGAATGAGTTTTTACAACATTTTAACAAGCTAAGTCTAAACATTGTGCTGTTCTTACTGACACACGTGAAAGAGTTAAACAGGGTACAAACCAAACCCAAAGATAATTGCAAAAACTAAACACCTTTAGGAGTCCCACGAAACAAAAACATTTCAGAAATGTGGTACAAAGCTCATCTTGAAATTGCTGCGTACCTCTTTTTGTCGATTAATTAATTTGGCTCTTAATGATGAACTGGTTCACCACTCCTGGACTTGTGAATTCCTATGAAGATGGTAAATGTAGGAATGTTGCTCCAGTAGGTGTCACCATTGTGCAAAAGATTCTTTATTTAAAACAACAATGGCAGCACAACTTGACAGAACTCTATTCCTGTAGCAGATTCATAATGACCCTTGAAGAGTTCTTAACTAGAAACGGACATAGTTAAGAAGACAGGGCAAAAGTCATCATCAGAAATGCACAGAGGCTTTTACTGGCCAATATTGATGTTCCTTTTTCCCTTTAGTTAATGAAAGAAAAATCCTTTTTGGGAATTCTTAGTCCCTCGACTTCCCCCTCCCCTTTGACTTCGACTGCCATTGGTAAATTTTAATCAGTGGTTAATAAGTATGTGCATCACAATAACCCACATTGCGTAAGAAAAAGTTGCTAGTACATCTCTTCCAATGAGAAACATTGGCTTTGGGTTAGTGTCGTTTATTTGACTAAAGTTTGAAGAAACAAGTAATGTTTGAACTTCAAATGTTTATTCTTTTAAAAAGTCATAAAACCACATAAGACCTGTCTCTGATTGGTTGTTTTTGGTTGGGAGCGATGCGTTTCTTCAGAAGCCAACAAGTCGCTCAGAAAGGATGTAGAGGAGATCCATCTTTTCACAGATTATCAATCTCCTAACATATTGTGACGGCATGGTGACTATTTTAACAAATACATAAAGCAGGATATTCCAACAACGAAACCATTGTGTTGACATGGTGTAGTTTCTGACCTTAAAGGCAGGTATCTTCCAATGAACTGTCTTCATTGCTTCAGGGGCCCCATATATGCTAATATTTTAACACAACCACAGATACATAAATGTAACATTTATTTATTGACAAAAATCCTCCACTTTTTGTGTGAAAAGTGGAGCATTTATTTCCACTTTCTAAGAAATTAATAGAACCTAGAAAAACTGTGGCATCAGTCAGAGTTTGAGCTTATCTGAATTTTCAGTCCATTTTTTTAAAAGACACTGAAGTACTAGGGTTGTGCAACTCATGCATAAATCAGACTCTCTTATTGAGTTTTAGAGCAATAGCTTTCCCTAGTGACAGCTACATGCCTACTGATGCTGCAGCAGAATGCAGAGAGCAGCTAACCTCATTTAAAGTTCTATTGATCCACAGGCCTACACAGACAGGAACAACTATTTACAGCCTGTAGTGGAAAACAGTGCAAGCAACATGTAGAGAGGAAGGACATTCATAGAACAGGTAACAGAATAAATGCTTTTATGCTAAAAAAAGATCTTAGAGCCAGTTTTAGGCAAAAGCATCAGAAAGCCTCAATCTTCTGTCATCTTGCATAAGTGAAATATTCAATAACGCCGACGATAACGTTTTGTTAGCATTGATATTTTATGTCAACATTACGTTTCATTAATTTAAATTTTAATATTTCAACAAAAGAAGAGTTTAACCACTGATTAAACTCTGAGAATATGTTAATTTCACTTAAGATGAAACTTCATGAATGTTTATGACTTACCACAAAATATCATTCAGTAAATAGTGACATTTTTAATCCAAAGTTGCAATAGAAATTGTGATAAAAGTGCATTATAAGTGTCAAATTTGCATTATTTGGTAAATACTTAAATTTCTAAAGCAAAGTTGTATTAAAATTTCAGTAAAAGTATCAACTTCAAATGAAGTGTTGCCGCTCCTATCCGTGGTTTCAACCACCTGCAGGAACATCCTTTTGTCTTCAGTCAAGCCACAAAACTACAGCATCAGCCGACAGCTCGGGACTGACGAAGTGTGTGGAGGATCTTTTAGTGACCTACTCATTTCCTATTCAGTTGGGTGTGCTGAAGCAGGGACACAGCTAAAAGCAACATAACAGTCATTTCTGAGGATCAGAAACAAGAGTTCAAGAAACCACTGGTAGCATGTTGCAATCTAACCTTCAGACCTTTCACAGCTAGTACACTCACCGTACGGTGTACCAGGCCCAAACTCCTTCGCAGCCTCTTCCATATAGTGACCCAACAGCTCTGCGTTGGTAACCCTGGAGGGTGCTTTCATGTCCAGCTTCTCATAGAGAAACTCCTCAATTCTGGCACCTGCAGGGAAAATCCCGAGTTTAATTTATGAAGCAGACAAGTTATTCTTTACAATCATTTCTACTCATTACAAACTGAAATCCAAAAACTTCTGGCACAACTTCACCTACTTTCAAGGTGCATAGTGAGGTGAAAACTCCAGCAACACTTTAACCAACTTTATTCTGAAACACATTTGTTTCTGCAAGTGGCACATAATCTGTCAGAGTAGTTTTAGGAGTCTATACGAGCAAGAAAAGTTTTGTTTAAAAATGTAAACAAATTTAGACATAATTTACTATTACTAATTTATTAGTAACATAGTTTTTTTGTTTTAGTTATTCAGTCAGTTGAATTAACAATGAACAAAATACATCAGTGATCACCTGTTCAGTTCCACATATTGTTCTCTCAGCAGGCAAACTATAAACTAATCAAATACTGAAAAGGAAACTGCAGTTCTGATTTATTATCACTGACTAAGACAGATTGGTACAAATACATGGAAAATCAAAAGTACTGTCGAGATGTGGATCAAATTTAAAAATCTGAGATATTTTTCTCCAAAATCCCTTCATATGGCAGAGAACATGTGATCACTGATGTATCCAAACTTCTTCAAAAAGTTGTTGCAGATGGTGATGGCCGTGGGCAGGAAGAACCGCCAGTAGGAGTTTGTATAAAGCAAATTTGAAGAAGCCTGGTGCTCAGTCAGCTCTGGCTCTGAGATCGGTTTAGTGGAAAAGGTACAAGGAAACATTTTGTCTGATTAGCTGTGTAAACAGCAACCTTTGTTCTGAGATAATTCTTGCTTTCAGTGTTCAACACTCACTCTAATGTTCCTAATCGTAGAGTGAAAAATCGGTATTTGATCTCAACATCACAAATATGTGAGCTTTTTGTTCCTGTTGATTCCTCCTTTATGCTGATGATGCAAAGGATGAAAGGTTTCCACAGCAGAGCACTGCATGGGGATTGGAAGGCAGGGTACTCACCAGTATGATCAACTGTGGCATGAAGAGTCAAAAAAATGACAAGTTAGAGCTCTCTGTCCTTGCATCTCATCCTATACAGCCTGATCAACATAATTAATCATAGCCAGGAGGGGGAAATAGTGAATGATCTGTAAGTTTATAATCAACCAGATTCCAATATCATGAAAAAAAGTGTAAAAATACTGCAAAGCACAAACATTTATTCAATAAATGTCAAGACAAAATTGAGAAAACAACAAAGTACACCTTAGGATTCAATGGCATGTAGCGCCACTGTCAGCAGCAGCACCTTTAGGCAGTTGTTTTCTGGATGACTATTAGTTTGTCCTATTGTTTGCCTTATTTCTAAGACAAATAATGTCTTAAAAGACATTATTTGTAGAGGCTTGAATGATCAATATTAATAAGTTAACAGAGAAACTTTCTGGGTTCCACTCAGAGCATTTCAGTCAGGTCAGGGGCTGGACTTACCCGGCTATCACATCCACTCTACTGCAGGTTGCTTGGGATCATTGTCCTGTTGCACAATCCAATTTCAGCCCAGATTTAATAGTAAAACAGTTGCTCTTGCATTTAACAGTGCTGTTCAGTGGCCTTCACTGACAGCTAAATGATGGGAAGCTACTCAGGTTCAGTGACTGCCAGACAAGTGCACATCATCATTCCTCCACCACCATGCTAGACAGCTGGCAAGAACAGTTTTTGCCGATTCACTGCCTTTGGTTTTTCAACAAACATAGCAACACACCCAACCTTGGTCTCATGCGTTCTTAGAACATTGCTCAAAAGATCTTGCATTTTACTTAACTGCAAAATCTGCAAACCTAAATCGTGTGTCTGTATTAGCAACCTCCTCACATATGTTATGTTGGTAATTTTTAAATGACAGATGGAGATCTGTCATTTAAATGACAGATGGAACGTTAGTGTCTATATTTTTCAGTTTTGTGACAAAAATTTGTCATGTAAAAATGACAGACATTTTTACATGACAAAATTTCACTTGTAAAATAATGATAAAAAGCTTAAATGCTACACATATTGCCTTTTTTTACGTGTAGAGTCACAACAAACAGGCTCTCCAAAGAGTTACTATCAGAGAGGCATTTGGTTACAAGTGTATAGAAACATTCTTCTACATTTTAGTGAAATAAATTGTGAAGGAAATACCCTTGTATCATATAAAACAATCAGGAAAAAAAGTTTTGCTTAGCGAAAAAATGAAATGTTCTGTTCTCCAGTTTATGCTATGCCTAAATGAAATGCTGACACATTAAAGGCTAGTCAGAAATAAATGACGTAGGCGTGTTCAGATATAGGAAGTTAAAACCAATCAGATAAATTGTTTTATATCAATTCATAAGCATCTTTTCTCAAGCTGATGCCTGACACCAGATACATTTCTACAGATTTTTTTTATACCCAGTGTTCTTCTTAACACAATTTATTAGAAATAACTAAATTTGTGTTTCTACACGTTTTTAAGTACTTGTTTCAAACAGTTCTGGGGTTTTCCCACTTCATCTGAAACATTTTCTGCATATAGTGCAAGTGATGTCATGTGAGTGAATCCAGCACCCTCCATTAATTGATGTTCTGTCATCAACTCCAACATTTAGAATGCTTTCCACAAATTGGTTGGGAATAGCCTTATAACTCATCCCACATCGATGTGGAGCAACAGTTGTTTCATTAAGGTATCTGCTGATGCCTTTTCTTCATTGGCCCTTTTGCGAAGATGAACGTATATAGCTCAGATCACCAAACTGCCCAAACTCCTGCCTGATATAGGCAGACATACTTGCTAATTATCAATTAATTAAGAACTGCTTTCCATCTTAAAAACTTTGGCATTTAAGAGGAATACGGCAGGGGTGTACTTTCTTTCCCACACACAGCTTCCCAACATTTCTATTACTTTTGGTTTAATACATTAGTTTAGAATATGCAGTATGCTTTTGTACACTTGCGATTAGCTTGAGGTAGTTTTGAACTTGATAAGCACCTGATGATTTTAAACTGAAAAATATAGACACTGAAGTTACAACAGTCTGCAGTTTAAAAGACGCTTATTTCTGACTAACCAAAAAGGCAACAACCTTATGACTGTCACTATGCCACCCTGAAACGTAATACTGCAGACATCCCTAGACATTACAGTGGTCCTGCTCAAAGACACTATGAACTCAGGTAATACTTCCTTCTGTAATGACACTTTACCACATAGTAATCATACTTGGGTTGGGCTGCAGCAGGTACTCAGTCTGTCTGTAGATCTTCTCTGTCCAGTGTTTGGTGCAGTCAGCGCGGCTCATTAGGTTCTCAAAGTGAGCATCCAACTCTGTCCTTTCCGCCTGGCCCAGCTTCTCCTCAGTATACTGAAACAGCAAACAACCAGAAACAAATCAACCAACGACAACTCCACATGCTAATAAATAACTTAGGCTCAAAGTTTCATTAATAATTTCCATAATAATATTCCTTCCTATCATGGTCTCAACCTGCTTGGGCACTTACTGATCATTTTTACCCAGTTGTTGCAAAATGAGTAAACGAAAACGTGAATAAAAGCCACTCTTCATTAATTAGTAATGGTTTGGCTAAAATTACCGACCGTGACATTTGTATAGCTCTACTTCGTCAGCCTGCAACTGAATATAGCAAAGCTAAAACCTGAATATTGAGAACATGTCCTGCTAGTTGTGATAATGAGGTGTGTTTTGAAGATGAACTGCAGACTCAAACGTCCTGAAACGTAACAGCTGTGGAAGTGGAAGGAAGCGCGAGGCGAGTCGCTGCAGCGTTTAAATACCTGGACGGCTCGCGTGAAAAACAGCCCCGCACCGCTGGCTAACTTCTTCACGTTGAAATCCATGGCGTTAGTGGGCGAAGCTGCAAGCTACTGGTTTTGCTTTAGAGGTAGCTTCTTACAGCAGTAGCTACAAAAATAAGGGACGAGCCGAAAAATAAATCACGTGATCGTCTTGCGCGTAGCTTCTCATTACGTCAAAAAGGCATTTTTTTTACTGGCTGGTTTACTAAAAATAAAATAATACTAATAAAAATAAAATAATAATAATTGTGAGTTTGAGGTGATTTTTACCTGCACTTGTAGTTGATATGGACAAGAATTTTCACAAGTTCGTTGTCTTTTTTTTTAATATTCTTCCTTTAGAGGTCGCTACACCCATCTTCCTTCCCTGTCACATCCCGTATTTATGTCCATACAAATCCCGCTCCAGTACATCCATCCATTTCTTCTTCTCTCCTCCCCTCCTGTTACACATTCAACATCCATTGTCCAATATGTCCTCTATTATTCCTCTCCAGTTTAGTCACTTTTAAGGGAAACTCTGCGTATTTAACAAGAGCTTACCTCGACCTCACTATGCTCTCTTCAACACAATGTCGCCTGTGAATATGATTTATCACTGAAACTCTTGACTGATCTCGACTATGGCCCTCCTATTCATCTCTAATTATCGAGTACCTTGAACACATGTCACCAACGTTGCTCTTTTTATGATCTGTAACTCTCCAAAAACTTAGCTGCCTATGAGTGTGAACTGTATGAGTTCTACTAACTCATACAGTTTAGTGGTACTAATTGTATGAGTTAGTACCACTCATACAGTCAGGCAAGTCACCGTTTCTGACTTGCCTGTCACTTGTCAACAAATATACAGTGTGCATTGACACTCCCGTTTGGTTCCTGAATGCGGCACTACGCACAGTGATGACGTAAGAACGCACAGCGTTTCTTCTGCTTCGGCAGCGCGTTAGTTTTGTTTCCAGCTTTTTCGTACAGCTAACCATTGCTGAGGTAAGTTAGCAAGTATACTAAATCAAATGTCTACCTATGACCAAACCCCACTTTCCCCGAGAGTCTAGCGAGAAGGTAAACTCAGGCTGTTGTGACCACATTGTTTGTTAGCTTACTTAGCTTAACGGGAGTTAGCCTGGGACGAAATATATTAATAAACTAAACGAGATTGTGCTGTTATTAATTTTTAGCTGCCACCCAACCAACCAACACGGTAGCGTTATGCAGACCAGGTGGCCATGGCTTGGAAGTCACGGACCCGCAGTCTGCAAGTATTTGACACCGAGCTGAGCGCGGACACGGTGGAGTGGTGTCCGCTGTCCCCCAGCCACGACATCCTGGCATGTGGGACATACCAGCTGCAGAAAGCGGTGAGACGAGATGCGGCTCAACCTGTTGGAGAACATAGGAATCCATTCCAACACTGATCTGCGCAATTTCCAAGTCCTTTGTTAATCTAAAAACTTTTGCGATTTTTTTTCTAGCTTATTATTAATTAGAGTGAAAAATGGAACAAATAAAAACAGTAGCGAGAAGAAAATTATAAAGCCATAGTACTCCTGCAAAAAGAAAAAGATTGTACAAAATGTGACCATGCGCCACTACCATCATTAATAAAAAATAAGGATTTGAAAAAAAAAAAAAAAAATGAAGAGAAAAATGGACAAGTTTGAGTTCATCTGTGTTTTGTCATGTCTTTTTCATGTGTTGCATTTTATTTGTATCTTATTTGATATACCAACCCAAGTTAGTTGGGAGGAAAATGTTACATGGTCTGAATTAATTTCTTGTAAAATACAAACATGAAAAATTAAATGTTCATTGACCTTTTACCCTGATGCTTCAAGATAGAAATGTATTGGAAAATGCCCAGAGAGCTGCTAAAAAAAAAGCCACTGTTTAAAGAAGCCATGAAGGAATATGAAGAAGAGTCCAGGAGACAAGTCATTATTTCGTAGAAATGGAAAATTGGGCAAAAAATTCCACAGCACCCTCAATACACCATAAGCAGTAATAAAGGCATCGTAAGGATCACAAGTCCAAACCTAGCCTGACAGATTACATGGTGCAACTTTTTAACTATGCAAAAAAGAATATGTGCACAAAGTACTGAAGTGAATAGTGATCATGCCATACGTTGTAGTTACACGCTCATGTCTGCTGTATGTCATTCATGCTGCAGGAAGGTGGAGACGACGCCGCACCCTGCCGGACCGGCCGCCTCTACCTTTTTCAGTTTCGCCGTGAGGGTCCGATGAGCCCTCCTCTCACTGAGCTGCAGCGCCTGGACACAGCAGGCATTTTAGATCTGAAATGGTGAGAAGTCGGGCTTCACTAGCGCGGATGCAATGCTGATCATTTCCATTCTGTTCAATGTTTTCCCTCACGGCCAGGTGCCACATCCCTGTGTCGGGCAGACCGCTGCTGGGAATGGTTGCTGCTACAGGAGAGCTGAACCTTTACACTCTGCTGGATAATCAGGTGAGAACTGCAGCTTCAGAAGAATCCCACTCATGTCTTCTGATAACAGCAACATTAGATCAACCATGACTGAGTGTGCCTGAGTAATGGTCCAGAGTTTCTTATTTTAGAGTGTTTTGTTTCCATTAGCATGTGTTTCACAGCTGGTGTTGTGGTGTTTACTCATGAACGTGTGTATTCAGTAGGAAGGTGGGTGCAGTCTGCAGACTATGTGCAGTGTGGTGGTTGGAGCAGAACGCCTGGCTTTGTCTTTGGACTGGTCCACTGGTAGAATGGACAGGTACTGTAAGCTATGTGAGCTTCTGCTACTGTTTTTCTTCAGTCAAATTTCAAGTGGTGGATAATCAGAGGCCGTATGAAGCAGACTCTTCTGTTCCCAGCAGCAGTGACATCCGGGTGGCGTGCAGTGATTCTGCGGGGTGCGTTGGCGTGTTCTCTCTGGCTGAAGGAGCTCTGATGGCTCTGTCCCAATGGAAAGCTCATGACTTTGAGGCCTGGATCACAGCCTTCTCTTACTGGAACACACAGCTGCTTTATTCTGGTAAAACAACTGCTTCCCATCATTTTATAGTTCCTGCAAATATTGAAGTGATTGATCGGATAGTTTCAGAACATAGCCCAAAATAAAATAATTTGGTCTAGGATTTGGCAGCCTTTAAAGGGGAACTATTATGTAAAAGCAACTCCTTTGAGCTTTCTATTATGTTGTAATGTTATTCCCTCATCAGAAACACACCTGGAGTGTTTGCCTTTATTCTCTCATGCATGCTTGAGAAATCCTTTAATCTCCATGGCAACCATTGAGCTGTGGAAAGTGCTTGATTGGACCTAAAAAGTGTGGCTGTTTTCTTTGTAATCTGAATAGATCAGAAAGTTGCAGAGAACCTCTGTGTCACATATTACGTCTGCATGTAAATGGAGCCTTATAACACTTGGAATATATTAATCAAATGTTATTGCACTCCAAGCAGACATTTGCAATTTGACTGTTTTGCATGGCATAATTGCACAACATTGAGCAGCCTTAGTGTTCATTTTGGAACCTTTTCCCCAGGGGGGGATGACTGCAAACTGAAAGGCTGGGATCTCAGAGCTGCTCCTTCAAGCCCTGCGTTCACCAGTAAAAGGTAGAGACAGAGATTTGTGTGTGTATTACTGCTGGTGTCTTTCCTGCCAAACCTTGCTGGTAAATTCTGAGCTTTTCTGCTTCAGGCACTCGATGGGTGTGTGCAGTATTCACAGCAGCCCTCATCTGGAGCACATCCTGGCCACAGGCAGGTCAGTATCCTCATCTTTAAAGGAACAGCCTCCTGCTGTTGTTGTATTTGGTCGTCATGTTATCGTGCTCCAATCTTGTCCTTCGGCAGCTATGATGAGCAGGTCTTGCTGTGGGACGGCAGGAATATGAAGCAGCCTCTCGGGCAGAGCGCGGTGGGAGGCGGGGTGTGGAGGCTGAAGTGGCATCCCAGCCATCAGTACCTGCTGCTGGCTGCCTGCATGCATAATGACTTCCACATCCTCCACTGCCAGCAGGCCTTAGGTTGGTATCAGCATATTGATGAGGAAAAGCTGCTCAAAGTTCTTAATTACTGTTTACAGAGGGATTTTCTTCTTCTGACTTACTAAGCATAGAAACATGGCTGCTCACCAATAGCACTTTATTATTATGACATTATGGAATGTTCCCTTTAATTGGTGCAGATTCAAAGTTAAATATATCACTGTTGAGCTTTAATTTTTTTAGCAGGAGACTGATGTACCAATTTTTAAATAACAAGAAGCTTCAGTATTCAATTAAAAAACAAAATTGAAGGAATTCTTTCCTTTTGAGACTCTTAAGCATTTATGTTTGATCTAAGAAATGACAAAACTGGTATTACCAGTTCCATTTAAGACAATTAAAATGTTATATGTTGTATCTAATAATATTCTTAAAAGGCTTCATATTAGAGCAAATCTCTCTAAACGTGTAGGAAGCATCATCTGTCACAGGCCAGATCTGTAACCATTCTTGAATGATTATTCCAATGGCCACATTCTAACTAAGACCGCTCTACTTTATTTCAGACTTATCAGATTCACTCCAGGTGTAAATATGAGAACTCAATGCTGAAACTAAATTGGAAGGTTGAAGAATTAGTTTTTCACTTGTATTGTTCACTGCAACTGCTGATGGTTTGCATGTGTGTGTGTTTGCTCAGAGGGCAGCGAAGGAGCCTGTCCCGTCGTTGCTTCCTACATCCTTCACAACTCCTTTGCCTATGGAGCCGACTGGTCTCGGCTGTCCCTAGAGGACCCTGCGCCGCACTCCCCTCCTGCCACAGAACCAAAGGAAAGCCTCACTCAGAGCAGAGGACACTTGCGCATTCAGTACGAGTCTCCAACTGCCAGCTTCGACACGTCCCTGGAGGACGACGCAGGTCGGTACATCCCAGAGGCGAGTGGACCGCCCCCCTGCAGTCCTGCTGCGATGCCGGCCCCCAGCCCGGGTCAGGATGCTCCATCACTGTCCTGTCTGCTAGCTAGCTGCTCATTCTACGACCACATGCTGCATGTGTGGCGCTGGGACTGGACTCCAGAAACGTCCTGACAGGAGTCCCACCAGCAGTGAATGAACTTCCGCCATGCATCCCATAAACACCCTGAACAGAGCAGAGGATGCAACGAGCATGTAGATCACTCTCCCACAAAACACGGGGTTCACTTAGCAGAAACATTTATTTTGATTATGACACTGTTTTTATAATAAACACCTCCCATGTCTGTGGTGAACATGTCTGCAGCAGCAGTCAGAAGGCCCTACAGCAGAGGGTCAGTGACACTTGGTGTATAAGAAAGATCTGGTGACCTCTGGCAGTAAACTGACCAAAAAAAAAAAAAAAGAAACACAGAAGTGGTTCATCAAGCGCAAACTTAACCCTCTTCTATATCTATTGTAATCACATGATATAAACCAGAGGTCTCCAAACTTTGTCATGTGAGCCAAAATCAAGTCAAAAGGACTTGTGGGCCAAAGAAAAAAATAAAGTCATAACAAAAAGTTTTTATTTTTGCCTAAACTAAATGTGCAAATTTTTAACTAAATAAAGTAGTCAAATTTTTAATTAATTTAGTTTTTTACTTTGAAGGAAAACAATGTTATTCTGAGCTTTTCTGATTCAGGCACTTATCTAACTTTATTAAGTTAAATAAAACTTAAAAAAGGATTTTGCATGCAAGAGGCTTAATTGAACAAATTGGTCAGTCATAAGAACAGGATTTAGGTAACTTGATTTCAAATTGCTTGCTATATTGATTCAAGTTTAGTACATTTGATAAAAGCTGATTTTAGTGCTGCAAAGTTGGCTTTTCAATTAAAGTCTCCTGATGTATTTGGTTCTGCTTAGTATAAAATAATCTTCAATGTAAGGAGATCATCACTAATCATTTCACTCAGACTATAAATAAAAATTTAAATCTCCATCAACCACCTGTGATGGAGGGCCAACTTTGTGTCATTCTTGAATTGCAGCTGGGGGCCACACTGCCAGTGAAAAGGCCACACTATATATCCCTGAACTGTATCAAAAGCCTGGTGAATCAGTTTTTTGTCTTTTTTTTTTAAAGGACATAAATGCTAACTGTTGGTGGCATGTAGGTTAACACTGACTCATTACAAAATGCTCAGTATTTGAGAGAGGATTTTAGAATTAAACTTAAAAACGTTCTACACTTTGTGTTTTTTTCTGATACCTTTAAACTTTGAGTTTTAACAATTCACCAGTGAAAAGCAATTCGTTCATTTGATCCCTATTTATTCATGTTGCAGTGGAAACAGCAGCGTTTTAGGATGAGGTTCTTTAACTTATGAAAGATTTTAAAAAATGAAAACGAGCAGGCCACATTTCCCTTCAGATTTGAATCACTAAACCCTGATACGTAAATGACATTCTGCTATAAATCACGTGGAGAGCGACTCAAATTTTATTTAGAGATTGAACACTTAAGAAATGACAAGTTTGCAGTCCCCTCTGTGATGATGAACCTGATGGTCTCCCATCCACTTATTAACGCACATAGTTCTTAGGATACAGTTTAAACAGCTTCCCTTCCTGTGTGGGTTCAAATCCGTATTTCTCCAGCTGATCCTTGTTGAATGTGCCCTTCGTAAAGTCTCTGGTGATCTGGGGGGCTACGACCTGTTCGAACAAACTCTGTGCTGTCATCCGAGGTTCCGTACCGGCTGGTGACCGATACGAGACGTAGGGTTTCAGCTTGAATCCCTCCAGATGAGGAACCACAAACTCAGGAATCATGGCCCGAACCGACAGGAACTTCCTGCTCGGGAGCTTCACCCCTGCGGGGCGGGAGCTGCGGCCTTTGTTGAGGGTTCTGGGGCCGCGTTTACTGGTGAACTCAGACATCCTGTCCGCACCTCGAACCAGACCCCTCATGAGTGTGGACAGAACCCCCATGGTTCCCGTCGGGTCTTCCTCCAGGAACATAAAGACACATGCAGAGGGCAGCTGTTAGCTTTAGCATTAGCTATTAGCAGCAAAACAACATAAAGACAGCGACTTTAATGTGTCTGAGTTCAGCACGGGTGTAATTAGCTCTGCACTATATGCACGTTTCACTCTGGAAATCTGAAACTAACTCATTTACAGCCACTATTAAACATAAAAATCTCACCTTCAGCGTCCCGCTTAGTGGGAACGAGTGTGTACTACGGCCAAATGAAGTGCGCAGTGATTGGTCAACAATTAAAAAAAATACTTGTTGACCAATTAAAAAACAAGATACTGACAGAAGCCGTTAGCAATTGGAGGAAACGCGATTGAAACAAGAAAACAGAAGCTCATCTACTTCCGGAACCGCTATGACTTGTCCTTCAAAATAAATTCCTTCATCAAATATAGTGTTGAGAATAGTTACTGAAAGAATTATTTTGTTGCTAGCAAATAAATAAATTCATTTCATTTGTCTACAGAAAATGTAGACAACAATTTCATGATGGTTTGTTTTTCAGCAACAGGCTTTGTTGCTGAAAAATATAAACTAGCATGAGGAATACTGAATCTGGACCAAAGAGGTAAGCCAAATAAGGACCGGAAGATGTGGGACTCAACAGCTAACCAAGTGAATGAGCAAACAGAAAACAGGTGTTATGACAAAAGAGCATTTACAGTACAGGGAAAAACATCTGACTGTGATAAAGACCCATATTCTGTAAAACTGACCATCCAGCTGCAAAACAAGACATTTAGAACATGAATGATGAAGAATAATATAGATGTTTATTTGTGAAGCATTTGAGAGCATCCAAGTTCAGGTGCAGGGATTATCTCTATCCTTAATGTGGCTTGCCTTTGCCCAAATACGGTTTTATTTTGAAATGTTGGCAGGAAGTTGTATACCGTCACATGGTAGTATCAAGTATAAGGCATGTATACAAAAAACTTTGAGCCTTAAAGAAGGTACGTATGAAGGTTGTTTACGCTGTTGTTTCAGAAAAAACAAAACAAAAACTTTTTAGTAAATGTAGAAAATTCCCAGCATTTTTCAGTGTATTATTTTACTTTCTTTTTAGCGTTTATTTTCTTGTTCTATTGTTGTGAGTCGACGGCTTGTAATGTAATAAACACTGCTGAGAATAAACTCCCAACTTTTAACATTAATCAACAAGTCTTAGAAATGTAGTTTTCTTCACTGAACGTGACGTTAGCTCGGTGAAACAACCGACGAGCTTCACTTAAACTCTATATCTGACTTTGACAGCCAGCCACATGACTCCGAGCTGCTTGAAATATTACCTGAATATTAAATCCTTTCGTTTAAGCTCCTCTCTTTATTGCTTCCAGTGTATTTAAAGGTCACTTCTCACTTTGAAGTCGGCCAAAGACACCCAACTTGAGCAGAAATGACTGGCTATACATGAGAGGAGAGGAAAAGAAAATAAGCAAGTCAAAAACACGCGTAAAAAAATCTCTAATTAATAATGAGCTTTAATCTGTTAATCCCACTGAGCTTTGTATCCGGACCCCTTAGTGTTTAACTCCAGGGTCCAGTTCGGAGTGAGCCTGAGAAATGGAGGTGATCTTTAACCCAGATCCCTCCGAGCATTTGTTCTGTGTTGTTCTCTCTCCTGGAGCCCAGGGCAGATCAGCTTACTGGCAAAATGACTTCAGTGGAGCACACAGGGAGAGTGTGTTTCTATGTAATCGATTCTCAGATGATAAACATGCTTAGGATTTAAATGTCATTTTTCCACTGAGAGATATTTTTATTTTTTAATTCACCAGGCAGGCATGGACAGCCAGGATGAGGAGGATAGCTGTGTCTACCCGGTAAGAAAATTCTCAGTGTCAGGATTATTTGGTTTCATATTAGTACCACTCAGCTGCCTTTGGTGGTACCCAAAGAAGATCAATTAATTATTTGTAATCAATGGCTGATTGATTACAAATATCCTTCATTTTGATATGAAGGATATGGCACACTGCTCAGGGAGGCAGGGTGTTGGGGGTGTCCTGAGCCTTGACTTTTTTTTTTCTTTTTTAGCAAAGGTTATCTGACAGTCGTGTACAGAACTGTTTAACTCCCACAGCTAGGAAATAAACACAAGTGTTATTGTTAAAATTGAAAGTTTTATATCTTGATAATGTTTTAACAAGGTTTATATCTGGCTATAATGAGAAACCATCTTGTTATGATGATCTTTCTCTTGTATTTATTTCCTCGCTCTAAGAATTAAAAGCTCACATAGTTGTGTCCACAGCAACTGTTCATAGGTGTTTTGTGTGCTAAGTCAGTGGTGCGTGGGTGACCCCAGTATTGGGCACAACACAATTCCTGTAAGAAAATAAGACTGTATACAGCAGGTGAGATTGCTAAGAGTGGTCAGACCTTAACTAAATTATTCTACACCAGACATCCTTTGAAATACAGGTTAGAATTTATGAAAGCATTAATCTAATGTGAAAATGCGAAGAGTCGTTTCTAATGTTTTTCTTAAAAAAAAAGAAGAAAAAAGCTGGATCCCACCTTACTGGGATCCAGCCATGTGCTTTTCATCTAACTGATCACAATTTAAACTGATAAGGGGAAAACATGGCAACAGCAGACTACAAAGCTCCGCTGAACCAAAAGAAACGAGTAACGACAAGCTTTCTAGAAATGCAGCGGCGACGAAAGTCATAAGTTTTCCCAAAAATAAATATTCAAGTACAGTAAAGGTGTCCAAAAATTTACTTACGTACGGACCTTACTGAAGGTACTCCCCTGAATGGAGCTTGTTGGTTTATAAATTGAGTTGTAGTACTCATTTAGTACTTTCAGACTCAGCCTGCCTCGGGTCCAGTTTGTTTCATCTGCTGAGTTTGTGTGCTGAATATTTCAGAACCTAGGTCCACTCACCAGTGAGATCAGAGCCAAGATGGAACAGTTTGTGGAGGAACAGACTGAATCCAGTTTGGTGAGCGCCTTCCTTTTAAAATGAAATATTTCATATTCTGCAGTTTGCAGACCTGTGAATAGCCTACAGTATGTGCTGTATGTTTAGAGCCTGGTATCAGTTCTGGTTCTGGTTTTGGTGAACTGGCTTGTACCGCTTGAACTTTCTGTCTCTGTTGTGTTTTTCTTCCAGTGGATTGTTGTTGTGGTTGGAGCTGTGATCACTGTCTCTGTTCTGGGAGTTGTTGTGCTGTTTCTCTACAGAAGATACAAAAAATCAAGTTGGTGTCTTATTGTTAACCGTTTACAAGTTCACATTACAGCTCTACTGCACTGCATGTTAGCTCTTTCACATGGTAAATGGACACATTTATGTGTATTAATCCTGACCTCTCAAAGCATTCAACACAACAGTCCCGTTCTCCCAGTCACACTCTCACACACACATTCACACACTGATATCATGATTGATAGACAACTTGCATTAGGTCATTGAACTTCATGACCCTGTCTGCTGGTCTGACTGAGAGCTTGTGGTTGTTCCAGAGGAAGAGGCCGGCGTTCCTCACTACCGCTTCAGAAAGAGGGACAAGGTGATGTTCTACGGCAGGAAGATCATGAGAAAGGTCAGTAAGGTCTAAAACAGGCAAGAAGTCTCCTTGGTTTGCTCAGTATGCACTTCCTTCCAGTAAAGTGTGTGAATATTGTGTTTACAAGTCTTTGTGTTGTTGCTAAATTTAGTGGACACCAGATGTTTCACCATCAGTGGTCCAGACTTTACTTTCATCTTACATTTCAGACTTCATAGATTTTTTCTTTGGTTACAATTTGACAAACAAGCTGATGTAGCTGAGTGCTGATGATGACTCTCAGTTCCTGAAGGGTCACATCACCCCCACTGTAATCAGGTGATCCTCAGAAGGTTCAATCCACTAATTGAGATATGGGTGCACCGATTGCTGTTTCTGGTCAATCTCTGATTACCAATCTTTAAGAAGCCTGACCAGATTCAGATTTCAGCCGATTCCATTTGTTTTGTCTGAAATGTTGCAAGGGAATTGTTGAGTTGTTAACAGTGGGGTGACGATTGCTAACTGCAAATGTAAAAACATGACCTGCTGTGTCAGTCAAACCAGGGCAGAAGAGGACGGACAGTGTCTGATTTTTAAATCTTTGCAAAGATTTAAAAATTAGATAAGTTCGGCGGAAAAGAACAGCTGCACATGCCAGTATCAGCTGATCACTGATTTCCCAAAAGTAAAAAAATCAGGACAAAGAATTGGTCATTCCTCCTGTCTTTATTTATATCCTGTTACTTCCTGTAGAACAGCAGTTCCTTTCAGTTTTTCTCTTTTGACTATTGCCCAAATCTCTCCACATCACCGAGTGTTTACAGGTGGTAGCACACAGCCATCAGACTGAGAGCATCATGGCTCTCTCTCGACTGTCCTGAAGCTTATTTATCTTGTCCCACTTTCTCATCCTGAAGTTCTGCTTTGCACGGTTTCTGTTTTGGTTGGGATATGAACCTCCGCTTGCCATCTGTAAATCACTGTTTTGTTTCTCTGCTGTAGGTTCAGACATTGTCCACAACTCCTGCAAACAATTCAAACTCAGCTTCACGGCAGAGAGTAAGGAAGAGGACCAAAGTCCTGTCCATAGCACGAAAGTGAGAGCTTTTTCTGGTTGATATTTTTATTGATATGTTTGCATACAGAACAAAGGTGTTTACATATACCACAATGTGGAGCATAAACATATTGCATACACCATTAATTTCAAGATGCATGTTTTCAGGAACAAAGAGCATGTGCTAAACACCTCCAAAACTAGATAATGATAATCTATGGAAACAAATATATACTAAAATAAATGCAACAGTAATTGAAGTAAAAAAAACATTTAAATAAAAACAACAACAAAAGGCCAAGGAAATTTACATCAATGCAAAAAAAAAAAAAAAAAAAAAACATAAATGGTTGCCATTTAGTGTGCAAGTTGTTGAAATTTTGCATAGCTTATTTTCTCCACTTTTAAAACAAACATGATCTCATTATCCACTTTGGTCTAGATGGGGATAGAAATGCAACTTTTAGAATAAATTTGCATTAAAAATGTCATTATTTAGCTAATGATACTTCATAACAACAGTCGTAGACATTCATGAAGGTTCCTTCATGTTTGTGACAGGTGTTGTGTCAGTGTTTTGCACAGCCTGTCAAATAAAGTGTTACCCAAAGATAAGCCAAGAAAACAATTACATCAGAGCAGAAGGAGCTCAGTGTTTATTCTGAGGTTCAGGTGGAAGAAAGTTGCCTCCCACCATGAACTGACCATGCGATGCATGAGATTTGATTCAGTGATTAGTTTTCTTGACGTGCTGGTTAGGATTCTGCGCATCCGGAAGGAACCGCCCACCCTGCAGCCCAAAGAGCCCCCTTCGTGTTTGCTCGAAGCTGATCTCACTGAGTTTGACGTGCAGAACTCCCACTTGCCCTCGGAGGTGCTCTACATGCTGAAGAATGTCAGGTTTGTAAAGAACACCAGACAGAGTTTCTTTGTGTTTTTTTTGTCTCTACTTGTACCCAGTAGAGACGCACCAAGCAATCAGCCAGAGATCTGAACCGAACCATTTTCCCTTCCTCGGAACATTAGAGTTGATGAATCAATGGGGGTAATCTTGGTATTACTACCTCTTCAGCTTCATTTGTAACGTTCTACTTCTATCAAAGATTCTTCTGCATCTTTTCTTTGGAGGTTTAGTCTTTAAAGTAAAAGGATGAGCAGGAAACCCTGCCTGGCTTCCTTCTTGAGCAAATGGTTAACGGCCTGTACTTATACAGCGTTTCAATAAGTCCAGAAGACTCCAAACTTCTTCACCCTACATTCATCTATTGATGACAACATGTGAAAACAGGCCAAAAATAAGTGTTATTTTAGCAACACCTTATAGGATGCGAGCTTGTTCTGTAGCCCACTCCCCAGTGTTACATTATATTCATTCCACTTTGTTTCCTAATTTTAAGATTTGCACACATTAGTAGTAGAAAAACAGCTAATGTATTTCTCCCTCTTGTACTGCAAAAGATCAGATAAGTTTATGTCTGCTATTGTTAGTCGCTTCCAATGAATTGTTTGATTCTTTGCATTTGGCTAATAGTAAAGGAAGTAGTATATTAAGGTTGAATATTGTCAGTAATTGTCAGAATGTTGCATTCAGGGTGCTGGGCCACTTTGAGAAGCCTCTCTTCTTGGAACTCTGCCGCCACATGGTGCTGATCCAGCTGCACCAGGGGGAGGGGCTCTTCCGACCTGGTGACACTGATGACAGCATTTATGTTGTTCAAGATGGCCGCCTGGAGCTCTGCATCCATGAGAGTGTAAGACTGAAATTCTCAAAGCTTCACAGATAATATAGTTATTGGATTATTTAACTTCTGTTTGAACTTTATATGTTTTTGCTGATTTTTTTTCCATGACTGCTTTTACTATCTGGAATATTTTGAACATGTCACATTAATGAGATGTTTACTTAATAAAGTCAGTTTTTGTGTTGAGATGCACTGATCAGACTTCTGTGGTACAACTATTTGTTTTAATAGCAATAAAATTGCTGATAGCAATTTTAGACAAATTTGAGTTCACTTTCAAAATAAAACAAAATATCAAAACAATACTTAACATACTTCTTATTAGCCCTCCTGCTGTAAATAAAGATATATATTTTTTTATATTAGGAGCAGAAACAATGTCACACCACTATGTAAAGTGGACCAACTATTTGGTTGAAAACCAGAATAAAAACATTCATTTTTTGTCAGGTTCGTGTTTTGAAATCCACAAAATAGTGACAGCGTTAACAATTTAGCCTAACATTAGCATTTCATACATGTTTATTCTGCAGGATGTACATATTCATTTAAACTGTAAAATGTTCCAACATTTTCTAGTCCAGGATGTTCCCTCAACAAAGTCTGAAAGGTCAAATACTACTACACAATAAAACATAGCTAACTCTGAGTCTTCCTCTGTCAGTAATGTCCACATAGAAGAGTGATGGTTTACTGCAAGACATGGTGCATTCATGAACAAGACAGAAATATCAGATTTTTGTAGTTTCTGTCCAAGCCAGTCACCAGTCAGGGTCGACACACAGCCAAAGATTTGCAACAGATAAGTTTATATAAATCTCTGGTTTTATTGAGTTTTTCCAGGATGTAAGGGTTAGTAACCAGGATTAATACTGGCAATTCTGCAAGACCTAAGTAGGCTTGTAGAAGTGTTATACTCCAGAATGTGCCTCTGGAACAAGATGCATCTGTGTAACCAGCTACCAGCATAAAACTTTGAAATATTTGGACTTTGTAATGAAATAATCTAAATCAGCCAAAGCTTTTCAGTATCTAGGTTGGGATTTTCACTCGAAAGTATTTTGGATCAGAATTGAATGTGCTACAGCATGAGAAGGAGAACATGTTAGCAACAGACATTTTTTCATAGCTGATCCAATTGTTGGTGAAGCAATCAACTAGAAAAAAATCACAAAAGTTAAAGATAACTTCTATAGTCTTAGAACACATGTCACATAAACTGATTTTTTATATGCATTTTTTTATGTTGCATATTTGTTTTAAATATGTAATATTTTATAAAATATCTAATATTTTATAAAAAGGCTCGAATTGTTAAAGTGAAAATTAGCAGAATGTGCCAAATTATTTCTGATTTATCATTAAATCATAGATATAGATGACATATCATCTGTATCATCAGATTAATTTATTAATAAAAGAGTCATTTGTTGCCGTCCAGTAGTTTGAATTGATTCTCTAAAAATATGGAATAAGATGACTTCGGAACATTTGCCGTCGCTGTCTGCCACTCAGTTCTCGTTCTCATCCAGAGTGTTGTGGATTTCTTTCTGTCCTTCAGGATGGGACAGACGCGGTTGTGAAGGATGTCTTGCCAGGAGACAGTGTCCACAGTCTGCTCAGTATCCTGGACATCATCACCGTAGGTCTACAGCCTCCTCCTCTTTCACCTACTTTGCTGCTCTTTGTTGTTATTGGAACAGTCTCTCGTCAAGAGCGCCCTCTTCCTGTCAGACAGTGCATTCTGTGAATTTCAGGGTTACCCGGCTCCTTATAAAACAGTGTCTGCCAGGGCTGCAGTTCCGTCCACCGTCCTGCGTCTTCCAGCTGTGGCCTTTCAGACTGTCTTTGAAAAGTACCCAGAGACTTTGGTCCGCGTCATTCAGGTAAATCTCAGCTGCATGTTGATACAGATGCTGTTTTAAAAATATATTCCTACTACATATTGTTGAGATTTTTCCCCCTCTAGATTATTATGGTGCGTCTCCAGAGAGTAACCTTTCTTGCCTTACACAACTACCTTGGCCTTACCACAGAGCTTTTCAACCCGGTACTGTAATTGCACCAGAAATCATGAGAAACTTATCAATTGTTTGAGAATAAATTTGAACACTTTTAAGACTTTTTTTTTTTATTGTGTACTAGGAAAGTCAGGCTATATCTCTGGTGTCTGTAGCCAATGTTCTGGGTGAGGCTCATCAACACAAAGGGTTTCGTCGGCAGCTGTCCCACTCTGAAGACACAGGCTCTGAAAAAGCTGATGCAGGTTGGAAATGAGTGCCGTATCTCCAGGGGTTCTGTGACGTTGCTCTTATAATTTTCATCTGAAGGTTTTTGTTTGTTTTTCTTTCATGACAGAAAAGTTCAGCGTCGGGGACATAGCTACAGCTAAATATAAGAAATCTAACTCCATGCAGGGCTCAGGTATGCACACCTAATGTTCTGCTCATGCATAATCAAAAACACAGACAATCATGTGAAGAAAAGTCAAGAAAATACATACAGTATCTAAGAAAAGTGAGTACTTCCCTCACATCTCAGTAAATATTGCATTTTTTCATGGAACAACGCTTTGATACATTGTGAAATAGTATAGTAATCAATGTTTTGTGAAAAAAAAAACTGTGAAAAAACATTTTCCCGATAGGTTTGTAGTAAATCCTCTACTAAAATCCTTTAATGGTTTTATTAGAGGATTTATTACAGACGGGGTATAGAGATACTATATTGTAGCTATTCTAACTTGTGTGTGTATGTGTATGTGTGTGTGCGTGTCTTGCAGGTGATGGCCCTCCCGAGGTTACCAGAGTGTTTGATCAGACTCAGTCTGCCAAAGAAGAGTTTGTGAACCAAGGCTCTGTTAAGGTCTCTGTAGAACAGTTCACTTTGTTTCATTGTTAAAATGATTTAGCTTGAATCAGGATGCTGGGAAGCTGCAGCGTCACTTGTTTGGCTCACACATGCTCAGTCTGAATGGTGATGTCTCCTCAGTCTATCCTGAAGAAGAGTGTGACTGTGCAGCACTCTCCTTCTGCTGTTTATCACTATGGTGAACCTGGAGGAGGAGCTGTCCACCACAGCAAAGTCAACGTCATCTTCCAGGCTGCTAAGAAGGATCTGCTGCAGGTCATCCAGCTGCAGGTAGCCTTTACAGGAAATCTTTCAAGTTTCTCCCAGTAAGCTGAGGTGGATGTTTTATGGTAATACGATATCAATATAGAAAGGAACAATATTATCTGCTGGCGTTGCTCAACAGGACCCCAGTCTGTTGGAAGGAAGGGTCACCCTCCGTCAGGTCAAAGCTGGGTGTGTGGTAGCCCATCAAGGAGATCAAGTAAGTGTAACAGAAACATAATATTTTTCTACTGTAAGAATAAAATGTCTGAAATTTTTTAAATGCTTAAAAGGCTTATAGACATGCTGAGGGCATTTCCTTCTCCACAGAGGAAAAAAATAGCTGTAGCAAAATAGAATATAAAAAAAGCAAATATTAAAATTATCGAATAATCCAATATTTTTGCAGCATAGTTAGAGTTATAAGTCTGTTTTTAACACACAAACTTGCTTTTTGTTAAAAGTTTCCTTTCAAAGTTTACAAATACTTTAACTAGGCTCTTCAAGAGTTTCTATTTTTTGATATAATTGTTTGTGTTTTAGATGAAACTGGGGTTTTTTGAAAAACAAACAATCTTGGTGATCGTCTTCTTTCAGGATGTGAGCGTGGCATTCGTCATCTCAGGGCTGCTCCATGTCTACCAGCGTATGATCGACCGCGAGGAAGAGAGCCTGCTCTTCGTCACCCACCCGGGAGAGATGGTGGGTCACCTGGCCGTCCTCACAGGAGAGCCCCTCATCTTCACCGTGCGAGCCCAGCGAGACTGCACCTTCCTCTCCGTATCCAAGGCCCACTTCTACGAGTAGGACCACACTGTCCACAACACCTGTGTCCTTTCATCATGAATAATGTGTGACTATCTCGGTGTGTGTAACCACAGGATAATGCGGGAGGAGCCGAGGGTGGTGCTGAACGTAGCTCACACGGTGGTGAAGAGGATGTCATCGTTTGTCAGGCAGATCGACTTTGCCCTGGACTGGATGGCCGTAGAGGCTGGCCGCGCCGTCTATAGGTATGCTCAACCAGGCAACGCTTTTCAAACTGAACAGATGTCCGACTCTGCAATCAGTCCAATTGTCTTCTTTTAGACAAGGAGACAAGTCAGACAGCACCTTCATCGTCCTCAGCGGTCGGTTGCGCTCTGTCATCGCCAAGGATAACGGCAAGAAGGAGTTGGCTGGGGAGTATGGCCGCGGCGACCTAATTGGTGTGGTGAGCTGCTGACGCGTTGGTGTCCACAACCCTGTTGAAACGTTCAAGAAAACAGAACAACAGCTCAGATTTCTGCGTCTGACCAGGTGGAGGCCCTGACACACATGAATCGAGCCACCACGGTCCACGCTGTCAGGGACTCGGAGCTGGCCAAGCTGCCTGAAGGAGCGCTGAACTCCATCAAGAGGAGATATCCTCAGGTGGTCACCAGGCTGATCCATGTGCTGGGACAGAAGATCCTGGGCAACATGCAGCAGGTCAACGGGCCTCTGACCGGTAATCACAAAAAGATTGTTTCCAAACCACCACAGTTGCAGTTCTAACTCCAGTTTAGTCAATACTGCAGCTGAGTCATTGAAGTGGTTTAATTGGTTGACTGGTTTACTCCTTATCTCTCTGGTATGCTCTCAGTTTATGCAACTCAAGTCCTTTAATTTAATTCCCTCTACTGTCACCTCAAGTGTGCTTCAGGGTCCTGTCCAAAGGCCCTTCCTCTTCATCATTTACATCCTTCCACTTGGCAATATCTTCTTCAGATTTGATGTTCATTTTCACTGTTGTGCTGATAACACCCAGCTCTACATCATGACTAAAGCCTTTGTCTCTCCTCTGCCCTCCTCCCTCACTGGTTGTGAGGGAGGAGGGCAGAAATTAAAAACTTTCTTCAACTAAACCGCAGCAAATCTGAGGTTATCCTCATTGGTGCCAAATGCATCCTATCAATTCTCTTTCTTACTTTTGATTCCAGTGTCACACCCTCCCCCAGGTTAAGACTTTGTTGTTTCTTATGGTAAATTTTTCTGTAGATACCAACAAACCAACTAAAGGCATTTTTGCTGCATTTTTGGACTTGAGCTCAAAGTAACAAACTCAGTTCAACTATCATGATGTTTTAATGGGTATATTTAAAATATTTTATGCAATCAAAAAGAAGCAAAAGGAAACCAGCGTTGGTTGTTTTCTTTAAGTTCTTTGACTGTAATGGTTTTGTGTCCTCCAGGTCGTGGCCTGGGCCTCCACACGCCCACCAGTAAGTGGGATGCTGGGAATCCAGCCTCTAATCTGTCCACTGTGGCCATCCTGCCGGTGTCGGACGACGTTCCTCTCACCACCTTCACCCTGGAGCTCCAGCATGCTCTCAGTGGCATCGGTACACACACACACACGCACACACACACACACACGCAGACATGCTGCTTCTTCAGAAGCTGCAAGTGCAAGTGTCAGAAAAACTCTTCACATCTTCCCTCATGTTGTCAAAAGGGATGTTTATACTGTGCACAGTGCCAATACCTGTCAGCTTTCTCACATTTCATCACCTTACATTAAAAATATTCAGTGTAATTTATAGAGGTTTAATCTGACAGACCAACATAAAATAACTTAGTACTAGAAAAAAATAAACACCTGAAAAGATGAGGTGTGAAAAATATATCTTTATAGCATTTGAAGATTATATAATCTGTATATTCTGCTCTGCTTATGATTTGTTGAAGTAGTCAGTGACTGAACGCCGCCCTGTTGTAATGCATTTGTCCAAACAAATACTGGATGAAGTATAAGCACAAACTTATAAGTACCAACTACTCAGTATAAGCAAGTACCTATACTGAAGTACTTGTACTGTCAGTAAAAACTTGGTATCAGGACTCTTTTTACTCCTAGATGTTTGCATATTAGCCAGAAGCTTTCATTTTTGTCTCATCTGACGAAGCACTTTCCTCTACAGTAGAAAAACTGCAAGTGGCGTTCCTGGTGGAGTTTTTTGCAACACTAGGTTTTCTTTCCAGTCCTGGAAATAAGGACTTTTAGTCCCACAATTATCAAGAAAGCAAAGCAGCTTTGTGGCTGCTTTGTTCATAAACTCTGTCTTTGCCACCATGACAATAAGGTGGACGGCCATGTCTCATGGCTGTAGCTCAGCCACTCAGAGCTCCATCAGACATTCAAAGCTTGGCATGTTTTAGATGGGAATCCTACTCTACTTGTCTCCACAGAGTCCTGTCTCTGGTTTGTCGGTCTTCATGACGCTGTTTGTGCTCTAATCTTCTCTAAAAATGATTTTCACACAATAGCTGCTATTATACTCAGCTTGAATTACACATGAGTAGCATCTGCTCACTATCATAAGTCATACTTCATTTTTTAGGGACAGATGGAGTAAGAGGGTTGAACACAAATTTACACCACGCACTGTTGAGTTTTATTGAAGGTTTTGAATCCCCTGTATTATGTTCTACCATTCAGCTCTATGATGGTTAAATAGTTTAGCAAGGCACTGATTCTACAGGTGAACTTGACATATTTTCTGGGAACACATTATGAAGTATAGATCTTATTTAGTTTCATGCAGCTTCAGATTTGTGGTAATGTTACTTAGTGAAACACTGCATCTATGTCGCTGTATGTTCCTGTTCTGACTGTATTATTGGTTCCCAGTGTTCTGAGGAAATCTGCTAATAGACCAAAACAGGAAGTAAAGAGACTTTTATTTCAGGAAAGAAATAGCAAGCTCAACAGGAAGTAAAACTCTTTGTCAGTGCATTAACATTTATTTATTAGTGCCAAGTCATCATGTAAAGGATTTAGCAATGTAACCAGTTGTTGTTTTTTTTTGTTATGGTCATCTACCAGGCCCTACCTTACTGCTGACTAGTGACATCATCAAACAGAGACTGGGCTCTGCTGCCCTGGACAGGTTAGTCATTGACTATATAAACTAAGAAACTTTTCCTTTTTCATTGCCTTGATGCTTTAGTGTCAGATCTGCAAACATGGAGTAAAACATTCTGGCTGATACTCTAAAACTTCCAGACAATACTCATTCACCTAATCTGCTGAATTCTTTACTTACAAAGTGTCCATGAGTACCGTCTGTCCAGCTGGCTTGGCCAGCAGGAAGACATCCACCGGATAGTCCTCTACCAGTCCGACTCCAGCCTCACACCCTGGACCCAGCGCTGCATCCGTCAGGCCGACTGCATCATCATTGTGGGGTTGGGGGAGCAGGAGCCCACTGTGGGCGAGGTCAGAGATGTCCACCTTCATATAATAATGCATGATCCCAGAGAAGTGAATAACATGATAACATTAGCTCAGACTGCTGGAAGACCTGATCTGGTTCTGACTGAAGGCTGCTTGAAGTGTGTCAGTGAACCACATCACATCCTCGTTCAGACTACACAACCAGACAGACTTCCCTACAAAAAGCTGCACTCAGTGCTCCTCAAAATGCCATTGCTAATAGCTTCTATTAGCCTCCTTTGTCTTTTTATGATTTTGTGGTCATACTGTGGGCTCTAATTGCTGAACAGACGTTAAAATTGGCCCATAGGCGGTTCCATCCGTTATTACTTGCGTGGTAAACAGCCCACTGCTGTGTGACATTTATGTTCTTCTTCTATGCATGCGGGTTGTTTTGGGGACATAAACAGAAGTCTGGATGTGTTTTATTTTGTAGCATGAATGACCACAAACACAAAATACAAACTTGATTTCAGCAAAAAAAATTGAATTTGAGAATCAAGATCTTATTGACTAAATCAGATCATCAGTCATTTGTGAAAAACTTCATGTAGCGGTGGCTACATTATTAATCATTGCCTATTCTAAAGGGGTTAGGGTGGTGGTCTTATTGTTATGCATCATCAGAGTATGTCTGCGTCTGCTGCAGTAGTAGCCTTTGGGTTGTCAATCAGAGATTCACAGGAAACTCTTAAGTGTCACGCTTTCTAAAAAGCTGAATTTTCTCCTCTTGTCCTGCTCGGTGATCATAAAACCTCTGACTCTGTGGCATGAGTTAGATTTGTTGTATTGTTGAAGTTGATTCATTTTTGTCTCTGTCCGTTTGGATTATTTTATTACAAAGTCCATTTACCAGTTTCAGGACCCGACCAGAACCCCTGGGTGTGAATTACCTTGAGAAATAATGAGATTTGGATTTATAAAAGCGGGCTTTAAAGCCAAAAAATGATCAAATGTTACAAGCCATACATGTCATACAAATGGAACAGATACAGAGTTACATTCACCGTCCTGCGCTCGGGCCACAGTGAGCTCACCTTATGGATGGAACCAAGCGAGGCCAAGACTGTATCGCATGTTAAGCTTTTTACTGTTTTCTGCAATCTGTACTGTCAAAGGTTGTCTAATCAGTTTCAGTGTGTTTATCTATGTCTGACGACAGTCACACAAAAACATGGTTGTGTAAGCTGTGGCGTGTGCATGTCAGCATATTAAAAAGTAGGCTAAAAGAGAGAAAGGAAAAAATTGAATAAAAACCAGTCGTGATGTGTGGTCTCTTTCTGCCTCCTGAAAACCGTCCCTGCTGCAGCTGGAGCGGATGCTGGAGAGCAGCTCAGTGCGAGCCCAGAAGCAGCTGGTGCTGCTGCACAGGGAGGACGGCCCGCCGCCCAGCGGGACGGCCGAGTGGCTCAACATGCGCAGCTGGATCTCCAGACACCACCACCTGTCCTGTCCCCGCAGAGTGTTCTCCAAAAGGAGCTTACCCAAGCTGGTACTGAACCTGGACATCCATGGGTTATGAGGGAGTACTCACCTACTGGGCCTTCTAGAGCATTTTCCACATTGAAGTTTGTTTCTGTTTTGCAGAGAGAGCTGTACGAGCGTGTGTTTGAAAAATGTCCAGATCGTCACTCTGACTTCTCCCGCCTGGCCAGGATCCTGACAGGAAACAGCATCGCCTTGGTCCTGGGTGGAGGCGGTGCCAGGTACCCATTCAACATTAGACATGTTTCCCCTTCTGGAACGTTCCTCTCAGTCCATTTCTAAACTTGAAAACTTCCAGGATAGAAACGGACCTCACTGGTAGGGAAATTGTGCTTTGGATCAGGGGTGCACTGATAAATGGGCCAGCTGATGAATTGCAGGTCTGGCTTCTGAACGATTGGTAATCGACAATCAGCCTGAAAACTGCAATTGGTGGATCTCTACTTTGGGTCTGACCCAGACAGAACCTTTAGGGTGAAGCTTTAGAGATTTTCTTCCTCATCTGGACAGTTATTGTTTGCATGTGTTTGTACGGATCACATTAAAGTGACTGTTTGTTTTGTGTTTAACCTGTTTTTTCCCCGCACTGCTCTGGCTTGTCCTGGAGCTCTGACAAGGTAGGACTTGTTTTCTACTCAGTGACTCATGTAAAAATAATGGTGAGCTTGATCCATGATGTCCATTTGAGGCTCTGTGTTTCTCCCCATGGCTTTGTTAGTTTAGGACGTGAACTTAGAGGGTGTCGGCACTTTTCAATTACCCTGCCATGACTGTTATCAGTATCATTGTACGATTGCTTGATATTACATGAAGTACAGGAAATATGTTTGGTGTATTTGAAGCACTTATGTTGTTCAGAGATGAAAGGATTTATCAGATTAATCGTGACGAAGCGATTATTGAAATAATCTGCAGCTAATTTAGTAATCAATTAGTTGTTAACTAAAATATACAGGCGCTAAAAAGGCCATTTGCTGAATGAACAACATATTCAGAGCAGTAATTAAATTATTAACCAGTAAACCCAAAAACATAATCACCAGATCAGCCCTACACTGTATTGATGCTAAGTTGAGCCTTTCAGATATTGATGTTAGACGGGTTTTTTATCTGTTACAAAAAGCTAAAAGAGCTCTTATTGCATTTTAGGCAATAAAATGTTTATTTTCTTATTTTAAAAATTTGATTTGTTGAATTGAATTTGTGTGTTTCCCTCTCTTAGTGCATTTCTAATATTGTAAAAAGAAAAATAAGGTAAATGGTTAAAGGAAAAATCTGCAAATTCATTTTTCTCCAGTGGCTCTTATCCTCTTTTGTAAATAACAGAAGTGTTTCTCTTGAATAAGTGAAATGGTTGTTGTTTGTTTCCATATCAACTGTATGGCTGTTCTTTCAGAGGCTGCTCTCAGATCGGCGTGCTGCGGGCGCTGATCGAAGCCGGGATCCCCGTGGACGTGGTGGGCGGCACCTCCATCGGCTCCTTCATGGGAGCGCTGTACGCTGAGGAAAAGAGCAGCAGTCGGATGAGGGTCCGAGCTCGGGAGTGGGCTATGGTGTGTTCACTTTCATTTCATATGTCTGATACCTTCTCACAATGTTCATCAACATATAGCAACTCTTTGATTTAGGGGCGCCAAAAAGGGGGGAAAGTTAGGACAATTCTAAGGGCCCCTGACTAACAAGGGGCCCCCACAATTTATTTATTTATTTTTTGTTTATAGAATTTAAAAAAAAGGGGGGGGGGCTGCAAATTTAAAAAATAATCATATTGTATTCTCAAAGATTGTTTTTTGGCATTAAAAAGTAAATGTTGCGCCCCCCAGACCAAAACACACATCCATATTTGGAGCTGCATGAAATGGTTGGTTCCTGCTTGGGTCACGGTGTTCAGCAGCAGTCAGTAGATTGTGTCAGGTACTAAGCTGTTAAGAAAAATGATAAAATCAGGTTGTCAAACAGAAAAATAAATAAGTAGAGGGAAAGAGAGACAAAGGTAAGAGTGTCAATCAAATTTTTTGTCATGGGGCCGAAGATTCCTGGCAGCGCTCCTGCTTTTATTGTTTTTAGCAAAAGAATCACACCTTGGAAAGCCTTGTTCCTTATTATGGCACAATTCTCCTCACTTCTTGTCCTTCGTTCTGGTTTTGTTCAGGGAATGACGTCGTACTTCAAGAAGATCTTGGACCTGACCTACCCTGTGACCTCCATGTTCTCTGGAGCCTCCTTTAACTACAGCGTCAGCTCCATCTTCAAGGACAAACAGATAGAGGTAGGTTTAGAGCACCAGCCTCCCCCAACAACAGTGGCAGGACAGTAAAGCTTTGGAGCCGAGCTTAACCCCAAACTTTCTACAGGGACATCCAAAACTATTTACACCTTTTAAATTTTTAATATTGTTTTTTCACAATCACAAGCTTCAATGTATTTTACGGAGATTTTATGTGACAGAAGTAAAATTGAAAAACATAACACAGAGCTTTCATTACAGTTTCATAAGTTGCACCATTTTGGGAACTAAATATCAAAGTGGACAGTCATTTCAAAGTTTCCTTGGGGGTTAATCACTACGAGGGTTTTAAGGTTGTAAAACTCAAATACTCATTTCCTAATTCCCCTCGATGATCAGAGTTTTCTCTTCTGCTGCTTCTTGTGTTTTTGTGACCCCTCCACCTCCAGGACCTGTGGTTGCCGTACTTCACCATAACAACAGATATCACCGCTTCCTCCATGAGGGTCCACACTGATGGTGTGTGAAACTGGCATCACTTCTCATACAGCTTCTTTAAATATAGTAAAACCACTTGTGCTTTCTTTTGCAGTCAGATCTTGATGAAATGAATTTTTGAAGCCGTCCACCTGCTGGTTGATTTTTAAAGAGCGGCTTTAGTCGAAGATGCTAAAGCTAATGCTATCTTTAGGTGAAACTTCCAGAAGACAGAAAAAAGAAACAAAATGCCTTGAAAATAAAAACAGAATCATCACAAATATAGAAAAAAAAAAACATTTTTGCTTAACAAAAACATCCTCCATTCATGTTTTTTCATATTTTAATCCCAGAGACATGTTGTCAGTGTTTTGTCCTTTTTCCCTCTACACTCGTCTCGTCCTCTGCACAGGTTCACTGTGGCGTTATGTCAGAGCCAGCATGTCGCTGTCTGGTTATCTGCCACCTCTCTGTGATCCCAAAGATGGACACTTACTCATGGATGGAGGGTACATCAACAACCTTCCTGGTGAGATCAGGCAGCTCCCACTGGATCTTAATAGCACAGAAAATTAGGACATTATACAAATTACTCTTGTTTTGATTTTGGATATGTTTATTTGGTAGACCAAGGAGAAGAGACCTCCACTCTTACTTTACCTTCATCAGTCTTCTTCATCCACTCAGACCAGCTTCTCCGTCCCCCGTTGAAAAATATTGAATTTATAATGGAAAGTGACAATGGGGAACAGGTGCTGAGGGAATCTTTCTCTTCTCCATCAGCTGACGTGGCTCGCTCTATGGGTGCCAAGGTTGTCATCGCCATTGATGTTGGAAGCCGGAATGAAACCAGTCTGACCAACTACGGCGACAGCCTGAGCGGCTGGTGGCTGCTGTGGAAACGATTGAACCCTCTGGCTGAAAAGGTCAAGGTACTGCTGCCGTGTCAGACCCGCCGCGGTTGGTAACCCCGCCTGCAGAGACTCTGGTTTTACCCGCCTCTTCCCTCCAGGTTCTGAACATGGCCGAGATCCAAACACGTCTGGCGTACGTCTGCTGCGTGAGGCAGCTGGAGGTGGTCAAAGACAGCGACTACTGTGAATACATCCGGCCGCCCATCGATCGATATGGAACGCTGGATTTTGGCAAATTTGATGAAATTGCTGTGAGCTTTTTGTCGTCTTCCTGGTTTTTGTTGGATTTTCTTTTGAAAAGTGAAAAGTATGTGAAGCTGGAAGGGCCGTTGCTTTGGTCTTGAGTTCAGGAGGTGGGGTACCATCATGGTAAGACTCTGTTTGACGTGTGGCACCGCAGCGGAGTGGTGGACAGCATGCTGCGGGACAGACACCAGGAGGAGTTCCATAAAACCACGACTGGACATGTGAGTGACAGCCAATCACAGCTGGAGTTTAGGAGGCGTGGCATTTGCTCTTTGTTTTCTAGTATTTCTATCATATAAAATCAAATTTCCACAGTAAAAAATGACTGTTTTGTGCCTGGAACAATATAATACATGTTATATGTTTTATGATATAACGAACAACAATTAAAAGTAAAACAAGAATCAGTGAGATGTTAATTAGAAGTAAACATCTTGTTGCTGCTGACAGCAGCTGTAGCTGACTAAGGTCTCCCCATCATAACAGGAACACAATATTTTTTCTACTTTCTTCATAAAACGAATATGGAATTATCTTTATAATAAATTATTAAAGGAGTGCAATGATTTCTGAACAGCATCCTAAAGTTACACAACTTTGTGTCTGTATCACTGAAAACCTGCTAAACAGAAGTCACCCAGTATTAGAGCAGATTTTTTTTATAAATGCTGGAATCTTCCAGGTGGTCACGTGTCCCAACGCCTCCTTCACCGACCTGGCAGAGATCGTGTCCAGAATTGAGCCAGTGAAGAACGCTCTGATAGACGGTCAGCATCACAGAATGAAACAAACATTGAAACCTAAACCTCTGTCTCCCTAAAGTCTTCTTTTTTCCCGCTGAAGTCTTTGGTTGTGACGTCTCTGTCAAAAGCTGTGAAGGAATCATGATCGCACTGTTTCCTGCTTCATGTGCTTTCAGAAGAACCATCTGATGAGTACCAGACTGACTACGACGAGGAGGCCGTGGAAAGCGCTCTGTCTGACTTTGAGGCCTTCACTCCAGGCAGCGAACACACTGAGGGAGAGGAGACGGCTGAGACTGTGAGCATCAAAGCATCCTGTGTTTTCTAGATGGACTGTAGAGAGAAAACCTCACATAAACTCATCCTGGGTGTTCATGTCATATTCAGTTTTTGGTTAGTTCAATCTTTGTCTGTGAAACTTTTCCCCATAAGCCATGTTAGGGCCAGGATGAGCCTTTCTTTTATATCATTACCAGAATTAAGTCTTAATAACTGGAAAATGAAGTAGTAATATGAAAACTCCAACATGAAAAACGGTTTAAAAATAAAATTAGGAATGTTGAGCGGTTTGCGAAGTCACACTTTAGTATCAGTTTTATAAATACGGAACTAATTCTTTAACTCTGATGAGTGTGTCGTGTTCAACAGGTTCTAACATGCAGCCCAACTGGGTGGAAACACAACCAATCTGGCAACTCTGATTCAAACAACTTTTTTCTCAGAATTTTCAAATTTTTTCCTAATAATATTGAATCTATGATCTACTAATATCATAACTTTGTTCTCATAGCAGTCAAATTATTCTTGTATTCAAAAACCTATGTACAGCACGTTAGTCTGGTTATAGTACTCCATCATAATTGACCATGTGAGCAGCTGCAGGTTTCAGTCAAACAAGAAGGCTCTTGTTTCTTGGCCAGCGCCCCCTGCAGTTCACAACGAGAACATCCCTACCTTTACCTGAGGCTGACAGCTGAGGTTACATGCTTACAAGTAAAATGGTTGTTTCTATCTGGACGGGATAGAAACCTACAAGAAGAATGGCTCAAATCAATAAAAAAATATTTATATAATATCATTACCAGAATTAAGTCTGCATTTCAAGATTTCTACAGCAATACCTGAGTAATACCTGATAATAAACATGTTGTTGTTTCAACAGGATGAAGAAGTCCCCGTCCAAGTCAGACACCGGCTCCAGAACGCCTCTCAGAATACTCACCTTTGACCTCCTTGGAACCACATGAAACTTATTTCAGAGCGGGGAGGAGTCAGCTGGTGTCGTCCTGGTGGACCTGAGCAGGACCGGCCCGCTTCCACTGGGAAGGAGAGGAGAGGTTGTTAGTTTGATCCTGAACTCCTCTGTGTGTGCTGGACCTCATGCTGACACTGGTGTGATGACCAGTGTGTGCCTGTAGGAAGAAACGGCTTGCTGTCATCAACACATGAAGTACTGCGTCCAACAGAAAACAATTTTATACACATCATTTATTCACATAACTATCATAGTCTGTTTAATGAAAAGTCCAGTCACTATTCTGCTTTTAACCTTTGACCTGTTGGAGCTGCAGCTACGATTCAAATTATTCATCATTCAATTTCACAAAACTTCTACTTAGGATGATCACCTTCATTTATATTCTGATGCTTATTCTGTGGAAAAACTGTAAACATGAACCAGAAGTCTTCAAACGTCACGCAGACCTGTTCAGAAGAAATACTAAATATCTTTAAAGCTGCAAAATGTAACTTTTATTAAATAAATATATGTTTTTTACATATTTGCTAAAACTGTCTCAGCGTTGTCTCTCAGTATATGATACAGATAATCTTTAAAAAGATGGATGTCCTCCGCCTCTTCTCTAAGCTTCTATTGTAGTACTTAGAAATGCAACGCTCTGACTAAAAACAACCAGTCAGAGCCAGGAGGAGGGGCTTAGCGCTGACAATCAACCTTTTGTACTCTGCTTAGTGTGCTAATGGCAGAGAAACAAGTTAGTGTTACTGGAAAACTGTTGAGCAGCCATGCTAGCAGCGTTAGCACTAACAACAGGCTATGCTATTAGGAAGAAGCTGCTGCGTCGCACCCTGTGTATGAACATCAAACAGAGGCTGATTGACAGCACTAAGACCCGCCTACTGGCTCTGATTGGTTATTTGAAGCTCGACCTTTTCACAGATTATCTGTCTCATAACATACTGTCATGGGATGGCGACAGTTTCAACAAAAATGTAAATAAATATGTTTTATAAAAGTTATTAACTGCAGTTATTTCAGTACAACGCCTTTCCTTTTCTGTTTCCACATTTTGTTTTGTTGAACATGAAACTTAACAATGTTCTGTCTGGACTTAATGTAACAGAGCAATGCAACAACTGATTAAACCCCCTTCACTGTGAAAACTGCATATTGTTTACAGTTTGGTTTACATAGCCCCTCTTTATTTAGGCAACAGATTGCTTCTGACAAAGTTACTCTTGTGACCTATGAACTTTATTTTGTCAACAGTTTGCGGAGCTTCTTCCTTTTTCAGCTTGTGAAATGTGTAAAAAGATTTTCCATATTTACTAAATCAGCCCCGCTAAATGTGTAGAATCTCAACTTTGTCACTGATGAGCTGTTGTATCGAAAGCTCTGATTGGTTTGGCTGCATTCAGCTCAATTAACCTGAATGAACTGCAGCTCAGTGAATTCAGCAGCATTAGCAGCTCAACCTATGCAGCCTTTACATGTCCTGGATTCCTTTATATCAGCAATGTGTTAAAGTTGCGTTACGGATTATGAAGTTGACAAAACGTTTTGTATTGTAGTTTGTGCTGCAGCTCTGCTCACGTAGCGTTATTGCAACACACTGCCAGATTGTCGTGACAATGTGAATCTTAGTTGAGCTTCGTTTTCCTGCCAAACACAGCAGCCGTTTTGTTTTCTGCTGACTGGAGTTTGACCCAAAGCCGAGCTTTACGACTGGAAAACAAAACTAAATGTTGGAGCTCGGAAAATACCTGATGCCAGTGTTACCCATTCTGTGTTTGACGTTATAAAATGCTAACTTTAACACTTGTAAAAACTCAACTTATATCTGTTGTCATACATTTTTAAGTGACCTAACATATGATGATATAGGCGGACTGACTGTTTTGTGATGCATACTATGACGACTGAAATGAAACCGTTGCTTTATGTAAAATTAAACTGATAACTGTAAGGAAGTTCTTGTTGGATGATCGTTTTTATTTCTATTTTAACTGTGAAGACTCAACAAGCTGATGATTGGACCTCATTGCTCTGAAGAACAGAAATGTATGTATTTATTTTTATCAAACTCTTGTGAGGCAAAACGATTAGCCTGAATTAAAATAACAGGAAGTCTTTAAATAATTAAAGACTTCCTGTTTCCTGTTGGGTCGATCTGAGTGAGGAAGAGCTATTTCTTTTAGACACTGGCCACTGGGTGGAACAGCAACCCATTTATTGCTACACACAGTGGACACAGTAGTCAGAGAAGTAAAAGTTACAGTAAAGAGTGGCATCTTGATGTCATCAAGTCTCCATGACAACCACTTTCAAACCATATGCATGATGAGAAAAGCCAGAAAAGGATTTATCTGTCCTACCATCACAAACATAAACACCTATGTGATGCGGCGCGCTTGTTTTGGCGCTGGGAACCTTCAGACGCCATGATAACATGACCTCACTGACGCCGCATGAAAAAGTGAAAATGCGTCATCAGTGGATATTTCAACTGCATCATGATGTATAAATATTCCCAAATAAACATAAAAATGAGCGACCATGCACAATTCAACCAACTCCCATCCTAAACCTGTGGCCTGAGCTGACATGACGAGAGCAGTGCATGGACTAGGCCACTCTCTGAATGCTCCATCCTACTGATACGAAGACAAAGTTCTGTTCTATTGGCTAGTGTGATATTTGTAAACTATTAACAGCATTGGGTACCAACATTTCTGTTATTTATTCAAAGTTCCTATATTTAAGGTTGAATTTCTCACAAGTTTTCTTAATGACATTAAGTGAATTTATTTTGAGGCCTGGTGAATATCTTTAGAAGGGCGTCCAGTAAATGTGGCCGACCCTGTTGCATCATCGGACCCACATCGCTGTTTCAAAGTGGTTCTGTTGCCTTTAAAGGAAGGTTCTGCTGTTTCCTCACACTCTGCATGAGCTGTGAACTGCTGACTTGTCTTTTTTTAATCCTTATTTCTAATTTATCAGTCGGTGAGTCTCTGCAGCTACTCGAGTTACCATGGACAGACATTATGTGATTCAGTCTGGTCTTCAGTCTAAAATCAACGTTAAAAAGTTTTTTACATGCAGTTTGTTTTACTAAAGTGACTCAAACAGTGATTAGTGCATGCTGATTTGTGCATAGAAACAGGATTTGCTCAATGTAGCGTTCTAAAAGGACATTATTTCCTGTATACAAATGACCACAGCATAAGAAACCCTGCCAACCCGACTCTGATCTGCTGCAGATGGACAGACCGGCAGCTCTGATCCAAGCAGCTGAATTCAGCCGAGTCACCTCTGGTCTCTCCTGTCCTGGCTCTGTGATGTGATCATTTAAGAAACAAACACTGATGATGCATAAAATCATGACTTCTAACTTTAAAGTTCTTTGGTTCCCCTTTTGCACCTAAAATAGCCCTCACTCTTAAAATCATAGGCTCCTCTGCACCAGGGGAGGTGTGTGTTAGTCTGTGTTTTCTGGCACAAAGATGCTAGCAGAAGATAATGAGCTGGATCAACTGTTTGTCTAGTTGATCCTTCTGAGAGACGACAGAATGCAGTTTTCACCGCAACTAGCCTGGAAAAACATTCGGCAAAATACAAAGTGCTGAAATCGGTTGTATGTATTGGGAGCTTCAGCACCTCATCTGTCAAATGTCTTGTGCTAAATCTAGGATTACTGAAGAGAACAACAGAACAAAACCCAACGCATCTAGATACCCCCCAGCCCAACTCCCCCCCACCAACCCCTATTCCAGAGACCTGTTCCTCAACCCTGGCTGCTTGTAACATATGCTGAGAATTTAAAGGTGAAACTGAATTTAAGTCCAAGTATGTTTCATTTAAATAACCTGAAATATAATTACAGAAGACAGAGGAGGCCCCATGGCTTCAACATGGGCCCTAACATCCCTAGATTCACCTCTGCACATGAGTTCAAGTCATAGTTTCTCCACTCCGTCTTTTCTATTTTGGAGTCATTTTAGGAGAACACTTTGCATTTAGGCAACAGGAATGTTTAGAGTTTAGTCTGATTGTTATTTTGATGATTATCATACATGCTTGGGAGGATGTTTTCTGCTGTGTAAGCTGAGGCGCTCTGACCCGCTCGACCCGATCTGAGGGGCTCTGACCCGCTCGACCCGATCTGAGGGGCTCTGACCCGCTCGACCCGATCTGAGGGGCTCTGAGCTGATCTGACCCGATCTGAGCCGATCTGAGGGGCTCTGACCCGATCTGACCCGATCTGAGCCGATCTGAGGGGCTCTGACCCGCTCGACCCGATCTGAGGGGCTCTGAGCTGATCTGACCCGATCTGAGCCGATCTGAGGGGCTCTGACCCGATCTGACCCGATCTGAGCCGATCTGAGGGGCTCTGACCCGATCTGAGCCGATCTGAGGGGCTCTGACCCGATCTGACCCCATCTGACCCCATCTGCCATGGCATCTCCCAGGTCACCAGCAGCTGGTTGACACAGCTCAGGGTGTGGTGTGTGTTGCAGCTCAGAGCCGCGCCTCATTCTGCTCACGCTCCACTGGATGGGCTACACTTCAGTGCTCCACACAGCAGAATGAAATGATGGAGCTTTCTCCACTGAAAGTTGTTTCACTGGAGAAAGAACCTTCCCTGCTTCTCCTTCCAGGTAGTAGAGTGGGATTCACCAGCTGTTTCTATTTTTAGAAGGGCTTCCAGTAAAGCGTGTGTGTGTGCATGCGTGAATGTGAGAGGTTCAAGCCTGTGGTTCAACCTCCTCGTCTTCCAGTTTACATGTTGAGTTCTCCGCACTGAAAGAACTGAAATGTTGCATATTGATCTGTAGTTTTGTCTTGTTTTTTCTTCTCTTTTGATTTGTGCTTGGAAAAAATACAAATGACCAAAAGTAAATTATTATTATTATTATTATTATTATTATTATTATTATTATTATTATTATTATTATTATTATTATTATTATTTCATTCAAACATTTATTAGGATGATGAGTCTGGGTTGTGTTCTGCTCTACAATATGGATTATTCTTTCTTCTTCCTGGCAGTGAACGGGGGGGCCGTCAGAGTGCAGCCCCCCTTTCTCTTCTATCAGGTCAACACACTTTTACTGGTGATAGAGTCTCTGAGAAGTAAGACGTTCTGAGTAAATATGAGCTTCCCTTATGAGCTCCTCTTTCATTCTCTAGGAAACTAAAAGCAAAAAGATTCGAACAGGAATCACATTTTTCCACAGAGACATTGATCCACAGCCAAACAAATTCATCACTCAAGTGCTACATCTTTAGGTTGCCTCATTGGGAACCAAAATATCATTTTACAAAGGAGACAAACTAACAAACAAAATAAAAAATATAAACAGCGACAAAACAAGTCATTCAGAAATTTGACTCTATGAAATAAGCTAATAAAATGTGAGTTAAGAACTAGAAGAAGATTTTGCCTTAGAAATTATTTGAATTGTCCCAAAGAAATCACATTGGAAAGCTTCAGATCATGACTTCATTGCTACCAGTTTTCTCAAAATGTGTGCATTTCAAATCTATATTCGAATATTTGAGAGGTAAGCGGAGACCACCGATGGTCGAGCTTAGAGCTGAAAATAGAGCTGTTCTATGTTGTCTGTTTTAACTCCAGCTAGAGAACACACGGTCTACTCTATACTTCTAGACATTATGGCCTTAAAGCTGTTATATGTCACCAGGCAGTAACAGTCGTACTCTGTGACGAAACTGGAAAAGAAACATTAGTCTTTGTTGGGTTCAGTCAAGTGCTCAGTTTGAGAAATCCCCGTCAGATGAGCAGGACTCAAGTGAAGCAGCATCACACCAGCAGTCATCCATCCATCTGTTACAGAAAAAAACTACTGACCATGACGAAGAAATTAACCTGAAAAACAAATGAAAAACATGAACCTTTAATCAGCATGGAGACGGAGGCGTGATGCTGTGTGATGTTTCCTGTTCCAATCATTTAGTGCTTTTATTCTCTAAAATCTTGGATCTCCCTGTTTTCCTTCTGGTTGAGTTTTACTGATGTAGCGTGATGACTAGCGTGATCAGCAGCTTGACCACCATATTCACTAATAACTGACTCTGTGGTTCCTGAGAACATGATGTTGACCAGAACAAGGAGCCTAAACACGACCTGCAGCGCTTCCTGTTCAGATAGTTTAAAACCTTCCTTAAATACACATGTAGCTTCTGTGTGACTCGTTTCTAGATGACTAATTCTAGTTGAAAACCTCATGACGTCAAAAACATGTTGACCAGTTGATGAGTTCCTGCTCATCTGACCCTGAGTCAGTTTGTGACTCTGTAGCATCATTTCCTCTGGCCTACAGTTTAATTACAGATAATATACATGAATAGCTTAACAAGATCAATAAATGATTTATCGCTCTCTCTTTCTCTCTCTCTCTCTCTGTATATATATATATATATATATATATATATATATATATATATATATATATATATATATATATATATATATATTATTATATATATATATATATATATATATATATATATATATAATAACATCACATATTGTGGTTCAAACTGTGGCAAACTGGATAGCTTATATTTCTCCATGGAGGTCAGACTCAAGGTCAGTAGGTTCTCCCACCTGAGCTGTGGCTCTCTGAAGCTCCTCCAGTGTTACCCAAGACATTCTGGGAGATTTACACTTTCTATTTTGGAAGGACAGATGAATGGATGTTGAAAGGGTTTAGATCCTAATCTGCCCTAATATTGAACTCATCATTCTTCCACTTTACAGTTCGTTATCTGCTGCTTTTTATTAGTCTGTCACACTCAATGCTGTCCAAATACATTCATGCTTGGGACAAGATGTGACACATGTAAAGGAGAATACTTTTTCCTCAAGATGTGCTTATCAGTTGAGGTCAAAGTCTAAATATATAAAAACAGACATGCATCCTTTGTGGGGTGGTATTTCCATGCAGCAGAAAGAGGAAGTGAGACCTGCTGCTGAAAGCCCCAGCAGACGCGCAGCTCAGTCCCTCCTCAGCACAATGAGAAGAGGAAGTGTTTGCAGCAGCACAGTTCACTTAACTTCAGTCTGAAAACAAACAGACCCCAGCGGATCCCAACTCTACAGGTAGGACTTCTGCTGCTCCTTCAGCTGGTTTGTGATTGTTTTAAGATTCCTGACCAAAGTCCAGATTCTCTGCTGATCGTTTTGTCTTTATATAGAAACATGGAAGAGTTGTGAACATAAAAACAACAATGAAAATGTAAAAATGTGAAAAAGACAAGTTAAATTGAGTTATTAAAGAGGGCAATGGAAATTCTTTAGCTTTCAATGTAAAAAAAAAAACAATTATGATTTAAAAGAGAATGGGTTTAATAATACCTCTGACTTTGTCCGCTCGTTAGAGATTACATAGATTTTACTCTGAAGATCAGTGTTTAGAAGTTTTTGAATTTTGTGGAGGCATTTTGTTTGAAAATCTTATTTATTCCCATGAAGTTAAAAACACATGAAACTCTTTTGGGTCGAAGGAGTTTGGGCAGAAGCTGATGAACCTGTTCCTGTAAACGGAGGCAGAACACAGGAAGTGAGATGCGTCACTCTCGCCTCCCTGCTGTTCGGCACAAACTGAACAGAATGTGTCGGAAATGAGAGAGAAATGAATAAATAAATAATGAGATCAGATGAATTCTGGACTTTTCTTTCGACATCAGGAGGAAATGTTCATATATGTGTGTGTGTGTGTGTGTGTGTGTGGTGTGTGTGTGTGTGTGTGCGTGTGTTTCCTATTACAGGTTCCATTAGCAGAGTGTCACCATGGCTCAAGGCTGCCTCAAGTGTTTAAAATACACCATGTGTGTCGCCAACTTCCTCTGTTTTGTACGTATGTCCCAATCACAGCAGGATCATGTTGTCAAGCTGATCTCATGTTCTCATCTCAGCAAACAATCAAGTTTGAATGTTTTGATTCACTTCAGCTGAAATCACAGAAACTAATCAGCAGAGTTTTCTACTTGGAAACATGATCCACTGCATGTCGTGATAATCAGTGTGTGTGTTCTCCCTGCTGTTAGATGTGTGGAGTGGCGGTTCTGAGCTTCGGTGTTTACCTGATGGTGAAATTGAACTTCGCTGCTCTCACCCCGACTCTGGACAGGCTCAACATTCCCAGCATGCTGCTGATCAGCGGCATCATCATCACCTGTGTGTCCTTCTTGGGGTTCCTGGGGGCCCTCAAGGAGAACCGCTGCCTCCTCATGACGGTAACACACACACGCACCCCCCTCACACCCACACCCCCACCCACACACACACACACCCACACACACCCACACACACACACACCCACACACACCCACACACACACCCACACACACCCACACACACGCACACACACACACACACACATAGTGTGTTGTTTTTATCAGTACAAGGACGTTCACTGATTTCTATTCATTTTTCATTCACTTCTGTTGCCTAAACCTGACCTTTACCCTAAATCTAACCATATCCAGTATCATGCTTAAGCTAACTTAACTGAAGCTTACACAGAACTCAGTTCACATCTCGATCCTAAACCCGGGGTGTCCAAACCATATTGTGAGGCAAAATTTTAAGTCAAAATGACTTGGGGGCAGAAAAATGGCATATTCTTAATAAACGTATATGATGATGCTATTTTTTATTTTTTTACCAACCTGATAGTGCAACAAGTTAGTTAAACCAATTAAGTAATCAGATTTATGTTTTTATTGGAAAGAGATGTATGAACCAAAACTCTCCTCAGATTTCTCCTATTAAAATAAACATTTGTTACGTATTGCAAAAACAAATCAAATCAAAAAAATGTAGAATTTATGCCACTCTGTGGTTGGAATTGGATAGATTTTATTCTTGCATAAGAAAGTTAAAAAGTGCTTATGTAAAGATGAATACTTTGTATTTGAATAAGATTTCAATTTGTCTCTAATCTTTCTGCCTCAAATAAAAATAAAAAAATTACATTTGCATCAACCACCTGTGCTGGGGATTGAATTTGTATTATTCTTGGATTGTAGTCAGGGGACTCTACAAACAGTCCAAGGGCCACAAATGGCCCCTGGGGGACACTGTGGACACAATGTCCTAAACCTAACTCCTAACCCAAAAGCAGCACTTCCTCTATGGGTCAGGGGTTAGGGTTCCATTAGGAGCCGTCGGTCCTAATGAAACAAAAATTAGCAATGAGAAAAAGAAAAAAGTTGCAAAAACAGTAATAATAAAAAAAATACACCACATTACAGAGAACAACCCAGTCCTCACTGTCATTTAGGAACTGTTCAGAGTGTGAAACAACATCTGCTGCTGTATGACACCAGAACATCCACAAGAACCAAGAAACAGAATGACTCCCTCTTTCTAGATGAATGTATATCAGTCAACATGAGAAAAATAACTTAGCTTAAACGGACATGTCTGAGTCCACAGAACTACGTCCCATAGTTCCTCTTCTACGTCCCTCCTAGATCTTTACCTGGTGAAATATCTGCTCCAGTTTTTACTGCAGCAAAAGCAGGAAAAAGGAGAGGAAAGCGTGAGAGAAGCCTGGTTCCTGGAAGAAGTTCCTGCAGTCAGCACATGTGGTTCACACCAAGATCTGTTGAAGAAACCGTTGCAGCAGAGCCGCTGATTTACATAGAACAGTGTGGTTGTTCAGTCAGCAGGCGGAGACGGTCCAAAACACGAGTCTTCCTGCGTGAAACGGAGCGTGTCCATCTGAAGACAGACCACTCCAACTGACCGCAGGGTCACATTTTCTCCTGACAGGATCACAACTTCACTGTGTTTTATTGGGATTTCAGGAGGCAGACAAACACAAAGTGGTGCATCATTATGAAGGAAAATGATACATATTATTTAAATTAGTATATAAATAAGCAGAGATGGGGAGAGTATCCAAAAAATGTATTGACGTAAGAGCAGCGTAACGTCAGCATCCGCTAAACAGAAAAAGTATCTGTCAAAGAAATGACTCAAGTCAGAGTAGAAAAGTAACTGAACAGAAAATCAACCATTTAATATTTCAAAATGAATCATCAAGTGGACCAAAATGTAAATTTGGTTGTTCAAAGACCAGAAGGAAAATAATTCAAATCAATATTAGAACTACAAAATAACAAAATCAACTGAAAGAAACATTTTTCATGATCAGTTTCTGTCAAAATCAAATCTATGAAACGTTACAAAAAACTGCAGGTGTGTGTTGGAGAACCTCAAGTTAAAACAAACTTGTTCTGCATTCAGCCAGGATCCAGACATTTCACTCAAATAACAGTAGCAATACCTCATAATAAAATTATTCAGGTAAAAGTCAAAAAGTATGTCACAGGAAACATCAAAAGGTGAAACCAACATTACACATCACCCTGAGCACACTGTGTCCATGACAAAACACAGTGGTGGCAGCTTCACACAGCAGCTTCACACAGCAGGGACAGAGTCAGCACCAGGGGGAGGAGGATGGAGCATCAACCTGAGCAGATGTGTCTGCTTCTGGGACCGGACCCGGTCATTCGGGCCCCACTTCGACCAGTTGACTAATATCTATCAAAGTGAAGATGGTTAAAAGAATGCAGATAAAATATTGACCTTCCCATAAGATGTTCAAAGTTTCACGCAGATAAAATATTTGACCTTTCATCCAAAACCTGCTTTAAATATGTGCAGAACTTCCATCAGATGTTTCTGTCTCATTTCAAGGCTTCACACCTCGCAGATGTTTGGACTTATTTCTAAATAAAACATTTCTTCGTATGTTTTCAGTCGTTTATCCATTTGAAAACCTGAAGACACGGGCAGCATTGACCACTAGATGCCAGGCCAGCGAGCTTCTACTGCAGCTCTCGTTATATTTGAGATGAGAGCTTTGCTTAAGCCTAGACCAGCTAATCCTAGTCTGTGTGAAAGTGAATCTGGTCTGTGTTCAGTAGAAGTTCTGAGTTGTTGGCGTCATGCCACACAGTTCCTGCTATGTGCAGTGATACAGAAGGACTCTGACATTGTTCAACGTTTAAGTGAGTAAAAGTGCAATGCTTTGTGTTGACAGTTTTTCCTGGTGCTCTTCATTCTGATGCTGGTGGAGCTCACAGCAGCATGCCTGATGCTCATTTATGAGAAAGAGGTGGGACTCCAGCACCACACACACGCTTTGTTCATGACCAGATCACACTGAAGACTAATCGCGTCTCTAACATCTCCTTTCAGATTGGCGATATAGTGACAAAGGATCTCAAGAACGGTTTGGAAAAAGCAAGACAGAATGACACTAAAATAAGCGACTGGGATTTAGTTCAGGAGACGGTGAGTGGAACCGAGATTCTGCAGAGATTCAGATGTTTGCCAAGATTCTGTTTTCATTTTCTCTGCCTTTCTGAAACAGTTTAAGTGCTGCGGAGTCTCTAATGTCAGTGACTGGGGAAATAAAATCCCTATGTCCTGCCGTACGGAAGCACCAGTTGACTCAAGAAATAATACACTTAAACCTGAGATAAAGTACAAAGAGGTAGAGGAACTAACACACATCATCTTTTTCGCCTGTATTGTTGACATGATTAATAATCTATTCTTGAAATAATATGTTGCGTGACTCACTGTTTGCAGGGCTGTTTGATGAAACTGAAAGACTGGTTTGAAGAGAACTTCCTGACTACAGGGATCGCAGTCATTATTCTATGCATCATTGAGGTAAGGATGAACAAGCAGCTTTATTCAAATGTTACTGGAGTTACAGCGAGACGGCTCTCTTTAGCTGTGCTGAACACTTCAGTTTGCAAACTTCAGTTTTCTATGTACAGTAATTCCAAGGATTTATTGGTGGCACACTGATATCAGCCATAAAACCCTGGCAGCTACTTGTTCCATATTGTAATCACTATTATTCCATCAATTAAGGTAGACACTTTGTGTGAGTTCAGTTGACTGAACATCAGAACAACTGTATTGTATATTGCATGTGGTTATGCTATTATTTAAAGAGCTCTGGATTATATCCTGAGACAAAACTTTCAGTTAATTTCTACTTTTCAGACTCAACTTCCTACAGTTCTTGATCCTTTGTTTTTAGGAAAGTTTTTAGACAATGAGATAGAGAACATCCCTGTGTTTATATACCCATTGACATATTTTCTCCAAACTTGTGTTTTTCCATGCCTTTCCATAACTGGAAACCATTCAAATCCAGTTCCACATGTTTTCCAATTGAAATGGAAAGTCCATATGGATGAATGAAGATGCTGGAATCAGAGTGAAAAGTATCCGAGTGTCAGAGACAGAGAAATGTGCCTTGGTTGGTTGAACTCTGCTGGTGTTTGACTCAACTCTGAAATGTGGCACTATAAAATAAATCTGATGATGCTTGAATAACAGGCCAAAACCAATCTATATTAGAAAACATATGCATATATGTTGGGTTCATTTCCTCTTTCTGATTAACTGGTTTTGCATGTTATACTATGACATGCATATTCATAAATAAAGAATATTAAAAGCTGTTCAAATGTAGTCAGTTTTGCTTAAAGCCTGATCAGATCAGTTCTCTCCTCTCCTCCTTCAGAGAACCAGTGAGCTCTGGTTGTGGTTCTGTGGCTCCACAGCCTGGACCTCTTTAATTTGGGTTATTGATCATTTCCTTTCTGTTCATCTCTGGAACTCACCATGTCTGCCTCTGCAGGTCCTGGGAATGTGCTTTGCCATGACGCTCTTCTGCCACATCAGCAGGTCTGGACTGGGATACAAGTTATAAAGACCCTGTGGCCTGACATCGTTGTACAGTTACAAGTCCTCCTTAAAAGCCTTGAATTCAATTCAATTTTCTTGGACATTAAAAAAAGAAAAGCTTCATTGTATAGATTTTATTATGAACTTCACAAGGTCGTCACCTTGGTTCAGACTGTGATGTGAGCATTGCTGTATTTTACTTGTTGCTGTTTTTCCCTGCATGTCTTTATATTAGACGGTTTCTGATGCAGTAAATTTGTTTCTTAAATCAGCCAATAAAGTTTGGTTCGCTCAGAGCCGACACCCATTTCAGCAGTCGTCTGCTTGTTGTCACATGACTTCCTGTGTATGCGGCCTGTGGCGAAGGCTTTAAAACCCAAACTTCCTCTCCTGGCCATTTTCAACCAGCTAGAAACAAACTGCAGGAGCAGGAATGAAAAACATCACCCAGAACAAAGTAACACAGATTAATTTATTTCTCTCCAGAATAAATCCTGCATCAATAGTTTAAGACCCAAAAAAAAAAAAAAAGAAAAAGAAACTAGAAAAAATACTAGAATTTCATTTATACTTTAAAATTGTTTTTGTTCTGTTTAAAACCATCAGACAAAAAAATACAAATACAATTTCTGCAATTTAAAAAAAATGTAACTGTACACAGCAGAATACACCGTTTATTGCAAACTGAAAACACCTGACGCCGCAGAAACAACAGTATTGCAATTCACCTAAAAGATATGAAAAGACAAAATAAAGAAACTACTGATACAGCTCTCTCTTCCTTTAACTCTATGAAACTAACAGCTGTGAAAAGTTTGGTCCACCCCACCCTCTGAGTCTCCACATGCAGCACAGTGTCTCAGACGAGGCGCGGGACTCTGCAGGTCCACTGGAACCGGGCCGTCCCGGTTACTTCCTGCTTCAGATAAATAAGACGAGCGGCGGCTTGAGCAAGACGCCGCCATATTGCAACACTGAGCCAGAATTATTGCAAGCAAATACAGAAGTGAGACCCTATGAGTAGAGAAGGACCTGTGCCACAGAGCAGTTTGTCTCTAAAAAAGAATCACCCAAAAAAAAAAAAAAAAAACATACTGTTTTAACAGGAAGTTACAGAGCAGCTCGTTTCATTCAGCAGCCTCGCGCCAGTCCGACGTTCAAGTTCTACTCAAACATCCCTGATCAGGATCAAGTTTCCACACACCACATAAATTACTTGTACAGTTTCTAAACGTTGCTACCAGCAACTGTTCTGTAGTGAAGCTCCTATGAGCTAAATGTTGCTGACGAGTTTGAGTTCATGAGGAGAAGCATTGTGACGGAGGAGCAGACGGTACCGTGTTAGCCGGGAGGCTAGCCGTGGTCACAGACCAGATCATCCACAGGACACGAACACACACACAGGCAGCATGTTTCTCTCTAATTACAAAAATATTTTCCTGAAGCCTCTAATGTTTTTAAATGTATCTAGTTTAGTTTGTTTTCCTAGATTAATTTGTGTATTGAATGTCTTTTGATGTGCTATTTGCTTTGTACATTCTTGTACATTCTTGTACATTTTCATTACAAAATAATGAGGAGAAAGAGGCTCTAGCCCAGTCAGGAGGAAGCATCCAGAGTTGGGGGTCCCAGCCCCATCAAAACATGGAGGATCAAACGCTGGCTGTTTGTTCAACTCGACACTAGGAGACAGGTTACCATCACAAAGCGCTGACCTCGGGGGGTCATTTCTGATCAGCTGTGAAGCTCAGAGTGACGGGAACTGTGCCAGGAAGAAAAACAATCTGGGGGAAGAAAATTGAGACGACACCAGGACACGCTGCTTCCTTCACAGGCCTACAGACTCCTGAGCTTCCAGCACAGGTCAAAGGTCAGGGCTGAGAGCTCAGTGAAAACCAGGACCACCACTGCAGCAGGCTTGCAGTTTACTGTGTGATCCAGCAGATGGCGCACACTGACCTGCTGCTGCCTGGCAGATCAAGTCAAGCAGAACTGAATTCATCAGCAGCAGCAGCAGCAGCAGCAGCATCATGGATCACAGAGCTGTAGTCAGCAGTTAGAGGTGTGTGCTGAGCCAGCAGAGCAGCTACTGACTGAGCCTGAAAGCAGCCTGATAATGATGCCCCCTGCTGGCTGCCTGCGCCAATGAAGCAAGCAACAACTATGGCTTATGTTTGGTTCTGGCATCAGCAGACAGAAATATTAGCCGAAGATTCAATTTTCTTAACCATCCAAAACAGAAACAATTGCACAGATCTCATCAGCTGCCCTGACATTCTGAGCCCAGGTTAACCATCAGGGTCAACAGAGTGACCCGAGCAGCCTGAGATGACCAACATGTTGCCTGGATAATGAGGAAATACCGTGTCATCACTCATGGAGGTTCCAAAACTTTCACCCTAACTTTAGGAAACACCAAGAAAAAGTGCAGGAAGCTGCAACCCAACGAACAAGCACAACAACCGTCTCTTCACCCAGCCAGCTACCAGAGAGAGGTCAGGTATGAGCAGACCTCCATGCAGCGGTCTGACCACGGCTCCACTCCCAGTCAGAACCCTGACCACGCATCTCAAGCTCATGGGGCCTGCTATTTAAAACCTGACCTGGTGTAGGGCGGGAGGAGGCTCAGCCTGTTTGGCTGAGCCCTGGTCAGTGAGCTGCTGACCTCTGCAGGACACTGTCCTGTAAACCTGGTGGCAGCTCCAGGTCACCTGAACCTCCTCAGTGCTTCCTCCCCCACCCTGAGACTGGCTGGTTTGGTGATTGTGTTCAAAAATTGATCAAAATAGTACATAGAGAAAGTTCCTATTAAGACTACATTTGTCATCCTCTAAGAAAAGAGTTTCTGCTCAGACCTCCACCCCCCACTGAGTTGGGTAGTTGGTCGTAAAGTGAGGAAGTGTCAGAACATCAGCAGCTCTGGGTTGTTAACCTGACTTCTAGCTTCCTCTGGTCTGACTAACAGGGAAACAAGGAGCAGCATCCCTGCATCAGAAACCCCTCCCTCTGCGTCGCAGGCAGTGTGTCTCTGGGTTATCCTAGTCTTTAGCATCAGGTCTTTGTCTGGTATGGTAAGGTTCACCATCACACTAAGCAGAGTGTTGCGGTTGCTTGTAGAGTTTGGTATGAGCTGTGCGGCTCCGAGGCTGAGCGGGGTGCCGGGTGGGGATGGGGTGGGTGTGTTCTGTCTTTAGAGCCAGCTGTGTCCGCTCAGGTAAAGGAACGCTGTTGCGTCTCAGCCGGGACTGAAGAAGGTCTAGAGGGGCATCAGCCTGGTGGTGTGGAACAGGAGCGGGTTCAGGTCCTCGGCCTGGACGGCCCGGTGAAGCGATGGCTCCGAGCGACTTCGCTCGATTTTTGGCATCAGTTCCTGCACCTGCTCAATGGCTACCAGGATCTGGAAGGACACGACCACACGTAGAGAAATGGCTCAGTGATGCTAAGAAAACAAGTTTCTACAGATTGTGAAGGACTCAAGTCAAAGTCCTTCACCCTGGACCTGGACTGTGTTGAAATGAGCCAGAGAATCTAAGACTTTTTAAAAAAATCTCTTATCTTTCTCAGCTGTATTTCCCTCCACAGTAACATGCTTGTTGAATTAAAATGCTTCCCCAGGCCAGTAGCTTTGTGTTTCTCATATCAAATTTGGCAGCAGCCTCAAATCAGAGCTAAGTTTTTTTTTTACACAGAATGGATGTAGCATCATATGAGCTGGAAACAGAAGTGAGCCACTGGTGAAGACTGACGTTGTCCAGTCAACTGCAGATAGATGCAAAAAGCTAGCTAGCCAGCTAGCAAATCTACTCTAGCTACTAGCAGTAGCAACAAAGACGTCTGTATGCGACTCAAACTGTTGGCCGATGAAACATCCGGCCAGAACAAAAAGAAAGAAAAAATACTAAATATAATATATGAGGTTAAATAATTCCATCACAACAAACTTACTGCTCTGTCATTAGCATATTAAAAGCCAATTCATAATGAATTTAAGATTTTTTAAGGACTTAATTTTAAGAACTTTTTGTGGGATGATATGCTGGTTCTCATTTTAGCAGCAAGCATCCATCTCTCTGACCCACCTGTGGAAAAAGGGGCCTCTCCTCCCGTTTGAACTTCAGGCAGTCGACGATGAGCCTCCTCATGGACTTGGGTGAGGTGCTGCACAGTTTACCGAGGTCTGGGGACAAGTAACCACGTCCCACCATGAACAGTATCTGAAGCAAAAGGAAAAAGAAGAACAGACATCAGCCTGTGCCACGTGTGCTGAAAGACTGAACAAGCGGCTGCAGAGTTTGAGGTTCACTGTGTCATCCTGAAGAGCAGCAGAGGACTGACCTGAACTAGTATGACTGGGAAGATAATGAAATGCCGTGTAAAGCAACAATTAGACTCTTAGAATAGAAAATAAAACTAAACACACCTTGTAGGAATTCAAAGCATGCACTTTTCAGTGATGACCTAATTATGTATGCATATTTTGTCACAATGGTTTCTCGGTTCGGTCTTTTTTCTTTTTTCTGTAGAAGCAGACTTCGAGGGTGTAACCCTGTATTCTCGCTATCCTTCTTGTACCGTACTCTATTACATTTGAGTAACACCCACAGCAGTTTCTAAAAAAAGTTTAGAAATATCAAATAGAGCGTCATAGTGAAAGAGCTCGACACTCAGACAACAATTCTGAGCACCACTTTGCTTTAAAATAATAAAGCAAATTAATACCATTTGTTACTTTAAGATTATATTGCTCACTCCTCCAATATATTCCAAATATAGAAATGAATCTTTAAAAGTGTTTTTTAGCAGTTGACTACTCTGATGTGGTATTGTACAGTGAGGGGCAAAAAGCATCTGACCTCTGCAGTGTTTATCATTGCTCTCATCAAGCAAAGGAGCAAAAAACCACAGATGGACACAACTAATCAGAACATCAGGCTGACCTGAGCAGTGAGGTGTTGAGTTAGGCACACTGCCCAGAATCCTCCATGTTTTAGATACTTCCTGGTTCAGAACACCCAAGTCAAATCACAACTCATGAACAGAACTCTGCAGAAGCAGGGACAGCTAGAACATGCAGCTGGTCAGCTCTGGGTTAGTGAAGTGTCGGCACCAAACCTGGTCTCTGTTGTTGATATTGGAGTAAGGAAGCGTTCCTGACATCAGCTCAAACAGCACCACTCCATAACCATACACGTCAGACTGGAAGGTGTACGGGTTGCTGTCCTGCATCCGGATCACCTCGGGAGCCTAGAGAGCAAAGAGAGAAAACGCAGCAGCAACATGTCAGCATCAGATTCAGCAGCTGCCACCTAAAGAGAGCAGAAGAGAGAATTACTCTCTTTCAGTGCAGTTTGTTTCCATGGTGTCTGATAACTACCAGGAGGATTTTACTGCTTTAGGAGATTTTCTCTTATGAACAAAGAGACAGTGCTGAAAATTATTGCTGTATTTTAAAATAATAAAAAAGTGAAGAAAATAAAACTTTCAATTCATCCAGAAAACTGGCCAAAAGGGAGCCAGTGTGAAGCAGATGCATAAGTTATGGTGAGACGACGAACAGCAACATGTTAATGAAGAGCTTACCATCCAGAGGATGGAGCCACTGGGCTGCTCTACTTGCTGGGAGCCGCTCCATCGATACTTCACCGTGGCCAAGCCAAAGTCTCCGATCTTTACGGTCCAGCCCTCGTGGAGGAAAATATCTGGTAGCAGAGCTGAGAAACGGTCCAGCAGACATGTGGTGCAGAGATCTTTGTATCACATACCACAATAACCAGGCAGATATTTAAAGCAGTAAAAGGAGGCTGGGGGTCAGTGGAGCAGGGGAAACTAACCACCAAGGGAAAGTTTGTTGAAGCTCAAAACTTTAAATGTCAAATTAGTCAGCACCTAACAAGAATGAAGAACATTTTACCTTCAGTTCCACATATCAGTTTAATGTCAAATGAAATATGTGGAGGTCAAATGAACAAAGTATGGTTGAACAATGACTATTCTTTTTTTGTATCGCTTACAAACAGATGATTTTAATCCTGTTTGGACCTTTAGAAGTTGCTGAACTCTGAGCTAAACTGAGAAACACAAACATGCATTTATTAAAGAGTAACACTGGCAAAGCAAGGATACTGTTAGATTTCAGGTCTCGATGAATGATGTTCTTTGCATGAAGGTAACTATGGAAGAGACGAAGAGCAGAATGAAATAAAATCCACAAATCTTCATAAGGATCTACTCCACTGACCGGAGTCAAACATCCCTTCATGGAAATTCAACTTTCTGTTTCCTAGTTGCTCTTTATCTGTTCAAAAAGCTGTATAATAAGTTCCAGTTATTTTATTAAACTTAAGAATCTACTGTCAAAATAAAGCTGATCATCTGCTGAGAAAGACACACCGGATGCCTCTCATAGTCAGTCTTCCCCCAGTTAAAATGTGTTAGTGGAAAGTCATGTGAATGTCTTACTCCATGCCCTGCGCCGTCTGTCTGGCCACATCAATGCGACGCATCGTGTCAAACTTGGTTTCTGTGACGTGCAGATGGCGGTAAAGGCTGCTGCCCTCACACCACTGGGTGATGATGGCAAAGTTGGGCTTAGTCATGAAGCCCATGAAGAGCAGGATGTTTACATGGCGGGTTTTGCTGCAAAGCACAAATAGAAAGCATGTTAGAAAGTCAGCTGGATGTCAGTGGATCTCTAAGAGTTAGTTCATACTGAGGACATCAGAGTCACACTTACCGCGTCACCGTCTATGATCAACCAAAGACCTTTATAATAGTAGCAGGGCTGGGAGATGCAGCTTTAATTTCTCCCATACCCGATTTTATTTTAATAAATTTTTTCTCAATTTCTTTGCATTAAATTTTCTAACAAATCACAAAAATATTTCCAAAAATGACTTCTATTTCAAATGTCCTTTGTTTGAGTTGTAATATGAGGGCAATATGAGGACATTTGACAAAAGTGTCAACTTTGCATTATTCAGTAAATAATGACACTTTAAATGCGAAATTCCATTAAAAGTTGCATTTAAAGTCCATTAAAAACGTCAATTTTGCATTAAGGTCGTCAATATTTACCAAATAACACTTTGTGAAAACAGTAGTAAACATTCATGAAGCGTCCTTCGTATTCATGACAGATGTTTTGTCATATTTATAATAGTGTCTTGTCAGTTTTATGCACATCCCTTCAAATAAAGTCTTACAAAAAAAATCCAAATTTTCAAAAAGGAAATCTTCAAAAACATGATTAATCGATAAAAGGATTTTTTTGCCTACGCCAAAAGAGCAGAAATCAACAGGATGCATTAGTAGTACTGAATGTTGAGTATGAACCACATGGCTGCTCACCGTAAGACCTGCATTTCATTCTTGAAGGCCTGCAGCTGCTCAGGCGTTGGCTCTTTAACCTTCAGGATCTTGATGGCCACGTCTCCGTGCCACTTGCCCTTGAAGACCGTCCCGAAGGAGCCCGTGCCTATTCTCTTCTGCAGGGTGACTTCTCGATAGGGGACCTCCCAGTAGTAACTAGAGTCTCTGTAGCCTCCGCGGTGCTAAAGGAACACAAAGTGACCCTTTACTATCTACTCTCCCTCAGAGGACAACCATGGATCAGGCTGGAGACAACATACCACTTTCTTTTTGTCATCGGATGAGGAGGATTTGCGTTCCTTGTGCTCTAAGGGGGACTTCTGCAGCCTCCGTCCAGGGGAGCCCAGAGTGGAGGGCGGGCTGGTTGGGGGTTTGGGCGAGGGCTCTGGGCCTGAAGGGACACATAACACTGATAAGGATGAGATGAACCCAGATTGGAAATGAAACCAGAGCAGATGTTTTGAGGGGGCTTACCTATTGTGTTGTATTTCAGTGTTTCCTAAAAATATTGGATAAAAGAACATTAAATGTTGGTCAGTTGAGGATACACATTGTTTTAATGTTCAGTAGGACCGTCCAAATAAAGCTGACCTCTATGATGACGACACTAGCAATATCCACTGTGCTGACCATGTGGACGTTGGGGGTGGAGGTGGAGCGATGTCTCTGTAGAGACTGACCGTCTCCACCTGTTGTTGGAAAGTTAAAGGTCGGGGACAGAAGGCCTGATCTGCAACCATTCCGGAAAACACAAACAGTTTTTGTTTGAGAGTCAGTTTAACAGATCACAAGCTTTTGATTTCAATCCATCTGGTTTGGTCCTGAGCTTACCCAGCAGGCTCTGGGGTTAAGGCGAGGTTGCTCTGCGATGGCAAAGTCTCAGGCAACATTATCTGAGGATAATCTGTGCAGGAATTGCTGTCACACCTGCACGAAATAATCAGAGAACAAAAACACAATTTGCAACAAGTTTGTGCCAATAGACAGGTCAACAGCAACAGATAATTAGTAATAATTATATATGGAGAGTGAGACAGCTGAGGATAGTACATTTCTTTCTATTTGTTGTGTGGAATTTGCTCATGTGTCAGGCTCTTTCATAAAATAAAAGTACCTTCTATTTAGGATTATTGAGCATTTGCAGGAAAACTATATACATACAAAGATCTGGACAGTGACCTCATAAAAAGAAAGAAAAGTGCAGTCAAAAGTCTCCAAAAAACCCTCAAAATCCAGCAAGAAAGAGGTAAATATCTGGTAAATTTTAACTTTAGACAAGTTGGAAGACCTGATGATGACCTACTAGTAAGTAAAACTCACCGTTTGCTCACTGTATCCATGTCAACACACACAGTGGGGACTTTGCTGCTGCAGTGCTGGTGAAACTTGTAGCCACATGTCTGACATCTGAAGCCATTAAAAAGAAACTTGTGGCAAAAATCACAGTAAGCCAGTTTGAAAAAAGTTTTCCGTACCTGTGAAAAAAAACACATCCAAGATATTCGATTTATAAGAACAGCAGACAGAAGAAATGTTGCAATTCTGACCAGGTACTTACAAAGTTATGCATGGTAAGAGGAATGTCATCCAGGACTTCGACTAGCAGCTCCTCTCCGACCAGAGGGGTGATGTCTGTGTCCCAGTCCGTCAGTCTCTTACGACTATGAACAGGAACAGAAACATGTTGAACAGCAGACAGTTTTGACAAAAAAAGAAACTACAAACGGTTAGGGCATCCTGCTGTATTATAATCAAGCATAACAAAAATTTCCACCGTCTGTTTGTGGTCCTTGGCAGCGGCTTTGCACTTCTCATACTGCATATTTATCTCTACAGCCTTAATCCAAAATTCAGGGTTTTTTTGTACATAATGCATATAGTCTTACAAGGTTGGCAACATAACTGAGGCAGTAGTGAAAACGAACATCATACAGCAATGAAGATGTTTGGGCATAATTCAAACTTTGCCTGACAGAAATGTCAAGAGAGAAAAAAAAAGATCTTATATATTCAATCTTATATAATCTTATATATTCAATAATATATAAGATTAAATAACCCTGTCACGACAAAATGGAAGACTTGTGATTAACGTATTTAAGGTCAACTTACATTTTGTTTAATAAATTTAAGGCATTTTAAGGATGCGCGAGCAACTTGATAAAAGGTGCATAACAGGACTGTGTAGCACCTGACAACATTCAGCCACTGCTGTCATTTCAATCAGATGTGCTGAAGTAGAGATGTGCTGAAGTAGAGGCGGATCTAAAATATGGAGGGCAGTGGGCTGTGAGGGTCAGGATGGAGGGACACATTTTAGCCCAATTTGAACAAGACTGTAGTGTGAACTGTGGACATGTGTTGCCAAGAGCCAAACATAGGAGAGGGACACATCTGCTAGCTGATCATTCCCCAGCTTGGTGGCTTGCCAACATCAACCTGGCACCGACTGGTTTCTCTGTTTACTCTTCAAACTCTTGTCCTTGAATCAGTTGTGTTGCAAGTTTGAATCGTTCAGCTGTTAGTTTGATGAATCAGTTCATGATCTCAAGTGAATTTAGTGTTTGAGATGACAGAGAAAGATGTGGATTCTCCGTGTCTTTCACTGGAAAGACTGAAGCTGGGCAGCAATCACTGCCTTCGATTGACTCACCAGTAGTGCAGCAACAATTTTTAGTTAATGTAAAGATTGTAACGTGTAACATGTTCTCCAAAAGTTCAGAATACAAATGCAAAACTAATGCAAAGATTACTTTAGACTGCTGTTAGTTTACTGTCAGTTCCTGCTATGTTTTTTAAGACTTGCGCAACCGTTCAACTTCACATTGATCTGCTGAGGTGTTTGGTAAGCTAAGGGTAAATGGACTTCAGCCTGTTAGCTGAATGACTGAAAACTATTTAAATAAACCTTTTTGCTGAAAACAGCAGATGTGTTAAAATTTTCACCGTCTCGTGACAGTATAAGATAAGACAGATAATCTGAAACAAACTAAGCTCCTCTGTCTCCTCCCTGTGGCCCTACTGCCATCTGCTGAACTACAGAAACAATCAATCAGATCAGGCAGGGGTGTTAGCGCTGTCAATCATCCTCATGGACTTGCTGCTAAGTGTGCTAATGGTAGAAAAACAACTTATTGTTACATAAAAACTGTTTAGCCACCATCATTGATGTCTATGCTAACTAGCCTTAGCTTTCGTGGCAAGCTCCAGTGCCGGGAACTAGCTGTAGCGCAGCAGAGAGCAAGGGAGGAGTTTGTGTGTGTGTAGTGTGTACATGAAAATGAATAACTGTGCTAAGGTGCATCTCCTGGCTCTGATTGGTTAGTGCATTTCAGCAGGTGGCTGTAGGTCCACTGGGAGATGGCAGAGGAGCTTGACTATATGTCTAATTTTATACTGACAGGACATTATGACAGTTTTAAAAAATATGTTTAAAAAAACAAACAAAAAAAAACATTGTTTATAAAAGTTACATAGAGCAGCTTGAAGAATAAAAAAGCTTGCATATATTTTAAATATTTTCCCTACATGTAAATAATGATTTAGGGTGATAATGCGTCTGAGTGGATGTAGCTGGGACAAGATTAGCTGTGGTTTTCTGTGGAGACAGTGAGGAATGCAGTGTAATGTTTGTCACTGATGTAGGAGGAAGAACATCTTACCCTTCTAGAAGGCGAAACACAGCACAGCAGTCTTGGCTGAGGCCTCTCACTTTGAGCGCTTTATTAAGACTCTCGTACACGGTTTGTCCTTGCCGGACGTTCACCTGCCAACAGAAATCCTCAGGTCAACAGCAGAAGCTTAAACTGACATTCAGTCGACTGGCAACATGACTCAAAATGGGAAGCAGCACTATGATCACTGAGTTGGCGTTAGCTGCTGCTGCTGCTGTTGTTGAGAGTGAAGCTCCACGCTGGAGCTTCAGTGTGCAGATTCTTTTTAAAGCCAAAACAATGCTACATTCCTGCTCTGACCACAACAAAGCTCTTATAGATGACAGCGTGGGATGTCAGACAGCCACAAGCTCCACTTCCATGGCAACATTACCACACAAGATGTTTCCCAACTATGTGTGCATTTTTAAATGATGCACCAGGGAGTTTGTGCATGGATGTTTATTTTGACAGCAAAGGTGGGAAAAATAAAACTGAACCAACATCTTATCACAAGGAGGATTAGACTTTTGTACTTGGACTGAGATTGAGATATCTAAAAATAGCCAATATTTTTGCATCTCAGCCATGCAAACTTTACAAATAAACTTGTGGTCAACTTTTTACTTCAAGTTGATCTCAGTTTTAGGATCGAGTTTATCCACCCATTTTGTAATATGACCAGATATTTTTGATGAGGTTTGATCGTGAGGACTTTCCTGGCAACATGTCCCATAGGGGTTTGCATGTAGGGTGATAATGCATTATTTATCATTTTGATTTATTGTTCTATCAATATATTAGTTAATGTTTAAAACTCTGAAAACTGTTTATATTGTCAGGACTGTTTTTACAATTTTTTTCCCCACTGTTTGTTCAATAAAAGTTTATCAAATATCAATAAATTTTAAAATATGATTAAATGGAGTAACTGTGTGACATTTAGTGATACAAGTCAAATGTTTTTATGCCACTGATTTCCTAAAGGACAGTATTAAAATAGAAACGACCTTCAAGAGCAGTATTTGTGCTTGTGGGACTCTGATTGTCATATCATACAACCCCAGCTATACAGTTACCTAAAAAAGTAATTCATAGTTTTTCTCATCACTTTTATTGTTATGACAATAGTACCACAAAATAGTGTAATAAAACCTTAAAGTCTGCCCTTAGTCCAGTCTCTCTTCTAGACTAAATTGCATCCGGATGCCATTTTGTTGATACAACACAGGATTCATGGGGGAATCAATGTTTCTTCTTTAGACAAACGTCTTCCCATGTATCCAAAAGAACCACGAAGAAGATTTATCTGATAAAAATGATCTCAGAGCAGCCTCATCCTGCCTGTTCATGCATGATTTGCAAATTTCTGGTCTTTCCTTGATGATTGTTTTAGATAGGAGTTTCTTTGCTGTGATCCTGGCCTTACATCTAACTTACGCTTTCTGCTGCACAAACTCTGCACTCAATGCAGAGTTTGTGCACAGTTTGCTGAAAATTGTTTTGGTATAAGTTGAAAAATAATAAAGGTCTCTACACAATAAGCTAATAACAACCACTGCTGTCCCAAACAACCAGGTACCACTAGTAAAGCCTTTAGCCTTGACGGTAGATGTGGGCTTGAGGTCAGTGTCTTCTTGCATGACAAAGACCCAGAAAATAAACACCAATCCCAGGGTGTACTGTGAATCCGTTAGCTCTATTCTGAAGCCCACATGAGAAGCCAATAACTCGTTTCTACTTTCCACATAATGTTGTCACTGACAACAATCCAGAAAATCAGGAAGAACAGGCATAAAACATGCTTCCAGAAACCAAGATGATTTCCATCCAGAGGTCAAAACAACAACACAGCCTGTGTTTGTGGGAAGGTTTGTATTTCAGTCTGGACTCAGAGATTAAAACAGGTAACAGAGAAGTTACAGTAGGAATTGGTAATATAAAATAAATGTGAAAACAGAAAAAGTGGTGTTAGAAGATATTCTTGACCACCAACATGTTAGTTACAATGAGTTTTGGTGCTGGGTGCTCTATCAGAACTATCATTTCTTGATGAAAGCATCACTTTCATCAGGAGCAGGAGGAGAGCTCCTGGAGACCGGGAAACAATGAAAATAAGAGTTCAATACACCAGTCCATTTTCATGTTGATCTGACAAACTTAAGTCAGAAAAAAAAACATTCAAAATCTCTGAGCATCAATACTAACAGCAAGTTTGATTTGGAATGGAGTTCACTGTTCTCTTCTGAGCTGCTCAATGAGCTGCATAGAGCGGTGTTTAAAAATCCATATGTTCTGCTGAATCCAGTTCATAAACAGTGCTGGTCCTTTAATATCATATCATACTCATACTGGGTTTCCTTCAGTGTGCTACAAGCCTGGTGGGCCACCAAGCTTTAGTTACACCCCCAATAGGCTCATCGTCGTTTGTTCATTTATTATGCACCAGTCACTGTGATAGCAAAGACATGTTAAAGAGTTTCTTTGGAGAGATGCACAATGACAACATAGTATGGTCAGTATGAGGTCGGGTATCTTTATTCATCAGAACTCCTTTAACCACCGCTTGTCTTTACCAGTCTACACACTAGTAACTTCAGCAAACAAAGTGACAATAGTCATATTTATTTTAATTGTATTTCTTTTGTGTTTGACTTTTCTAAAACTTTACAGTTAGTATCAATGTTTTCCCTTAGGACTTCTCTTTCTGTTCGCTGATTGGCCCAGTAGAAAATTTACAAGAAGAATCCAAGTAAAGGGGAAAAAGCTCAGACTTCTGGAGTTGCACAGGAAGACATCATTTTATTACTCTGGCTGGTCTATAGAGAGTAATCAGATATGGTAGCTCCATAGTTTCAATCTGCATTTTAAAGATGAACCTGGCCATACAGACACAGATCACATAATACAGTAGGTTTTCCCACTGTATTGTAAAGCTGGTGGGCTGCCAGGCTTTATTGCCCTCTTCCAGACTGAGCGTTACTTGTTGCTTTTTTATGCACCAGTAACTCTGGACTGCATTTGTTTTCACAGCATTCCATTAAGCAGTTCACTGGTGGACTGCAGATGTTCCAGAAAGATGGGTTTATAGTTGATGCATTGCACAGGAGGTGAAGCCAGGGGTGCACCAATCAAACTGTTGGTGCCTCTGCGTGTTGGACGTCTCATGCTGTGTCCTGGTTGTGTCTCTGAAGTTTACCTTGGTACTGATCACGCACGTTGCCTCTCACTCAAAATGAGCAATTTGGAATATCTTCTAGCATTGCAGATTCATCTGTTTTGGCATTTATATTAATTCCTTATGAGGATCCATTAGGCTTAAAACCAGTGCTTGCTCTGCTTGTGCTATCTCAATATGAACAGCATTCGTCCATGCTTTTAGAAGTGCACATTGAGTGTACAGTGAATGATGTATCATTATGAAAAAAATTAATAAGATTTGACACATTGTCATTCTCAATAAATAAATGCTATGTGTAAAAATCTGATCTGTGTTGTTCAAACTGTCATAAAAAGCTCAAATAGAAGTTGCATAAATCATAGTAATTTGGCTCACTTCAGGATTCACACTGGTACTAAGAGGTAAAGAGTGACGTTCACTCTCTGGTAGCGGAACTAGGTCTAGCTTTTATGAGCCACTGAACTACCATGAGAACAAACCCAGTGACAGCACTGGCTACTGCTATAAAAACAGCTAATGCAACATTAAAATGTAAAAAAAATCAGTTTAAACATTCCCTGATGACATTAAGTTTCACACCGTAGTTGTCATTTGAATTATTAAGTTGTATAGCGGTGCACCGATTGCAGTTTTCTGGTCGATCTTTAAGAAGCCTGATCTGTTGAATAAAATTTAGGTGAATACTGTTTTTTGTGTGAAATATTGCTAAATAAAGCAAGAAAGTTGCTGAGTTGGCAACAGAGGGGTGACTATGGTTAACTGTGAACATGCATGTCTGTGAACCGGCCTGTGAACGCTCTCACAGCAAGCAGAAGAGGACAGATCTTTGCTGAGATAGATCAGATCAGTGGAAAAGGTCAGCTTCACATGTAAGAATCGACCAATCACTGATCTCCCAAAATTAAGGAAATCGGGGCCGATTTATTGATGCACCACCAGCTGTGATTCAACCTCTGGAAGCTAAAACAGAAAACATATTGAAACTGTGAGGCCCTGCCTGGCTAACTTGAAGACGGATGGAGAAAACAAGAACGACAGGTCCTAATGAGGGAACTAATATAGATGCTGTGTCAGGACACTGCAACTAAAGGATGAAAAGAATAAATTGCTATCTGCATGCAAGAGAAATAAATGGAGGACAGCTCCAGGCACCATCTGTGGCATTTGACACCAGCTGCCCACTAGCTTACTCACTGTAATGTTGTGAAAGATGTCGACTTCTGTGTGACTAATCACACTTTCAACAAACACATCATTTGTTCCACAGAAATGTGACTGGCAGCAGCCACCCCAACACCATTGAGCATATTTTCACTCCTCATTTACTAAATACAGCCAGCTTTAAAAAAAAACTTGAATAATGCACTGATTTGAATAAAGTAGATTAAAGTCAGAACAGAGGCAGTTAACTCACCACTGTCCTCTGCTTATTGGGGAGGTAGACTCGGATGGTGCCGCCACCACGGGGTACATCCTCCGGGCTGGTCTCCCCCGACGACGAGTAAGAGGAGGTGGAGGACATGGTGAGAAGCAGGAGGAGCGGGGGCGGGATGGGGGCACACAACTGAGGATGCTGCAACCTTAAGAGAGCTGCATGCACAGGGGACTGTGGGCAAGGCTGTTACTTTGGACCTGCAACAAACATATTTTAGCTTCACAAAAATGTAAAACCCAAAGTTTAGCATAATGTAGCTGCTTTAAATTTCCTGCTGCTGCTGAAACATACCCAACAAGTCATTACAAGCAGAATGTGTATTTTGATATTTAATCTTAAACCCTGATTATCAGGAATATTCTGGAATATTCAGGAGATCTGAGCTAGTTAAAAGGCTGCGGTGAGCTGCTGGATGGATTCTGCATGATTCTCTCCGTTAGATTGAAGACATTTTAACACTGTTAGGAAGTCAACTTAAATAATTCTAATGTTAATAAGTTGACATGTTAATCCTGTGTTACTTCAAATGTATCGTAATTAGCCAAGGCTGCCCATATGCAGAAATACATAATCACCATATGATGTTCACATTAATGTTTTTAAAACCCTACAAAAGGTTTTTAAATTTTTTTAAGTAATCACAGATTAACTATGGATAATTTTAATATTTTGACAATCATAAACATTTATGATTGTCCAACTTATCTCAGATAAACCTACAATGCACTTATTTCTGTTAGGTTGTTTACCAAATAAAGAAATGAATCAAATATATTTTTAAAAAGTTATTGAATCATACTGGCAAAAACAATAGCTGTAAAAAGTTAGACGATAACCAAATATTTAAGAAAATCTAATGCAAAATTAGGAACAATTTTACAGCATAAAATTGAGATGAAATGCAAAAGCTCTGTTTTGCATTTCAACAACACTGTAGTTTTCTTTCAGCAAGCTGACCATTAGTGAACAGCAACAGGTGGGAGAGGGACAGGACTGCTTCGATATGGTTCTCATTATGTAAAAAAATTGGGTTTTCAAACGGAAACTTGGTGGTGATAACCATCTAACTGCAACATTGGTGATAAAATAGAACTCAGAAAAAAAACACATCCAAACTTTATGCAACAATTACAAAAAGACACATCTATATATATGCCTGTGTGTCAGGAAATGTGTACCATTCAGTTAAGTGCATGATCAATACGCCAGCACAAGCCCTGTTTTTGTAACACAGCGGTGGATGGATATTATTTCAGTAAACAATATTTCCAGTTGTTCCATCTGAGCTATGACAGCTCTACACAAAAATATCTGTCATGAAAGGCCTGATGAAAAGAAGAGAAATGCACAGAAATGTCCCGACTTTTTATTTACCACTGATCATTTCCAAGGAGTAAAATATCAGAAGAGTGAGTGAAGAGTCATACAGACCAAGAGTCATAACCAGCACATCTGATGTTTTATCATATATGCAGCCTTATGCTATTCTGAAGTCTGATGAATTTTAATTAAGATCCCACAAGACATGGGTTAAAAAATAAATACAAATCACTTTCCCAACAGGTAGCTCTCAATGTTTATGAAAAGAAATTAAGAGATTCTTTTTCACACCTGATAGTAGCTATAATCATTAGCATGTGAATTAGCTCTCTGTGATTGTAGCTGGACATATAAAGGGAATTATAAACAAAACTGATTATTAATTATTATTATTATTATTATTAAGAAATCTGCTGCCAACCAGTATTGGATAATTTTACACTTGAGAGAGGAGGAGAGAAGCCAAAACTGCAGGTTGCACTGGAAGCAACACTGTCTGGTGATGAAGTTGTGATGGTGGGAAGGCATGTTGAGCATCACTGAGGTGTTTAAAAAGGCAGTGAAGAAGTACAACCAATGAAAGAAGCTCTGTTCTCCATGAAATCCTGACAGCTAATCATCAGAGTGGACGTTTACGAACTCTGCTGGTTACAGTGTGTGATGGATTTGCCTCTCACACCGTGTGGCTTCGCTTTTTAGGGTTAAACAATCCTGAATATATTGTCATGACAACATCCGTACACAAATTATATCTCAAAGGACTGATTGCAATGGAATATTATTGGATGATATAAAGGTTATAGCATAAATCTATAATTATATCACAGCAATAAGTACTATACTCTTCCCATCATGTATTTGCTTAATATTTTGTCTTCTTTAGTACATTTTGATTTTTACTTTTTAACTTTTGATAGTTTTTATGTAGTATATGAAACCTTACAAGTCCACATGAGAAATACATCACAGCCATACGCTGTTCACATATTTCACATTTTGTTCACTATACTTAGAACATTTCCGTGAACATTTTGAACTGCGTGTGCTGCATCTACTTAAAACACATACAGGTGCTCTTGACTGACAAGCACGATTAACCCCTGAGGGATTATTACTGACTATTATCATTCTACAGCATCTCCAACTAAATCTCCCCATCAGTAAGTAGGGAAGGTAATAGTTTATCATCAGTAAAAAAAATCCCTGTAAGCTAAACATAAGCCAAACCGAACAATTTGCATAACGATGACAATTTATCTCCCGAGAGCTCATGTTCAACAGGAGGTTTAAGATTTTGACTCATTTGCATCACGCCGGTTCTTAGACAGCAACTTGTGAGAGTCGTAGCCAGTCTCGGCTTTTAGGATTAAATTTGTTTTCAGACTTTGAAGTGTGTCTAAGTGGAAAACACCGGTGTCAACGACAGCTTAGATCTGTGTGACAAGAGAACATGAGAACAGCTGAGAGTTGGACTAACTCCCAGAAGCGCACCTAAACAACATGGGAGGAAATCCTCCAGAATGAACCTTAAAATCACTGTTTAAAAGCAACTCTAGTTGTGAAAAGATGCTAATGCTAGCTGACGTTAGCATGGAATCCTCCTGCTATTCAGCTCTGACATTTCCAGTTTAGGGACTAGGGAGGCCATGTTTCTCTCGGGGGCGTCAGTCAGCCTAGTTTAGCTAACCATCCAATAACTTTTAAAGTGGTTTTATAATAAAGAGGGAAACATTAATATCGGCACCAGTAGGTTTGCGAAACAAAGTTATAGGACTGGCCGACTCCTCTAAGTTCGAGCAACAAGCTAACTAGCTAAATGCTGTGCTGAGTGAGATTATCCTCTCCCTCAGTGACTAGCTCACTTTGATGCTAGTTCTAGTCAGCTAATGTTAGCCGACCTGTGGGGGGTTTACCACGGCGTCAGGCTGCTACTCACTTCTGCTCTGCTCTCCTCCTAACTAACGCTTTTCTAACAGACGACCTCAAAACGACACAGAACAGCTGCCGGGATATAACCCCGACTGTAACACCGAGCGCGCTTCACTCCGCGGTGTTTCCAAACAATTCGCGTAGAAAAGTTCAACTCTTACCTGTAGCAGCCATCTTGAATGCTCTCAATCTGAAGTCGAATCTGTCAAGAAGTTCGGGGAAAGCGGAAAAACCACCATAATGCTCCGTCCTCATTGGCTGGTTCATTTGGTCGGATTTTTTCATTGGACAAACGCAGGTTTGGCATGTGGTAGGTGGGTGCTGTCAGTGGATTACTGACACTACTGATTTTAGCGCACAAGACATCAAGGTAGGCAAATGCCATTACACTTTAACAATAATAAAAAGATTCAATAATTACAAATTATAATCACGTTAAAACTAACGCAGTTATTTTCCCATCACAGGTCAAATAAAACAAGACGACACAAATTATACATATTTTATTTAGAAAAAGAATAAATGCAAAGTAAAAACCACAAAAGGATCTAACCAAACGGGATCCCTGAAAGAAATGCTTAATTTAACGGAGCGCTCAATACATATGAGAAAAATCGATAACTGATGGTGAGGTCTTTACTCATATTACATTGCTCTAATAAAGCATGAATCATAATGTTCTAAACCCCCAAATGGAACTGAAGATCTGTGAAGATTTTGCAGGTAGTTCCATTCATGTCTCTGGTCTCACTGCAGGCTGAGGAACTTCCTTTTCTTAGCCGTGTGTGTGTAGGGGTGATGACGCCACTCGACCTCTGCTGTGCTCTCGTTCTCCAGGGTACCTAGCTTGATCATGTACACTAAACAGATAAAGAGACGAACTTGTAACAATAATGCTTCTACAGGTTGGGAGCAATTAAAAGTTTGTGAAATTGAGCTTTTGTTTCTAAAATATATAGTTTAATCGTTAGTCAAAAAACCTTACTTTTTTCATCTACAGTCAGTTAGGTTTAGATACATTTTATCTTGTAATGAATAAAATAATCATTTGTAACTTGCTTTTTACAAATATTTAAATTCATTTTTATCCAACATTAACAGTTTGATGATCTGAAACATTCAAATGTGAAAAAAGCCAGAACAGAAGAAAGTCATAAGGAGGAAATATGTTTTCACAGTACCGTATCCTGTCCCGTAAGACAGAAATAATGACCTTTTTTAGGATTTCCTTCCAGTGATTTAAATGAGGGGCATCACATTTTGTCACCCTGACATGCTGAGGAGGAACTTACTACTACTCAAAGTCATCATTTGTTTTACGTAAGTAGTGATGATAAGGTTACAGCTCAGTATGGTATAAACATGGAGACAGGAGAGCATAATAATTCAATGTGAAAAATACTGAGAAAAATTAAAATAAGAAGGCATTAAGAGTGGATAAATTAATATTTAAACATGACAAGATAAAGCATTTATTAAATTTCAAAAGGAATGGGGTTATATCTAAGAATTTAGTTTCTTCTTTAGTAAGTTAGGAAAATACTATGGCCCACATCCAGCACAGCAGACGGCAATAGTACATCAAAATGTTGGCTGATACTTGCTATAAAACCTGAGAAGAAGAAAAGGCAGTTCCAACTGTGATGTTGAATCAGGGAGAAACTACAACATGCCGGATACCAGCTGTTGAGCTCTGACTTTAGACAGCCCAGCTTTAGAATTTAAGCCAATAAGAAGACGTGGTCCAAGTTACCATGATAACACAAGGAAACCAGAAAAACTTAGAAAGGATGATGACTTTGTGTTGCATCAAACATTTTTGTAAGCAGATTTTTTTATTTAAAAGTTGTAGTTTTGTTCTTATTTATTCTTGATGGAGCTCTGTGAGATGTTCAACACTTGGAAAAAGGTTTTACCTAATTCTAACCTAAGAATTAGGTTAGAATTCCAATCTAATTCTGCTTTAAACGTTTCCACTATTTTTTCCCTCACCCGTCTGCTGGATTCTCTGGACTTTATGATGCTGGTTGTTCTGTAAAGGCTTCACAACCAGCTGCAGCCTTTACAGCACAGTTGAGTTTAGACAGAGGTTCAATTAGACAGAGATGGACTCAAATAAGCTTTCTATGAAGGCACTTTTCAGATTTTTTTTTCAGCACAACGAACTTTGAAAATCATTTTTCATTCTACTTCACAATTAAAATCTACACTGTGTTATTCTGACAAATTAAACTATATAGAATCATGCAGTTGTAAGGTAACAAAATGTGAAAATTTCAGGGAACATGAATACTTTTGCAAGGTACTAAAATGCAAGAGAAAATTTAGCTCTAGTTTAACATTTTGCTGAACTAGTCAGATATTTTATTGAGACCTCAAGACATAGTGTGAAGTTTTAAAGAATGCTGATGTATGTGCTAAGAACCAGCTTACCGGTACAGTTTGCCGTTTCAGCACCAGACTCAGCCATCAATACTTACATTTCATTTCAAACCTGGGTCCTACTTCTGTCAGCTCCACGTTCTTGTGGTCGGTTTTCTTATAGGTGTGATGCCTGAAAGAAAAAAAAAAGTGATTTGTCTATTTATTTATTTGCTTTATTTTATTTTACATAATGTTTTCCACGGCACTGACCTGAAAGAGATAAAGTCCTCCTGGTTGGCGAACGTGATGACACGCCTGCTGTCGTCTTTGGGGACTGGGAACAGATACTTCAAGATATTCGACACCTGCACAAGAACAATTAATTAGTTTTATGGACAAACAAGAGATGCAAGACAATATCCCTAGAGTCTGCGCGGCACACGCTCGGCGCTCACCCTTTTGCCGAGGCGTGAGCTGAAGTTGTGAAAAATGAGGTGGGGGTAGGCCTCAGACATGGTGCCAATGTTGGGAACATCGTGCCTCATCACCACATTGTAGAGCGTGAAATAAGCTGTGGGTCCAAACGGTAGGTGGCAAATAACCAGGCCATCTGTAACCATACAGGAACATCCAGCAGATCCATCAGATGTCAGTCACATAACACAAGTCTCTCTAATAGATGCAGACATGCTCAGTTAAACAAGAAACATGGTGTATTACAGCATCCTGAAAATAGTTCATCTGCTAAACACGTAAACACAGTGTGGGTCGGCCATTGGGCGGTCTGGGATATTTCCCGGTGGCCTGACCCGCTCAGGACAGCTGAGTTAAGGTCGCTCTCAACAATTCCTGCAGACCACTGGAGAAGTTCCTGCCTGGCTGAAACTCCCACAGACTGCAGTTTCGATGTGGAAAAGACAGATCCATCCCGGACCCCTCCTTTCCTGTTCCGAAGCTGTCAGTCACAGCAGTGCAGACACACATCAGGTTCCCAACAGGTGTTATGCTAAGAAGAGTGTGTCTGGAAGCCCTGCCGCAGAAATGTGTGTCGCTCAAAACAACCACATATTAATAGGAAGAGATTCAAATATGACCCACAGGGCAGCTTTATAAATATATGTAATAACTTATTTTTAGCCACGAAAGCCCTGAAAAGTTTTGATGTTTTCTGGCAAATTGACTCAAAATAGGACAGTTTTTGCACCTTTTATCTAAACACGTTTTAATCATATCCCTGAAGCTCTGATGTCACAGTCTGGTTTTCTCTACCAACATCATTTCAGCGTCGCATAACAACCAATCAGTTAAACGCTGGTCAGGATGCACATCAGACACAGAATACATTTACATATTGATGTAAATGTAAAGTACACAACTTTGTTATCTGTAGGTCTTTATAATAAGTATATCAACTAATATAAGGACAGAATTCAGAGTTTCACTAGATGTTTTCATTGTCCATTATTTTGACTAATGGCGTCAAAAATATCCTGTCAATTTATATATTAAAATAAAATGTGCTGTTATATTAATAGCATATTTCATTTCATTTCATTTTCACTTGGTTTAATTAATATTCAAAAAGCTGAACAGATCAGCCATATAGTGTCATCACACATCAAGCATATGATTAAATGTAATGTTTTCTACAGTGACAAAAACCACTGGTTGCGGCCCAGTAACCACAAATGAAATGACTGCACTGAATATGAACTCCAGTCTTACTCCTTAATCTTGGGAAGCATGGACCTCAAAAGCCCACCTGCTTGTAATCAAATGTCTCAGAGTTTTTATGTTGTTCTGAAGGTCAGAATTACAAACAGCACTTCAGCCAAAGTTTCAATATCAGGGAACATTTCTCCAACAGAAGCGATCATAAGCTCATGAGATTGTCTGAATGCTGGTCCAGCTGCACCAGATGATCTCTAAAGTCTCCATAACTCTTCAGCTGGATCTGTGCATTATTCGAAAGATTAGCTATTCAAAAAACATGAATTTCTGTCCCTCCATAACAGATAATTGGGAAGCACCCAAAAAATTTCAGGGGTTGTGTTAACAGGATGCTTTCCATCGCTGACTGTTTTTTGTTTTATTTTAAAACAGTGACAGAAATATCTGAAGGACTTTATTCATAAAACAAACATATGACTATTTTTATAGTCTCTATAAAAGTACACAATCATTAGTTTCAGGTTCACCGGGTTAAAACAACAAGCAGATAGGAACAAAGGCTAATGTCAGCCTGCCTACCTGGCTGTCCTCTGGTTTCATGTATAATGACCAGGTCTGATACGTTGTTGGCTTTACAGGCTCGCACCAGCGCCGCCACCTCATGGTTTCCTCTGTTCATCCGCTGGGCTCCAGGAAACATCAGCTTTACCTCCTACAGACAACATAGAGGCACGTCACTCACTGATCTCTGCAACATTTCACACTTCACAGAAAGCAACTTTCAGTCAGTGAGAAAGTGGTCTGTCAGTCAGTCTTCTGTCAGTATCTGTCCCATCAAACCTCCCAATGCAACACACAGCACCTTGCAAAAGTATTCACCTGCTCAGTTTGAAAGAAAGTATTTCCATGCATATGCCAGGAAATTAAAATGTATTTCAACATTTTGCCAAATTATAAGGACATTTGTGATAAACAAATTCAATTCAGTTTGTTAGTGCCAATTCACAGCAAATGTCATTTCGAGGCTCTTAATCATTTCACTCCAATCACACGCATGCCACCTGATCTCAGTTATCAAACGGTACAGTAAACTCAGTTTGTTGTTCAAAGTAGTTTAGAAAGTTTCTACCTAAAAAAACAGAATTATTGGTGGGATGATGTTCACAGAAACAATCGGAGCCTGAGCGAGCTCAGGGTTTCCTCTCACTTCGGATTTGTCTGATGGACAAAGAGCTGGCTGCTGAAGGCACAACACTATTACTGTTGACAAATCACACCAGTCAAATACACAGCTTTGTCCATATTTTGTCACATGACAAAATATTCCATATTTTATGGATAAATCATACAGATCCATAAATCCACCTTTTACATCTCTCTATAAATAACACGCAATAAACAACTCATCAGTTAATCGAATAATAAGTTGATAAATATATCTATAAACAATTCTGTTTATAGATCATATTCCATTTCAATTATGGTTTTGGTTGTGTGTGGTTTATATCGCCTTTTTATGTGTTATGGTTTGGTTGTCATGTTTTATTTTGGATTTTGAAACTCTTAATATTTTAGCATATTTAAAACAAATTAAAGTTAATTAGTTTATGAGAGGGTGAACTTGCATTATTATGGAATTATCACTATATTACATGAAAATGGTCTCAAAACAACAACATAGTCATTTATCACAATAACACTACTACAGTGATTAATCATGAACAAAGAATATGCTTGACTTTGTCAGCTTAAAATATAAAAATGCAGCTTTTCAGAAAATGTTGACGGAAATGTTGTCTCAAGCCAAATATTTCAGTTTTCATATTCAGGAAGGTTTCATTTAAGTCATTTTGCTTAAACACAATTTAGAAACGTTAACTACAAACTGGTTGTGCTTTAGAAGACGGATAATTCATCATTCCCTCATATTACCTTGTTTTTATCCAAATGTCTGTCGCTGCTTTTTTAAATTTCAACAATTCTTTTGACACTAAGAATTTCTGTGGCCTGGGTGCAGACTTAACCAAAGTGTGGATCAAGGGTGCAAAGGGGGCGGGGCTAAAGACCGGTCCCTAGACTCAGGACACACTACGCACTCGAACCCTTCAGCGGGAGCGCACATCTGAAGCACACAAGAGTGAAACAAGGGTGGAGGTAAGCATTCTAGGACAGTAACCCTCTGTGGGAAAGAGGCTTTAAGGTCAAAATAAGTAATGTGATTAATCTGCATTATGTAATATTAATGTGTTAAAGTTTTTAGATTAATCGTATGCGTTAATGCTGGCTGCCCTAACTATAAATCAACTACAGCGCACAAGGCTTTCACCTCAGCACTGCATGATGGGAATCAGCATGCAGAGCTGCCTGTAGGGAGACGCATACAGTAATGATCACAGTTTGTTTAAATGTGCTCAACATTATCTCATCTGAAACCAGGATCCACATCAGCACCTTGGCAAACATTTTGAGTCTGGAGCTCGGGTCTCTGGACGTGGTCACCATCAGTTTGGGGTCCTCCACTCCAGCCCATTTATACTCGTCGTCCATGTGAGAGCTGACACCTGAACGCAAAAAAAGCAGACGGTTACAGGAGCTTAGCGGGACATGTTGAAGAACACAGCTAACAGCCAACTTGCCTTCTGCGCCTTCGTCATCGTACTCCACCAGCTTTTGCAGCCCCAGGGCTTCTCTGCGGACGTCAGGCGGAAGGGGAGAGTTTTCTGTGGTCAAGAACAAATACCTGCGTTACAGGGAGATTTGTGGTTGGACAGCTCCTCGTGCTAACCACTCATGCAAAATGCACGAGGAAAAGAGCGATCTGTGTTGTCGTGCTGTCTCACTGTCGAGCGCGTCCTTCAGCTTCAGTTTCTTCTCCTCTATCGTTCGCAGCCGGTCTTCCTGGGCCTTCCTGTACAGGTACTCCCGCCTCAGCCTCACCTCTCGACGGAGCTGCCTCACCATCACACAGCAGAAAAACACAGAAAAGCAGTCAGAGCTTCTCAGACTCAAGCCACAAGCTCCTACTAAGTACAAGGTTTTCCCACTTTTCCCACAGTAAAATTTAAACACTTTCAAGGTTAGTTTTCAAAATTTTCCAGCACCACATTTTAGAGACAAAAACAATACTAATGAACGAAAAGAATGTCACTATATTATATCATTTAGTACTGTCTTTAATGTCTTGTAAAAAATATTCCTCATTCTACAGCAAGGACAAAATCAACTAAAATATGATACATTTTTATGTTTTTAAATGTCTATTACATACACTGTATACAACTGACCAGTCTGACAAAAAAACACAAATTAAGAAAAAATACCCCAATCTAATAACTTTGTTGAATACATAAAATGTAAGTCAACCTTGAAATTATTTCAATTACACAGACCAATAAGTCATTAAGACATTATGAACAATCAACATTTATTATATTGAAAAAAATGGTGTTAAGGTAAAAATATCTAAAAATATTCCCACTAAGTTTTCTGACATTTAGCAAATAGAAATAACTTTCATCATTCTAACAGATCTTAAACAAGAAAGTCTGTTGTGATTTCACTTCAGACAGTGACAAATGAATTCAGCATTTATTCCATAATAAATTTCTCTTTTTTCTTGTGATGTGAATAATACATTAATCAACAACTAGACTTTTCCAAACTGCACAGGCACCCTGAACATCAACCAACTAAACCACTTTCATTATTTACACTCTGTGTATTTTACGGTCAGTGCAGTACAACAGTAAATGTAAAAATGTTAGAGCCCAGCCTGGGACAGAAAAGCAGCATTATTAGACTGGGCCTTGTGGACAGGGCAGGAAGTGGTGGGTCAGCTGGGGAGACTCTGCTTCAAAGCAGATCTACCAGTCTGTATTCATTGTCCATTCACTTTAACATAGTGTGAGATAATGTGAGGTTTAGGTAAAAAAAAAAAAAAACTTCTGTTAGGAGGTAAAAAAACAGAAGGTAAGCAGCAACACGGAAAAAGAGATAGAGGCTGTGGTGAAAAGAGCAAGAAGCAAAAAAGCAGAAAACATTCAGAATGGTGAGAACAGATCATAGAAGATGAGGGGAAACGCAGGACAAGTCAGAAACAGATTCAGGATGAAACAAGCAGCATTCCTGCTCAGTTCCTCTCCTGTTTTAACCCAAACTTTATAACTCCACAGGCCATCATAGGGACGTTTTAAATGTTGAGCCTCAGCCCCTTTAAACTTCTGGTCGTGTTTATGGAGAGCTGTATCCTCCTGCTGGCTCCTTATCCTGCCTTCAGCTTTAAACACCAGGGAGGTCACAGACTCGACCAGGTCAAAGCGGAGCCAAAGCGGTGGCCGCCATTATCAAGTCAAACTGCGAAACCTTCCTAATAAAAACTAATATTTTTAACTCACCATGATCCCGGCTGCTAGCTTCCAGGCTACACAAACTCACGTGGGGGAAGGAAGCGCTTCCAAACAACAACTCCCGTCATTCGCTGAAGAACAGCCAATGAGAGCCATCGATACTGACTTTGGCTAGCTTTTCAAAATAAGAGTCTGAAATGAGTATCCGCTAGAAACGCTGTTGTCCTTTTCGCATACATAATAAGTACTTCATTCGTTTTCTAATCTTTAACCTGTAGATCTGAGGTAATGAATCTACTTCAGATCTTCAGAGTGGCTGTATTAAAAAAAAACTGTTTAAAAATAATAAAGAATTTGTTTTAAGGACAAATGCAATAAAATGTCTCTCTGGATTGAAAATGACAAAACGAACCTTTGCCTTGGCTTAGAAAGATGTTTTGAATTCATTGTCCATTCACTTTAACATAGTGTGAGATAATGTGAGGATTAGGTAAAAAAAAAAAAAAAAATCCTTCTGTTAGGAGGAAAAAAAAAACAGAAGGTAAAAAAAAAAACCTTCTGTTAGGAGGTGAAGTACAGTTTGATAATCCTGATCTTACATATTTCATAGCACCCGAGTCCAAATGGGATCTGAACTAAAATCTAGTTTGGATCTGACACCAGAATAAGAATCGCAACAAGCAAGAGAAAAGAAAAGAAGAAAATAAAATAATGCACATAGAAAATGAGGATGTCTCATTCAAAAATTGTGCAAAAAGAAAGGAGTTTTTAAAAAAGGACCAAATACAAAATCTACTGAGACTTTAAGCTGAGTTCCAGTTATCGTCTAATCAGCATGTACAGATAGGAACCTCTGTGTGGTTAGTCATTTCCTGAAGCTTGGCCACCTTTTTCAAGCCTTCTTTTCCGGTAAACATTGCCTTTTTATTTTATTCGATGTGAGGGCAGCTTTGCTCGGTGTTTGGAATATGCATTCTTTACTCCTGATATCCCTTTTGGCAGTAGGTGAGTTTCCAAAAACAAGTGATGCTGATTTAAATCTTAATCAGATGAATTAATGCTAGTTCAGTCGCAGAGCTTTATATCTTTACTGTGCTACGTTTCTGACTGAAACAGCTTGAAGAGTGTATAAAACTTCTTGCAGAGCATTTATAGAAATTGTTTTGTTGTTCAGACCACTTTCTTCACTTTTAGGTAAATAAAAGTTTAGTTTAGTGAATTTTAAAGCTTTTTACAGAATGGTCAAGTTGTTTTGGCTTGGTATATTTCCAAATCTTCATGCAGGTGGGAATGAAGCAGTGTTCTGGCAGAGGCTCATATGCCCCTATGAAGCCCAGCAGCAGAACCTGCTGCGGGTCTGGTGCCGGCAGAGCTCTGCAGAGTGCTGTACAGGCCTCAAATTCAGCAACAGCTCCAAGTTGGCTGATGGAGGCAAACTGAGGGTGACCCAGAACCTGCACTCCTTCACCGTGGAGGTGCTGGAGCCGAGCCCCACAGGTGGGGTTTACTGGTGTGGCCTACTGAGCAGAAACGACACCATCATCAAGCTGGCTGAAGGATATTTTCACAGCTGTAAGTAAAAACAGTGACTTGACAGCCAATGAAGCCCAGCTATGATTGCTGCGTCTGATTTAACTGCTGTCGGTGTTAGTTCCTGTAATAATCATTTTTAAAGGCCTGCTAATTTGGGATGAACCAATCGATTTTTTTCACTTCCAGTAGCGATACAGCGATACTGCAGATACTGAGCCGATACAGAAAAACAGCTGAAAAAGACTTTAAGTGTTTCTTTTTTTAAAACACAGACATAAATGTCCTGATTTACATATTAGTTTGGTAACTTTTTATCACTACTGCACACTGAAACACACATACAGTTTCTAAAGGTGGATCACACATGCAAAAACAATTGCAGTCTGTTCGGTCAGTGCAATACAACAGTAAATGTAAAAATGATAAAGAAAATGAAACTGATGAAAACATTAGGTTGACTACCTTGGTCAAAAATGGATGAATAAACTGCAACAAATCTTCTGTCAAATGGTTCAGAAAGTGCAGGATTTCTAAATAGAATGTAAAATAAATAATAAAGCATGATTTCACACAAAGCATATTGGACTATTCTATGCTGCCCTGTTGGATCAGTCTGACTGACACGATTAAAATGTCTTCAAGTGGTTCTGCCCTTATGAATCAGTCACATATAGTTCCACCAGTTGTTTGCTAATTGCTTCTGGCTAGTCTAAAGGAGCTGGATGGGGCAGTGCTGCTTTGAAAGGTGGAAGCTCTGAAACTTGGAAACTGAGCAGGATTTGTACCTTGAAGGCAGAGCTAGGTCCACCTCGCCATGGAGGTGAAAGAATTTCTTAAATAAACACGAAAGTACTAAGACACCAACAGAAAGTGACTGTGGCAGATTCATACCCACTTTTCTTTGATAGAAGATGCATAAAGTTGATGAAGTGTCCAGTGAGAGCGGTGTTACAGCAGACATGACCACTGTAAGCTGATCTCCATTCATTTGCCTTCACTGCAGCCACAGCTGCTTTCATCTGGAGTTTTACTCGCTGGATGCTGCTGCCTCTGCTGCCCGTAGTGACCATATGTACTCATGTCTGCAACACAAGTAAGCTGTTCCTGTTTTTATTCTTTCATTTTACTGACAATGTGGTTCACTCAGGGGTGGAAATTAACCAGTTACATTCACCTGTGCTACTGTAACCAAGAACAATTTGTCTGTACTTTGTGCTTATAAAAGTTGTTTACAGAGCTTAAACTTTGACCTTTACTTGAGTTTGTTTTGAATGAAATACATTCCTCAGTTACATTTAAAATAATTTCTGCAAATGAATAGAATAATGATAAAGACAACAGAAAAAAACAGCATTTATTTTTCTGCTTCCATGTTGCATCATTTGGAAAACAAAGGAACTTGAAAAACACACTGAATGTAGTTCAAAATCCTCACTGTGATTAAAGGACCCGTTTAGACCTATTAGAAGAACATCAGATTTATTATACAATGTCATCTTACTTTGGTTTATGCTCAATGTTATGACCATGTAAACATTATGAATAATATTTTAACAACTTGCATCGGTTATATCTGGTGCTTGTGATTCTGATCTGTATTGGCGACTAGGAGTTTGGAGTCAGTTATTTGAAAGTATTAGACGGGAACAGTGGACATCTTGGACAGTGATGAAGATCAGAAAGGCCAGATGGCCAGGCTGACAGAAGACAGTGGATGTTTATGTATTTAAAATCACACAGAACTCTCAAATATTCATGATGTGATAAGCTATCAAGTGTTGCATTTTGTCAAATTTTTATTTAACCTCTATTTTACCAGGATAAAAGTAATTAAGATTAAAAATCTCTTTTTCAAGGGAGTCCTGGCTAAGACCCAGCAACAAATGCAACACAGATAAATACAGTTAGAAGAAAACGTCACACTATAAAAAGCAGCTGTCACAGAATCAACCTATAAAACTTTTTGTTTAAATTTAAGAGCACTAAATGAGACGTGTTGCATTTTTATTTATGAAGGTGCTTCTTTATTTAAACAGCTTGAGACCTGCGTGTTCTTATTTCCTTTCTGAAATCCTCAGGCAAAACTTTTTTTCTGCTTGTGAAAAAGCTACTTTTACTTAAAAGTATCATTTTAATGATGTACTTTTTATTTTGGAGTAACATTTTACACTGGTAACTTTACATTTGATCAAACTTTTACTTGGCTACATTATTTTTGTACTCTTTCCCACTCTGGTTTCACAGCAGTCAGACATTTGTACAATCAGAAGCTTGATGTCAGCTTTTATTAAAAACTATCATCAGGATTATGGACTTTAAAACTCTGGAATTATCTTATATTTTATTTGTAAACTTTCATTTCTTTTCCTTCTTTGGTTTTTCCAAGTTTTGACTGGAGAATTCCAGTTAATGTCATTTAGTTGTATGCAATTTGTTTTATAATGAAATAAATGAATTTGATCAAATAAAGTTATTTCTCTTCACAGTAAAAGCAAACCAATGCAAGGTAAGCGACTGCTCATTTCTCACGTAACATTCAAAGCTCTTCCTAGAGTCCAAAAATCTTGAACTGGTTTTTGTTTTCTCTGTTCCTTCCTCAGAAGCAGGATGAGCCATATGAGGAGGAAGCGGCGGGCAGAGCGCTCAGTGTCCCGCACTATGAGAATCCAGACTCTCATAATCAGAGGAATTCATCAGGGATTTAATGCCATCACTCCACATATTTCTACCACCAGCACAAAAAAAGAGAAACAACCCCACAATTTCTTTCTTTTTTTTTTATGAAGAATTAAGTTTGCATTTATTGGACAAACCAAACATAGGCAAACTCACACATAGTGTAAAGATGGAACATGTCATGGAGTGAAAAATAAATGAAGAATTTCATCCCAAAACGTTTTGGATAAACAGCCTCCTGAAACCAGCTTTTCTAAAGTGCATATCATTCTGAGGAATGTTATTACTTTAGTAAACAGTACATAACATAAAAAAAGTCTCTGGATTTCAGCAGGACTGTTTCCATCATTGTGTACCTGATTTTGGAATGAAGCTCCTCATATATATATATATATATATTTACTTTATACATTCTTTTCTTGCTGTACATTTAAGTCTCATGCTTTGCTTGAAACTTTTATCAGCATTTATCCTCAAACAAGAGATGAAAAATAGCACACAGTATTCAGGATAATGCTGCATAGTGTCACCTTTGGAATAAAACAGATTTTTTTTGTAAACCAGCAAATTGGAACCGTTCTGTGTGTGTGTGTGTGTGTGTGTGTGTGTGTGTGTGAGAGAGAAAGAGCCGATATCCATCAGATGTAAAAACACGTCCCAAATTCGAGGCGTTTTCTCCGTCTATTAGAAGCAGGTGAGCTGAGGCTTTCAGACAGAATGACACCATGTGGGGACTAAAGCAGCTCTGGTTTCTCTCCTTAAAGCTGCAGTACATAACTTTTAGAATGTTTTTATTTGTATATATAGTTGTATATTTTATTATATAAAACTATCACCAGTTTGTTTGTTATGAGATAATCTGTAAAGGATGGATCTCATCTACCTCCTCTCCAAGCTACTGTTGCCGTCTGAAGAAATCCACCACTCCTAACCTAAAACAACCAATCAGTCAGGAGGAGGGGCTTAGCGCCGTCAATCAACCACATCTGCTCACTGTTAAAAGTGCTGATGGTGGAGAAAGAACTCACGGTTACAGGAAAACTGTTTTATCTGCTGTCATCGGTGGCTATGCTAACTAGTCCAAGCATTCACAACAAGATATACTATACAACACAGAGTGACTGACAGTGCAAGACCCTCCTCCTGGTTCTGATTGGTTCTTTCTGGTTAGCACAGGAAGAAGACAGAGGAGATCCATCTTTTCACAGATTGTCTAATACTATACTGTCACGACATTGTGGCAGTTTCAACAAATTAGTATGTAACTTTTTCTAAAAGTTACATAGCAGATGAAGTAAACAGCTGACTGTGTTACAGGTGAAAGGTCATAGAAGTAGACAAGCTGTGAGTCACACAGAGCTGCATGATGGGTCTGACTGGACAGTCTGGACACACAAAGCACACCAGGAGAAACCAAGACATTTTTGCAACAAAACATAAACAATAAATAAAGGACACAAGAGAACAACAACAAAAAGACAACCCGGATGTGGGACAATTGTAGAATAATATTCATATCAAACCTTCTACAACCAAAGACACAACTGTAAAGATTCACCCCAATCTGATGACAGGCTTCCAGGATGCAGGACATCCTGGGACATTTAAAGCAGACTGAGCTACATGGTTTACAGTAAGAACACTTGATGGGGACGGCTGCTTGTCTTTCCCTCAGCGGTGACCCTGCTTAAGGCAAACAGAGAACAGTGGAGGAATAAAACCCACACAGAACCTCATCCTGGGTTTAGACTCAACTCAGCGCAATGTGCTTTTATCTTCACTTAGTAGCACAATATTTGTTTTTTGACCATAATCGTGAGATTAGTAGGGGTGCACTGATTGCAGTATACTGGATGATTACTTGTCTTTAAAAGCCTGACCTGCAGATTCTGATGTAGGCCGATATCGTTTTCTTTTTCACTAAACGTAACACTGTAATGTTGAAACGTAGTAAGAAAATCATTCAGTTGTGTCAGGAGGGTCACTATTAACTGAGTGTGTAAATGTGACCTGGTGGGAGGGTCTGTCTGTCAAACCTCTCTCAAAGAAGAATATAAGAGGACATTGGCTGATTAGAAAGCATCAACCAATCACTGACCTCCAAACATGAAAGAAATTGGGACCAATTCCTTGGTGCACCCCTAGTGATTAGAGTACAGCTCTTAGTCTTCTGGTGTGTGTAAGATTGGTTAATTAGTATGACCACAATCATCACAAAACAAAAACCTACAGATAACTGATGTGGCCTTTATGAAATTCAAACAAAAAGATTTGACAAATAAATTTCTGCAAAGCAGTGATGAAAGAACAGCTTAGTGGAGACAAAAGATGATAAAGTGTACAAATCTCCCCAATAAAGATAATCAATGTTTAATCTGATATTTCCCACTGAAACTAACTAAGTTGGAAGAAAAAGGAAGAAAAGGACACGATGGAGTCTTTAAGGAGTCAGTCGTCACTTTGAGCATGCTCACAAGCACTACATCAGCCGCACAAACATTCTGAGGAAATCATGATCCTATTTACAGCAGCTCATTGGGAGTGCATCACAGAGTATCAAAGCAAAGAAAAGCTCAAATCAAAGAAGTACAAAGAGCTTGCCTGTCCTCATACCAGTGATAGTAAGATTCATTACAGTACACATGACTCCTCCTGGGGCTTCTTATTGGTTGGAGTGGAAATGAGGGCTGGGAGTCAGAATCCCAGGTTTCCAGATCCTGCTGTTGTTGGTGGGTTTCAGTGGAGGGTATGGCTTGTAACGCTGTTTTATGCATACACAAGGTAACCTTTTAGTTTTGATTCTTCTTTATATATATATATATATATATATATATATATATATATATATATATATATATATATATATATATATATATATATATAAAAAACAGACCATTGTCCTTGCTGTTCTCCTGGGATTCAAACAAGCAGTAGCCTTTATAGCTCTTCATAATCCCCATCGTCTCTTTTGACGGTGCCGGTGCCTCCACCCAGAAAGTCCTCCAACTCGTCCACCTCCGTTTTCTTGGAGCGAGATTTCTTCTTCTTTTTCTCCTTGTCGTCCACCACTGGCACGTCATCTTTTTCCTTTTTCTTGTGTTTGTGTTTCTTCTTGCTCTTCTCTTCCTCCTGTATACAAGGCATGACATTTGGGAAAAAAAGTAATGAAAAGTCTTTAACAATATAAAGATGACAATTGTTTCTAATCCTTATCCCAACATTAAAAAGCTGGTAGTTTCAGAAACTAGCTCATTCAGCTCGATTTATTAATAAAGATTTTTTTTAAGATTATTTTTCTAGGTTTGGATACTGTGTAGCTGTTATGTAACCATAGCAGGGTGGGCTTCTTTTTATAAGAGGGAGCATCTTAATGGCATCTGAAAAGCTCAAATTCTGTCTGAACTACAGCCACAGATCCCAGGTGTGTAGAAAGCGAGGTGAAGGAAGGTGGAACCGTCTTCTCTGTGGATCGTACCGGGGAACCTGAGCTCTGTTGACCAGTCAACACAAGCAGCACACTGAGGATTACCTTGCTGGATTCCTCTGATAACGTTGACATATTTCAGCCTGTTTTATTATATCAAATACAGCAGAAGACACAGGTGGAAACTTTATAAAAATATTCTATATTACAAGAAATGACCACAAAGCTGGAGTATCGTCCTCCATATCAGAGAAACCTGTCATAATCAGATCTGCTGTGTTAAAGCCTGCAGCATCACCACTCAAGTATTTTTCACTGAATTAAATTTGATTGAAACAAAGACTGGATGGATTGGTGTGAAACTTGGAGGAAATATTTGTTGCTTATTGTGATTCCATATCTCCACCAGAGCAACAATAATTTTAGTCACAATAATGACAGCGACTAGTATTGACAATCTAAAGTACAGCTAGATGTGTAAAGTTGAACTCAGATGTACATCAGATAATCTATACTCTATTATAACATCAGTACCTCCTTGCTTTTCTTCTTCTTCTTCTTTTTCTCTTTGGATTGCTTGCCTTCTTTTTCTAGAAGAGGACAACACACACATCAGAAGAGGTTATTCGATGACAGATGAAGCACATCAGAGGTCAAAATCATATTTTATAAAAAATGCCTCCGATGCAAAAATTAAGTCCAGGTACTAAATGGGTGTCCAGAGTTATTTGGAGCAACTGCCTGAAACACCTACACTGCTCATCTATATTTCAATCGCCGTCTAGCACTTCCTGTCGCTGACACTCCATCAAGATGGTGGTGAACAGATCTGTGAGAATCACTGGTTTCTATAACAGCCAGTTCTGATCTGTTTCCATGTACTCATTTCTTCATCTATTTTCATTAATATTCCATTAGGATTATATCAGTTGAAAAAGTTCTCAAAATGAAAATATTATTGTTTATCACAATCATTTTTGAGACTATCATCCTGCAAAAATGCTCTTACGGTGACAGGCCTAATCACGCAGTTCATAAGAAGTTGTATGTTGTTAGAACATAATGAATCCATAACGATTCTGTAAAATCACCAACTACAATTTCCCCCAAACGCTGCATACATAGCCACTCCAAGTAGGCGGGGCTTGTTGCTCTAATAAGGTGGAATCATCTCCTCTGATTGGCTGACAGATGATGAACGCTAGTCCCCTGGCTGATGTATGAATGTTTACATTTAACTGTTTACATCCATCGCTGCCATGATTTCAAATTAATTTTTGCATGAACAAACTCATCAAAAAACAGCAATTTTGAATTTGTGTTTTTTCAAGATATGTGGAATATCTAAAATGTTTTGGACACATTTGTGATAAAAACGCAGCAACTGTCAGGACAGCCAGGACGGAGCAGAGTGTCATGAATGTCCATGACACTCTGCATTAGCATTGTGGTTGACTCGTGCTATACAACCACAATGCTAATGCAGACGATGTAAACCTGATCTTACTGGTTATAATGGCAATAATTAGACTGGCACTGTCATTAAGTAGGTAATACTAAACAACTGGTGTTGGTATTGGTGATAAAGAAATGTTGAAGAGTACACTCTTAGTAAAAAACAAGAAGAAAGTAACGACAGCATTTTGTCAGCTCAGGTCTGAGCATTATGACACCAACAGATAGTAAACTATGGAAAAAAGATCAGTGAAATGACAGGGAAACAAACTACACAGCTGTGTCCTGACTTACCTTCCTGGTCCTCACTGCTGTCCTTTGCTGCTCGAGGTTCTTCTTGGATCCCCAGGCCAAACAGGTCAGCGTCATCCTTGGGTTTGAAGGAAATCCCAGTGGGCTTCAGCGGAACCAGAACCTTGGATAATTGCGTGTCCTCGTCAGAGAGGTCAGACAGAAGCTCATCTCTGACCGGAAAGATATCCTGTGTAAAATCAAAACAGTCAAATAACTATTGTCACAGGGAAATTTAAATTCAAGTCAGTTTTTAGGGGGTTTCAAGTATGATTAATAGGAATATACAGGTAAGATAAATCAAAAATATGAATAGTTTTTCTACCTCTCAAGACATAAATTAAATTTCCATAGCAGAATAAAACTTAAATTATAAGTACAATTTATTGCAGATAAATATTTCTTCGCGCTATGTTTAAAAAATGTTTTTATTATGATTATTTTTACACAAATATAGACATCTCAGAAGAATATATATTCATTTTTATAATTTTAAGAATAGAAGTTAAAATTGTAATTCTATGGTGGGTATTTCTTAAAAGTAAGTTTTCTTAATGTAGAATTTATGGCTCTAAGCAATTCTCATTTAGCTGAACTGAGGGCTGCAGACCCTTGATTTAGATAAATTACACTCTGTTTTTGTGAATTTGCTTTTGGTGACCTTTGCGATTTTCGGGGTGTCTGATGCTTCCGACTCAAAGTCCGGGTCATCCATGACAAAAGAGAGCATCTGCTGGGCCACAGGAGCCTCGGGGTCTGTATCAGAGTCTTCTGCTCTGGGTGTGCTTCCCTTTTTCCGGGCCTGCTGTCGAGCTGGCGGCTCCGCTGCTGGAGTAAGGGTCAGGGAGATTGGTGCTGTGGTCTGGACTTTGAGCTCAGGAACTTGAGAAGTCACCTTTGCTTTTGTGAGCTGAATAACTGGCCTGAAAGAAGAATACAAGCAGATGACTGAACTTCTGTTTGTTCAAATGAAAACTTAAATGCTTATCTAAATTTACTTCTTATCTGTTCTGAGCTGGTTAACATCTAAACTAAAAGTCCTAGTCATATCTGCATGACTGCTTGTTTTTTTCTGCAGAAGTGGTTATTATTCCTATATTTTATCTGCATTCTCAGGAACCGTCAAAGTTACATGCAGATAAAAAGTCGCTGCCAAAGATGTACAGATCCTGTCGCATGTTTTCAAATTAACTCTTAAAGCTACAGTAGGTAACTTTGATGAAAATAAATTTTGGGGGGGATATTTGTTAGATATGGTATGAGACATCTGGTTGAGAAAAAAAAAATGAAAAAAAGAGCTCCTCTAGCTTCACCCACTCATCACTAGGTGATCTGCTATGTTGCAGCCGGTGCTGGGTGTCATTAATGCTAATGCTAGTTAGCATGATCACCAATGATGGTACATGAATGTTTTTCCTGTTAAGTCATTTCTTGATCAAGAGCACTTTTAGCAGGGGTTACATGAAGTGACTGACAGCACTAAGCCCCTCCTTCTAGCTCTGATTGGTTGTTTTTGACCAGATTTGTGGATTTCTCAGACTGCAATAGTAGTTCAAAGAGGTGAACTGTCACAACCAGAGATGCAAATGTAATTTTTTTTACTGGCCACTCAAACAGTTCAGTGTTTTTCTTTTTTGTGTGTAACGTGTACCTTGATGACAAACCCCTTTGCAACACTGCAAGTGTTACTGTTCCCATCTTGAAAACAAAGTGGATGTCAAAGAAACTGCTGGAGAGGTCTTTTCAGAGTTTTATGGAATATAAATACACTGCTTATACAACAACATAATTATGCCAATAATAAGACCAGATATCCATGTTAAATAAAGAGCTCTTCATTAAAGTAGCAGCTTGAAAATAAGTCTTCTAATCATTTCCTGTGTTGAACATTTCCAGATTCTGGCTACAACTCAACCAGATATTATTTAGTGAAGATCTGTTTCTAGTCATTATTAAATGGTATTAATTATTGTTATATGTGGTGAAATTCATCTTCAATAAACACTTCTGTATTTGAATAAATTCTGTGGTTGAATTCTAGCTGAGTTACTGAAAAACAACTTACGCTTTCAGATCAGGTTCGCTGTCCCAGTCATGGTCCTGTGTGACTGTGGGAGGCCCCTGCTCAGCCTCCTCCTCATCGCTGGTCAGAGAGATGTCCTTACTGTGAGGCCGGGCCTTCACCTGGGGGAGGTTGGGCTCGCTGTCGTCAGGATCCAGCTCATCCTGGTATCCGGAGACCATCGGGTTTCCTCGGTTTTCTCCATCACTGTGTTACAACGACAGGACAAACCTTCTTCACACGATGTTCAAGCATTGAACGCAATGATTTCACTCAACGCCACCATTACAAGCTGCAACCCAGACAAACACAGTCATTATGGGGACAGAGCAGAGATGTTGATCCAGACAAGTGTTTGTTCATCATATGAACAAACGCTATGGAGAGAAGCCATAGTGTTAATAGATCTCACTGAAATGTGAAGCTTTGATCTTTGCTTTAACATACGGCCGAAACTCAGACTTTGGTAAATCAAAACTGATAGTAATAAGTTAAGTGAGTTAAGTAGGTTTTAACTCAGGGATAAATTGTGTTGTTTTTACAGCTGATGTACGTAGGCCTGACCTGGACGATAAATTGTCCCAGTAATTATTGTGATAATCAATAATATTGTTGTTTTGAGTCAATTTTCAAGTAATATAATAATGCAGGTTAATTCCCTCAAAGCCGAATGAAACCTAATTTTCTAAAGAATAATTTTCAGTGGAAATAGAAGACATTTTAAATATCCAAAATAAAACATGACAACCAAAACCGATGCACAAAGTGAAAATAAAGCCACAGAAAATGGATTATGAAGTCTGTAAATGAAATTCCCTTCAAAATGATTAATCATTAAAATGGAAATCATCAAGCTCCTTTTAACGGATCATGCAGTTAATTGATTGTTTATTATGACAGACTTACCACTCCCATCTCCATTCACCAGTCAGATCATTTAAAGTTCTGACATCATCAGTGATGTCAATGTCAAATGAATATGTACAGCACATTTAAAAACAGCAGTTCAGATCACATTCATTTTTATCACCATTAAAACTTGTAACATTTTAATCCAGACATTTCAACAGAGGTTTTACATAATGCAGATGCATTGTGGCTTTTAATAAAAGTAAAGATAATTTCTTCATAAACAAACAACTAAATGACCGGTTTACAGTATAGACTGTCTGCCCTTCAAAGATAACAGGCCATGCACAACATTTAAATAAAATCTGATTACTGTAAATTCTACACTATAAGCTGCTACTTTGGAGTTCATTGGGTTAATGTTTCTTTGTTTTTTTAAAAAAGGGAATTTTATTTTATACGAGTTAGTTAGAGGCAATAACGTTTAATCCAAGCTCATTTAAAGCCAGTGAGCTTCTCACCTGTCGCTGTCCACAGCTGCAGCCGGGGCGGGTTGGGGCACCTTGCTCTTGGAGGAGACGCTCTCTTCCAGGAAACTCTTGTCCAACCTTTCATCTGGCACAAAATCATCCACACTCTGCACCTTAGCGGGACACACAGGGGCAGGAGGGTCTTCTGAGGAAGACATTGGGACAATCAAGAACATGAGCTGTACTGCAGTTTGTCCCAGTGTTCAAAACTTCCCATCACAACATTTCCTCATCTAGAACAAAGCCTCAACAAAGCTGGAGAAAAAAAAAAATCACATGACATTCCAACCTCAGTAAGGCCTTTGATTCTTAGGAATGCTCTGCATTTTCTAACTGCCAACTCGGAAATCTCATGACTAATTACTATGGTTCTCTCATTTATGGCTAAATCCATTCATATTAGGATTTAAAAATACTTATGTATACAGAAATAAGGTAGGTTTATACAGATATATGTTGTCAAAATCTAATCTGGCATTTATATTATGTTTCAGGGTAATTGGTGAGGCACAATCTGTACAGAAAACACGTAAGGTTTCCTTTACGGGAATTAATCTAAAACTGAACAACAAAACACAAGCATGTGTGGTGCCTTGCAAAATTATTCAGATCACTTAAACTTTGATAAATGCTGACATATATGTTATGTTTTAGACCAAAACAATGAAGTGGACAACAGCAGAAAGCCACAACTGCAAAGATCTGCTGGTCAGGTGGTAGATGACAAAGGATGATGAGGAAGAAGAAAGAATCGTTGAAAGCCAAGAAAAGTTTTGTTTGCATCCAAGCGGGTCCAGAATACAGAAATAATCTGTTAGAATATAGGTTAGGATATAAAGATGTGAATAAGGTATGATAAAGTGAGACAAAATAAATCTTATGCTTACAAATGTTTTGTATAAAAACCAAAAAAAAAGTCCCACAGTTATTTAAAATTTTTTATTCAAAATAGATCATTATATTAGGTCAGGTCTTGTCAGGAAATATCTGAAAATAAATATATTCTCAATCAGCAGTGATGCGAATATTCTGTTCTTCCATAATTATGAATCTGACATGTCATTTTTAAACTTAACGGAAAAAATATCCAGTCATAAAATGGATACTACTCCTACGTCCTTTTATCTCATCAGAGATGCGCCTCTCCTTTACTACGACAAACATCTTATTTGAATATAAAATATTACACTTCAAACGCAACTTAATATGCAGGTATATCTCAGCAAATTAGAAAATTATAAAAACCTTCCATATTTTCTGCCACTCATGTCAGAACTAGATAGGAACGGATGTGCATGAGAGATTTTCAAAGCCTTTCCTTTAGCACTTCCTGTTAGATAAGATGGAAATCAAATTAAAAATAAGGTTTCATGTAAATTTGATAAAGATGACCATTTATCAGTAATCCTGGTATGTTCCTTCACTCTAATAGAAGTAGATTATTCTTTGCTGTGCATCCTTATATTTGATTAATTCGGCTTATTTATATTATTTTTAATCAGTACTGAGGGCAAAATTTGATTAATAAATGTCTACTTTATCAATCAATAATAGGTCAATGCAATTTTTCTCTGTGGATAATATGTTCTAATTTTACTGAAACAGATTCAATTCATGGGTGTATAATAATTGATTATTCTACAGGAAAGGAAAATAGATGTGTTAATGTTGAACTGCCCGACATTGATTATTATTATTAAGGATGTACAATGTTAGAAACACTTGGAATTAGAATATCGACCTGTATTTTTCCTTCAGCATGTTGGCCAATGTCATTATGTCTGACCTGAACATTTATTCTCCTGAGACTGCCTAGCTAGCTACATATGACAGTTATGACTGGGATTATCTATTTAGAAACATATAATCTTGTGGAATTAAACCATGCATAAATATGAGTACGAGGGTTTTCTTGTCAGGCCTGACATTCACGCAGAAATGTGCAAGTCAGCAATAAATAAATATCTGAGAATGTTTTATTTCAGCATTAATAAAGCCCAATGTAAATCTTTTTTTTCTAGGTATTAAGAGTTAAAAGATGCAGTTAATCAGCGCTGTGTCAAATCACCTCCTCGTCTTCATAGTGTAGCTCCAGGCTTAGCAGACCAAGAGCTGCATGCCGGTTCCAAGCTATGTGTTCAACTCACAAAATGTATGCTAAAATACTATAAGCTTTGTACCGAGTAGCAGTTTCTAAAATAAGCTCAGCGGATGAGCAGTTCCACCAGATGTTTGCAAATTGCTGCTGCTGCTAGTCTGAAGGAGATGAATGGTGGAGATAAAGGGCAGGGCTGCTAGAACTATTTTAGTTAACCGGGCGATGAACATGAAAAAATAAGAACTGACTCTCTGTTCATTACTTGTTTGTTTGTATCAGTTTTCACAGGTGGAACAGTCAGCCTTGTCAGTTTAAGCAGGGCCAGTCCAGGAATAATCCACTGCTATAGTGAGGAGTGGCTGAGAAGAGCAGTAATGCTGAATAAGCAGACCTGGGTAACTTTGCTCACCTGGTGCAGCAGCAGGGGCCTCAGCAGCAGGAGATGAACCAAACCAGCGGGAGATGAAACCACGTTTCTGGGGGCCAGAGGCCCCAGGCGCAGCTAATGGTTGCTGGTGTTCAGGTGACTGGAGTGGAAGTTTTGCCTCAGCTGTGGGGGAGGTGGCCCCACCTGCCACTGCTGTGGGGGGCACAGGGGAGGACGCAGATACAGATGGAGACTGTGGAAGCATCTGGGAGGGTAGAGGAGGCTGTGGAGTGCTGGGGCTGGAGCTGCCAGTGGAAGCACCGCTGGGGGGGATGATAGGGGACTGGGAGCCAGAGGAGGGGCTCTGACCGTTGGCTGGACCAGGGGAGGCGAAACCTTTACTGCGAGACTCCAAGTTCTCCAAGAAGCTGAAAAGTTCATACAAAACATTTCATGAGAAAAAAAAAAAGAAAGACTTGTCAAGACAACTTCTGTATGTGTTGTCTATCTGACAACAATACGGAAAAAAAATCTTAAGCTTTCTCATTTTAATTTCTAAAACAGACAAAAGAAAAATTATTTTCACTGTGCATGATCCATCATAAAGACCTGCATCCATTTAGACAACACTTAAACATCCACATCAGATGATCCACGTGGGACAACAGCTGTGCTATCAACCATAGTAACATTCAGAGTGTCAGGACCACACTTGTGCTCTATTTTTATCCCTAACACTCAGAGCAGAAACAGCTCCCCCTAGTGGCTCTGCTGCTAATATACAATCAAAAGGGAAAGAAACCACCGTACATCTCATAGTTCTGGTCTTCAGTCTCCTGCTGGACAGTAAGCTCCTCCAGGGTGGCGTCCATGTCCAGCTGGTTGGTCTCCAGTTGTCTCAGGAGGGTCTCTCTCTGCACACACACATTTATTTAAATGTAAATTATCAAATGATTATTAAGATAGTTCATATCTTAATGATCAAATCCTTCTAAAGTTGACTCATCCAACTATAGCTGGTAAAATGCTAAAAGCTAACCTGCAGCTGTAGGAAGGGAATGTTGAAAAACCTGTGCAGATACTTCAACCCAAATCCATTCTTCATAGAGGACTCAGCATAGTGAATGTATGATGATCCCATTGGTCTGTAAAAAAAAACAAGAGTTATTTATCCAGCAGATTTTAGAGTTCATACAGACTGTTATTGTGTCATCTGTGTGCTGCAGAAAGATGCCAGCAGAAATTCTGGGCTAAATCTTTGAGACCCTCGGATGCATTTCAGAATGAGCAGTTTTAAGGCTTCTTGCCACTTTAAAATCCAAATAACCAGCTGCTGGCCACGCCCTACTCCCCCAACTTAATGTTAACACTTGAAAAAAAGCTTCAAACAGATGTGCAATCATACAATCATTCAACTTTGAAAAGCAGATGTGGAGCCTCCTGAACAACCAACAAGAATGTAGCAAGTTGTTTCTGGATAGTGTGTCGACCACAAAACACTTGTCTTATCCAGCAGCCATTGTACAGTGCAAACAGCAGCAAAACCAGCTGATCAAACATGCTGGATCTTCTAGGTTGCTAGAAGCTGTGTTTGGATGGGGTTGCTAGGTAACAATGCAATGCTAGCTGACCGTGACTGAACAATTGGAAGGTTTATAAAACGGCTCATTTTTCAAATCCCCCAAAATATTAAGATATTCCCAGAAAAGAGGTTGTGTGTGTTTTTTTAAGACACCCAGCTGATTTGAGAAACAGCTGAGTCCCAAATGGAAGTATGAAAACATGCCAAATGTTTAATACAATCAATCAAGCATCTGATGTTCTCCAGATCTCCTAGCTCTCAAAACATTACCTGTTTAGTCCTGCAATAAAATCTCTTATATCATCAGGGAGAATGACACGATGTTCCCCCATGTCCCTGTGGTTTCCCAAGACACACACTGGCACATGGGTGGGTACTTTAGGCAGTTCTCTCAGGATGTAGTTGAAAGTCCTGAAATTTACAGAATCCCAGAATAACATTATTTAACAGGTGAGAGCAAGAAAACAAAAAACCCTGAGCAACACTAAGCTTGGGACTGAAGATCAACATGTCAGATTGACTTTATATATTCTGGACCAGATACAGCAACCTGACATATGTACCTTTGTGTTTTACATATGTTACATATGTTCATTTAATTAAATAACTGAATTATTTTTACAAAATTTGTATGTCAAGTTCTTTAGAAAACTTGTGAGGTATTGGAAACTTATTTTGACTAGTCAGCAATGGAAACCAAAGAAAGCAGCAGTAAGAGAAAACCTGAAAATATGACTTTGCTTTTTCTTTGACACAATATGGATAATATTCCGAAAACTATTAAAGAGTTTAAGTAATTCACTATGTGAATAGCTTACAATAGCTTAACAATATTCTTGTCATTCTGGACTGTTCAGAAAATAAAGTAAACTGAAGCCTTTATTGTCAATATTTTAATTGATACTTCGTAGCTCAAATAAATGGTGACAGGGTGATGGACAATCTATGAATTATCGATAAGAACTGTGAGAAAAATACAACTGACTAATCATTGGATCATCTTATTTTAGCTAAAAATAAAAAAATATTCAGATTGATTATACTTGATCTGGAGCATTTTGCCCTGAAAAGAGTCATAAAAACTTTACTCCATAAATGCAAATAGCAACATGAAAACACTGAATGTTTTGGACAAAGGAACCATTTTAGAATTAGTCAAATGAAAAAATTGTAATATATAGATTACTCAAGCTTGGATGCACCACTGCTGACCAAAAACAACTAATCAGAGCCAGGAAGAGGGTCTTACCGCTGACAATCATCCTCGTGCATTTGCTGCTCAATGTGTTAATGACAGAGAAATAACTTGACGTTACAGGGAAACTGTTTATCCACCCCCATTGGTGGCTATGCTGCTAACCTGAGCATTCATGACAGGCTGTGCTAGCTGCAGCATGACAGAGGGGAGGGCATGAGCAGCACAGACATTACGACCTGCCTGCTGGTTCTGATTTATTGTTTCCAGTTAGCACTGAATGAAGGCAAAGGAGTCGGATTTTTCACAGATTATCCATCTCATACTAAGTTGTCACAACATGGTGACAGTTTCAGCAAATATGTAAATGTGTTATCAAAGTTAGCACTTCAGAACTTCACATGATTCAAACACAATAGAGCCATTTCTGTTCCTGCAGATAATCACATCAAAGAGTTCTCTGACTATGGTGACTCACCACTGCTTTGTTATGTCAAACATCATGATGACACCATTGCAGTTCTTGTACACATCCAGAAACTCTGCATCCAGGGCTACCTCATCTGACTGCAACACAAACATTTAAAATGATTTAACAATCACACATCCTACTAGTCAGTCTGTCCACATGACAGCTGTGTGATAATCACCTCTTGTGGCTCATTCTCCAGTTTCAAGTTGTCTCCACGCCGTTTGCCTTTTCCTGAAAGAACAAAGACACAAGTTAAGACAATAAGAGAGGGAAGTCAACATAAGGCTTTAAAGTCTTCTGCCATCTGTTAGCTTGCAAGTGTTTCATCGTGACCAAAGCAAGTGCAGCAATTCATCCACTTTTCTCTGTGAAAAGCTCCCTGGTCACACTAGACTCAGCATCAAGTCAAGGCTCACACACAGCAGATGTTCAGCCTCTACGTGGCAGAAAAAAAAACTAACACAGCAGTCCTGAGCACAGCAAAACCTCAACTCTATGGACTTTCAGATTAAAGTGGGAGGAGCTAGGGCACACCCAAAGCACACACGGGTTTCTATGCATTATAGTCGCGCTCACCACCACCTTCAGGAAGAGGGTATTTTTGGCCTGAGTTGAGTGCAAGAGAAGTGTAAGAAAGACAACAACAAGATTGAGGACAGAAACGAACCAGCACACTGAGCATGTTTCAATAAATCATCAACATCTCATGGCTGAGTTCCCTCAGAGAAAATGCCTCTGAACTGATGTCGACACTTACCTTTGTCCACCACGTCCCACACCTCCACCTTCACCACGTCATCAGTGGCTGAGCACAAAACAAAGATTGGACTCATTAGTATTGTTTTAAAGAAACAAAGGATTACAGAAAGATGGGTTTTAGGTGACTTTAATATGAATTAACTATACTGGAGCAGGAACATGTCCAATACAGACACATACAGACCAACAGCCTCTAGGGAATACAGTCTGCTGTTCAGTTAGTGATGCTAACCATGCTAAGTGCTAAAAAAAAGGCACGAGACAGTTTAAAATTTGATATGTCTTATTTAGTTTTTTTTTTTATTAGTGTATGCCTGAGTAAGTGAGTAGGGTTAAGTCATTGCTACTGATCCTAATATAAATAATTCAAGAGTGATCATGGTAGAAAACACGATTTAGCTGCTGCTGCTAATTAGAGCTCTGAAGGAATGGACAGGTGACAGCTTTTCAAGTTCTATTCAACAGTACTTTATTGATCCAAAACAGAAATTAAATGTGTATGTCTAAATCATTTAACCAAAGAGTTATTGTAGAAGGTGGTGCCTGTGGGTAGCAAAGATCTCCTGTAGCAGTCTGTATAACAACAAATTTGAACAAGCCTCTGACTGAAGACACTATTTTTCTATGACAATCTTATGAAGAGGATGGTCAGGGTTGACCATACATTTCTTTTATATTAAAAACTCTGAGAAACAAGTACTACTCACAAAAAGTCAGGGATGAACTCCAGGATAAACCTAAAAATTCCAGGTTCTCTTAACCTTCAGTGCACTTGGCCAGCTGTTCAAAGTTTCAGTACTTTTTGCACAGCTTCTCTAATGAGGAGCTTAATGCCACAATCCATCAAATGATCAATACAAAAACTAAATTTACTTAAAAAAACCCTAACATTTAAAAAAATAAAAATAAATTGTGCCAGGATGTGGTGGTTCGTTGGCTGTATCACAATGATCGGATTTTGCGAAACACTTATTTTGCATAACAGGAATGATGGAACTGCATGTTTTTTAATGTCTTATCATATGAACAAACTTATTCACATGGGATTTTAATTGCGTTACTTAGTTAATGGAAGCTCCCCAATTGCAAAACTGTGTTTGTTTTGAATTTGAATAGCAAAAATAATCAAAGTTTAGCACACATTTGCAATGGAAAAACAACTGCAGATGATGGTTTTTGTTTCAATACATCAAGATGAGGAGATCGCTGCTGCTTCTACTGAAATGACCCACTTTCATCCTACAATACAATCAGTGTGAACTTTTTCTAAATTTCACCTGAAAACTAAATAACCCAAACTTGTTATGAATAGTGTCCCATGATTCTGTGAAGGATCTCTACTTGAAACAATAAGCGGTGGAGAGGGAAAATCTATCCTGGGTAAGGAAGAAACTAACACTCTCTAAATGGTTGTTAGCTCAGATGACCTGTTGACATGTTTTACCTTGATATGGAGCCACTGGAATAAAGCACCAGGCACAAACAGCAGATGTCAAAAATTGATCCCAACAGAAAGATAGCAAAGGCAGCATTCTGGAAATAAAAACGATCTATGATAGTCAGAGACGACGTGACTTACTTTTATAATTCCAGTGAATACTTGTGACCTGGATCTCCTGAGTGGGAATGTACTCCTCCACAAACTTCTTCCCCTGCAGTCGGTGCCATAAAGTACTCTTTCCAGTATTTCTGTCTCCTCTGATAACTATTTTCACTTAAGTGGGGGAAAAAAAAAACAAAACAATCATCAAGGTTGTTGTAGCACAGATTTGGCAAATATGTAAACTTTGCTCACATATTTGACACATTCATCTTACTGTTATATTGGACCCCTTTGGCGAAACGCCTTTGCAAACTTTGGTTCATGGACTGCAGTCCTGCTGGAATGGTTTTCTCCCGGAGCTGCCCTGGCTCAGATCCCACCAGCTTTTTCAAAGCTGAGAACATTTTTGAGGTCTCAGGAGGTGTGGAGGGGAAGTAAAAACACTGAGACGCCACTTAATGAGGTTTCTTTTGTAAGAACAGAAGGAGCAATGTAGAACCGTGTCCTGATAGCTGAGAAGTTAGGGCTCCATGTTTAGAAAGAGGTCAAACTAATTATTATGGATCAAGTTTGACTTCTGTTAAATCTGACTGGATGTTCCTTCTTGGTCATCAGTGGTGGGGATCAAGAACATCGTCATCTATAATTAGAAAAAAAAATTGTTGGTAATCACTGGTTATCACTTTAAAGACAAACCAAACTATTTGTCTATCAGAGGTCTTTTCAGAGTTTTTGATCTTTCAGGAACTGGTAGGTTGCTTAGAGCTACAGATTACTGCAGTGCTTTAGAAAAATAAAGATCTAGGCATGAAAGTTTCTCTAGTGTACATCAGGCCAAAATAAAAGGCTCAAATATATAGACACACTTGTATGTTTATATCTGAATGGACATTTGTGCACCAGTTCTTTCAGAAATGTCAGGGGTAAATAAAATGGGGCAGTTTTCTGGACTGGATCCTTTGGGTTCCTCCTGAACATCCTGAATAATTTCCATTCATCCAAATTGAATAGTTTTAATCTTTGTCATTGTGGTGAAATATCAAAATCACTTCATATACAGCTGTTTGAACTGGTAATCATGAGTTGTTCAGAAATGACTCAAAAATACTGTTCCAGCTGACGTAAAAGTATAATTTTAATTGTCAAACATTGAATAGATTTAAGGGCAATTGGGCAACCCAAGGAGTGGTGTCAAACAAATCGCTTTGTTTCCAAAGAGAAATCATAAGCTGTGGTCAATCATGATCACAAAGAAGTTAATAGACATTGGTCTTGTCAAGTTTATAAAATTCTAGCACCTCAGTATCACTTACTAAAAGTTGTAGGTGAATATGTGCATATATTTCAACCTGTATGTAGAATTTTGAAAATTCACAGTAAAATCAAACTGGGACCCCAATTTCTATTTTTAAAAATCATAGAAGATGCATAATATATAATTATTTCACCTGCAACTCCAGTAAAACCAATCATGAAGATGAAACAGAATATATGCATTCTAAAGTTTCATGTATTTTTCCATTTTGGCTTAATTTTAATTTACCAATAAAAGTATTGGTAAAGAATGTGTGGCTTTGAAAACTGGAGGTCAGATTTAAATAATCTGGGAGTCAAGTGAAGACATTCATTTGTACATCAAATGAATGTTCCTGAGTGAGACTGAATAGCAATCATCTCTACAGTATCATTGTTTGTAATTATATAATCACGATGGCCTGTCTGTATGCAATACTTTAAAGCTTCAGTTGTTCTGTACTCAAACTCTGCAACCAAATATTTGTCCTGATGTGTGGATTACTTTTGTTGTCCTTGATTCACACACCTGAAATAAACTTAGCGACCAAAGTGCTAATACAACTTAATATTAGTGGGGATGTTCCACAATATAGGAATACAACACTTTCATTTATGTCCTTGCATCATGCAGCCTTAAAATATACTTTCTTTTCAACTGCACATCCTATCTATTACCAGAGGAAAATCATGATGAAAAACGTTGTCCGTGTCAGTGGTCAGGAAGAAAAGAGCTTAAATGCCTGGATGTGTAGCTGCCACTTCACAAAAATGACATCATGGCCTTTCGTTCATTCATCCAGATTGTTTGCATTGATTTTTTTTTTCAAACATTTTAGAAGATCAACCAAAGCAAATAAACCAAATTGATATATATTTTTGCTGTATGTTAGCCAGAAGCCAGTTGCCTACTTCTGTCACACAAAGGACAACACATGAGAGGCTCAGCCGGGTAAGATGATGAGGTCAGCTGACCCTCTTCACAGCGGCTCCAGTGACGGTGTACTAGTAGGTGGCTCATTAACCTATGATTAAATATTACAATTTAAGACACATTAAGCTTACGGTTGTGATTCTTTGTCTCTATTTTATAGAAGTAATGTAGAGAACACAATGTCCAGAAAACATCCCATCTCGATCATAGCAATTAACCAAATTAATAAAGTATTCATGTCCATTCATTTTAGAGACACCAACTCAATTTTAACCAGTGCTTAATGCTATGACAGTAAAACACTTTCTCGCCATTATTCACTTTCCTATTTTCACCGTCGTTCAGTTAGCATTAGCTGCATATTCACTTCGCTCCGTTAATTAAGTACTCTAGCAATTATACATTTATGGTTATAAAATCCAAATATGCATACTACGTCCATTACTGGCTTCAAAAAGAGGTGAGATAGCCAAGGTTACTACCTGCTGTTACCCTAGATAAAGGAGGTAACGTTATCCCCCAGCTCAGTTTTAGCTAGCTCTTCCAGCTGATGTATTATTAGCTTAGCGTTTCTAGCTCGCGGCTCCATAACAGCACACAGCAGCCGACCTCAGATCCGCTGCGTCGCCATTAATACTCACTGCTTTGTAATGAGGAGAAGGGCCTGCATCTCTTCATCACAACATCTGTCAGACATCCATCCCGACACAGGTAAAGCAGCCACATTCCTTCGCAAAGACAGCGGGCACGCAGAGCTGGCATCAAGCGTATCGCAAAACTCTGCAATGTCCGATCGGACCTTCAAAATAAAAGCAGGCGTTTTTACAGCGATTTTAAGTTTGAGCATTATAACAGATTGTTGTGGAAATATAACGCTGTTGCTTACAAAACATTAGGCACCACTTAAGTTTATAAGAATGCAATATTATAATGAATTGTTTTCATTTAACTCAGTTATTTAATTGATGTACAGCAATTATTTTTGTTTTATTTACTGTTCAATTTCGCTCACTGGTACAATTTTAATCGAGCAAAACTAAAGTGTCTTTATCTAAACTTCTTATGAGTCATTACGGATAAAGCAATGGGGAGAATCTTCTGTGGTGGTCTGTTTTGCACTAAATCTGAAGAAACCTCTGATTGAAGACAGTCTGGTCTGTCCTTTGTGTAGACCACCTTTGTGTCTCCAGTCTGTTGTGTTTTCCAGGTGAATACAGAGATACTAACACTCCTTCAGCACATTTGCTTAAATTTAATAAGAGATGATTGTCTAAATCACAGGTGTCAAACTCTAGTCCTGGAGGCACACTGCCCTGCAACTTTTAGATGTGCCTCTGCTGAATAAAATAATTAGGTCACTAGCAAGGAGAACTGATAGTAATGGATGCAAGCTGCCGTTAAAATCTAAAGAAGGAGAAGAAGAAGGAGAACTGATCTACACAAGAAGGAGGTAATTAAGCCATTTCATTCCAGTGTTTTGTACCTGCGGTTTTGGGTGCATTACCATATTCCCCTCGTTGCTTGCAACAAAAACAAAAGCAGCTATGAATAGTTAAAATAGAAAAATATTTGGGGCTCTCATGGGATGAAGTTTCACTAACGGCTCTGAAGCATCAGTATCACAGTAGAGCCTGTGTTAATGCTATTAAAGCATTAAAACATAATACACAAGCTTGTGTGTAAAATCAAGATCTCTCTTTAGCAAAACCTGTACATCTGTGTCTAAAATATTCTTGGCTAAAACATGTTTGTTCTTCATTCAGTGAAGTTATTCATGGTGGATATCGTAAACAGAGAGTTTACTCAAGAAAGAGTAGTGACACTATATAGTAATATTACTCAAGTAAAGGTAAAAAGTACAGCATTAAAACTACTACTAAGAATACAATGTTTTCAAAAGGTTTCTCAAGTAAATGCGTAAATGTAACTAGAAACCACCTCTGCATGTAAATGTTGTGACAGCATAAAATATGTGCAAATGTATAGCTATGAAAAATACATCAGTTCTAAGACTGAAGGGAGGATAAAAAGCAGAATTTCAGAAGTTCAGAAGTTCAAAATGAGCTTCTAGCATGATTAGCTAAAATGGCGAGAGTGGACATTTTCGAGAAAGTTAGGAGGTTAAAGAAAGTGAACATTTTTTATTATTTTGGCTGATGAGACTATGAACATTTGTACTTTAAAATTTGTAAGTGTTTTTTGTGGCTATTTTGTTGACTTAATTTTCATAAGAGGGTATACGGACTATAGGCAAAAAAATGCCTTGACTTCTTGCTGCTGAAATTTGCAGTGTAGTTGTCATAGCTTCAACAGTTGTACGGATCCTAAATGGGATAGTAACCACAAAGAAAAAGCTGCATGGAAAAATAAGCACACCTTTTCTGTCCCAAGGAATTTTAAAGGACAACAGGTGCCTTCAATTAAACTAATATGATTATCAATATGACCACCTCTAAGTTTGCTGGTGTGGAGCATGTGTATGCTAATGACGTCCAGGGCCAAACCTTGTATTTCACAGAGAAATGAACAAAACAATAAAACAAGATCTACAAACTGACTCGACTGGCCCAAAGTTGTCAACAGTGTGGTGTGGTGGAGATGGATTTAAATTCAGTCTAACAACGAGGATGGTAATTTGTTAAATGAATTTATAAAACTGAGGGAAAGGCACAAGATCAATGAGAATCTTTTGAGAACAAAATAATATTAAGGCAGTGGTAAACAGGTCAGGTAGAGTAACAAGTAATCTGATATGCTTAGTGGATGACAGAAGAGGCAGATGATTCAGATACAAAATGACAAGCACAAAACAAAAAGAATTAGAAAAAGAATAAGTACATCTTTCTACCACAAAAGGGTGTCCTTGACCAAGAGGCAATGAACAGGAATGTATTCATGCAGGGCACGAAATTTGGTTAAAATAAAGAAACATTATGGCAGCACAAATACCATGCTGGAAGCATAATGATGTCTGCTTGTTCTACAGCTTTACAGCATCTTCAAGTCATAGGCAACATCAAAACATTTTAGAGACAAATGTCTGACAGCTGAAACTTGGACAAAATCTGTCACCCATTGGACAAACATCCCAAACACTGCAGCAAATCCACAACAGAATAGTTGAAAAAGAAGATTGGAGCAATTACAATGGCCTAGTCAAAGTCTGGACCATGAGCTGATAGAAGTGTGTCAGCAGGATCCCAAAGGAACTACCCGACATGGATGTTTGTGAACTTAACTGTATAAGATAGACAAGCTATGGGACATCATTGGGGCAGAAGGTGGTTCCACAAGCTACTGATGTGGTGTTCTGGTGTTCCATTCATGGAAGTTGCATTTAGATTCATTTCTGTTCAATAACAAAAATCTAGAGTATGTTATGTTTTTGTACAGGTTAGAATCTGAATAACAAACAGCAGATCATTTTCATTATGTCCTGATACGTTGGAAACAAGTTATGTTCCACGCAGACTCGAACAGGTCACTCCAACAGGCCCTTACTTTGAAGACTCAGAACTGACACTGCTTCCGAGATGATCACCTCTCCTCAGGTCCAATCCATTGAGCCCAGTCCACTCCACCGCAGCGTGCTTCCTGATGCTCCGGCTCTCTCGGGCTTGCATCCTCAGCTGTCACTGCCATCTCACTCAAACGCCTGCTCCGGGCACGTGAGCGGCAGACGTCGTTATGGGCTCGTAAACATAAGCAGGTATACACGTTTTAATAAATTTGCCAAAAAGCAATGAGTGACTGCTGGCGGTTATTTCGAAAACTACACCAGTCGGTGTTTGTTGTCTTGAACACACCCCGCTGAGCCCCCCGATATTGTTCAAGGGGAATAATGGCTGCACAAGAGCCGTCTCCACCATCTTCCCTGGAAGGCAACAAGCCGGGCTTCCCAAAGAAAATTCTGGCCAACAACCTGGAGGACAAGCATCTGTGCAACTCGTGTCAGAAAATCCTGCGGAGGCCCCTGCAGGCCCAGTGCGGCCACCGCTTCTGTTCGTTCTGTTTCAACAAGCTGGTGAGGTGAGTGGTGAGTGTGGGGGCTGCTAGTGGAGGGAGCTAGCTGGAGTATGTGGAGCCCACCGCCAGACTCCATTCACAAAATTCACGTTTTAACTCTTCTCCACCGGTTATCACGGGAAGCGTTTTATCGGATTAAAAATGAATAACATCAAGGGGATTAGAAGGGGTCTAGCGAACGGCTAATTCACAACCACTGTCTCAGCCAAGAGGAAATCAGGACCTGAGTGATGAGCTGATTGTGTTTTTATTGATGAGGCTGGTTTGGAAGTGGAAAAGGTGAAAAGTTTGGCCCAACGTGAAGGAAATAAAATCACTATCAAGTTGCTTTGCATGCCGAATATACCAGAAGATTCGTGTCTTTTATTCCAGTAATTATAATCCCCCAAAGCTTTAAATACAACTATACTGTGTAAAATTGGGCATTTTTGGAATGGAGTTTGGGTTGTCTATTTAAATTTGGAATAACGTATTTACTCTAACTAGAAGTAACATATATTGTGTCCATTTTTATCTTGAAAAGAAATCGGCATTATGATTTCAAATGATACCGTTATATGTTCGTTATTGAATATAATAAATGAAAAATAATCCCATATTGGTTTTCTTTCTGGAGTGACGGTGCGCTGAGGAGAATGAGATCACCGGGTTTCTAGTCTGAAAGTGCGCATGTGTGGGATGGAATGGCACTTTTCCTTTTTCTTTGCTGTCCTTTAGTCGAAAAAAAAAAGTCAACAAATCATTGTCAGCCTGTGTGATTAAATACAGTTGAGATGCTGTCACAGCTTTGTAATGACAACTATCTGAGTATGACGAAACACAAGAATGCTCTCTTGTAGGTCAAAAAATGAAAACGTACCTAATTCTGGGTCAATGTCAGTCAGTGCATAATAAAAACTCACTACTGAAGTACACTCTCATCGACGTATCTGATAAGATTTCTTGACAAGATGAGTTGCTAAAGATGTTCAAATTAATGGCTGCATGACAAAAACATTTACATGCAGAATAAAAAAAATCTGCACCTTGTAAAGAGAACTGGAGAGAGATGGCAAAATGTAAAGTTTAAAATATTTTGATAATTATGATCCAAAGTTACTGGAAAACCCACTACACTTACTTTCTAAAACACAAGTCTGTATCTGAAACCTGAAAAAAATTAGTGATGGGTGTGTAACTAATTATCTTTAATCACATTTTAATTGAAAACTATACAAAGTAAGAAAGATTTTCAATAAGAAAAAATACTTTTGCAGCTAAATTATTGAATAAATAGACATATAAGTTTATCAACAGCTGAACCTCCAGTGGAGCTGCAACAGAAGCAGCTTTGTCATCCATCACTGCTTGTTTGCAGATGCTGCTTTACATGTGGACCAGAGACGTGCAAATGCAAAGGTTCCTATCATAAACTTTGTATATGAAAAAAAGTGAATCATTTGATTAAAATTTTAACAAGTTAATATATATAAAATTAATTCATCAAAAGTCCTGACCCTCGATCTAAAAAGGTTTCAGGTATGAATGCTTTTGCATGTCAAAGTACAACAACTTTATATTATTTATTTCTTATATTTTTTGGTAATTCTCCTGTGGAAATAGTGTGATGTATTGACAGATTGTTAAAAGCAGGTGAAACAGAAGTAATGTGTGTTAATTATTTTTCCTCTCCTAGTTCTGGACCACAGAAATGCAGTGCATGCATCAAGGAGGACTTGTTTGAGGAGCCCACCTCCATTCTCAAGCCTGGCGGTGTAAGCACATTGAACCTTCCTTTTGTTTCCTCTAATGCTTCAGATATTTGGTCCTTACCTGAGATTACTACCACAGGAGGTCAACTTCAGGCTCAGTTTAAGTTTTAGTATCACAAAGCTCAGCTCTTACACTAGCTCTGTCACTATGGTTACTTTGACTGAGTTTTGCGTGGGAATCCCATTGGTTAACTTTTATTTACAAGGGATTACCTAGACTCCTGCTGGCCTATATTTGTACTGCAGCCACACTGAGAAATGTTGAGTGTTATACTTCTCGTTCACATGATTTGTGACTTCTTTCTGCTCGGACTGATTTGGGTAAGAATGGTTTTGTTCACTCTGCTCCCTCTTGTTGGAACTTGCTACAAGAAATGTTGAGATTGACTGAATTCGTCTCGTTTAGTTCTTTTACATCCAAACTAAAAGTTCTTGAGCCCAATTCAAAGATAGGCAGCTGTTTTTTCTTTCCCCCCCCTTTTTTTATAGCTTGTCATTTTCTTTTAACTGTGTAATTTTTCTATTTTGTATTTGTTGCTGCCTCTTGGCCAGGACTGTTGAAAAATAGGTTCAAAAATCTCAAGGGGTATTTATTCTGATTAAATAAAGGTGAAATAAATAAAAAAAAGGATCAGTAATAAGGTTGAACTAGTGTTGAATTTTTTCTATATTTACTTGATGAGAGGCAGAATATATGTGGATGTACCACCCTAAAAATAAAAACAACCCTGAGAGTCAACAGAGTAACATATCAGTGTTTTCTGGGTTTCTGATCCAGTGCTGCTCAGCTTGGATCCAGTTCTACAAAACCTTTTGATTACTTTCTAATTGTTGCCACAATAAAAAGAAAACGGAAGCTGCAACTCTGGTTCTGTTGTCTATCTTCATATGTGGTAAAATTAGAGCCAGGGGAGAAAAGTGAGCTCCCAGCGTTGTGTCCAGCGGTAAACCAATGCAGAGAGTTTGTAACTCTACACAGCGGTGACAGGCGTTTTCTCCTGCCCAGGCGTTCCCAGACAACGCAGCTCGGAGAGAGGTGGAGGCCTTGGCAGCAGTTTGTCCTAATGAAGGATGCACATGGACTGGAACTGTCAGAGAGTTTGAGGTAAATCCCAGAGCATTATTACCCTATGGGCCAAACATACCCTTCATTTCTTATTCCGGATTCTGACAGATTAGTCCTTTCAAAAAGAAATAGAGCTATCTGATCATCCATTCATTTTATCAGGCCCAGCTCACAAAATAATATGTTTATGTTTATAAATATAAGGAATTTTGATAATTCAATGTAAAGCAGCAGTTTACCAAAGGCTTTGCATTAACATACACAAATCAGTCATCAAGAGCTCAACAAAGGCTTTTGATCTGATTGGTGGCCAAATAGAAAATAAAATCTAATTATTTTATTTCCTGTTTGTTGAATGCAACAAAGCCAAAATCTCCCACCATTTTGGATCCATGACCACATCAAAGGCATGAACTGTGTTGCACTTTTGAAGGAAATAATGAACTGCTGCTTTTGGGCCCCTGCAGGCGAGCCATGAGGGCAACTGTGACTTCATGATCATCATGTGTCCGTCGTGCAAAGAGCTGATGAGAGCCAACGAACAGGAGCGCCACAACGAGCGAGAGTGTCCAGAGAGGACACTGAACTGCAAATACTGCAAAGAGCCGTTCCTCTTAAAGAACATCAAGGTGAGGATTAAACAACTAAACACTGTTCATGATCCGCTGCTTGTGGGTACTTGTGCTAGGAGTTACCAAATACAGTAGTTCTCAGAAACACTGGGCTGCCAGGAAGCTGAAACCATTTCATTGAAATGGTTTGGATTTATGAATAATGAATACCGTGATTAATCATGGTTTAGAAGAATCATGGATATGCCATAACTATCATATTTGTCGCATCATCATATGAGTATATGACAGGTCTTAATTGTAAATGATTTATCACAGAAAAATCACAGACAGTAATCATTTGTCGTAATTCATTTTACACTTGGGCTTTTACAGTTGTTTATGTTGCACACACTAATAATGCAGTAAAGATATTATCATTATGTAAATAATGTAATAAGTAAAACTTGAATTTTGAATGTGACGTTTTAAAAGGAAATGCTCCTTTTGTTGAATTCCAATTTTGTGCATCTTCCTGACTGCAAATGTGAGCAGATGTTGTTGTTTTAGGCTCATGATGAAATCTGCCCAAAGTACCCAATGATCTGTGAAGGCTGTGCGAAGAAAAAGATCCCCCGTGAGAAGGTATCTTGGCCGTTTCCACTCTCCTCCATTCTTCAGTCTGATGGACGTCTCTCTGCTCTGAGCTTGGGATCAAACTCTCTGACATTCTTTACGCCATTGGCTTCTTTCATTTTTGTTTTGTTTTGCAGTATGTGGACCATATTAAGTTCTGCAGTAAATTTAAAACACCATGCAGATTTCATGTTGTTGGCTGCGATACGTCTGTAAGTAGATACTTTTGTCATAAATTGCTATATGTGCATGACTGCCTACTGCTAATCATTAATAACTTGGCAAAATGAAATATTTCATACTTCAGACATATTCAAACAAAAAGGCCAGGTAAACATAACTCCTCCAGTAAGCTAAAAAATGTAGCATTTTTGACGATTTAAGTAAGTTTGCCAAGTTATTGAAAAGCATTTCTTGGAGAGGATGTTGCTCATGGAGGATGGAAAGGGACAAAATCAAGAAAAAAATAAACTCGTCCTTAAGATATTATCTGTATCATGATGTAAACAAATGTTTAAATGTTGACGAAATATAATTAAATTATTCAAATGTAAACTTACAATAGTTGATGCCAATAATTAATTCAATGTGTATTTAATTAAATCATGGTTCCTGATCCTGCAGTGTCATAATAGTTTTTTGTTAAACTTGCCTATCACATTCAAGGGTGTATTAAAGATGGTTAGTGTGGTGTGAAATTAGAAGGAATTGCCCTTTAGTCATTTCTTGAATCAGAAGCTGCAAACAAAAGCTAACTTCTGCTTCATGGCATAGTGATACGCCCGAAGCCCCACCCCTCAACTTTGATAGGTGAGTTTGACAGAGAATTATTTCATCATAACCCTGAAGGAATAGGAGACCTGAAATAACTGAATACACATTTAAATATCTCTGTAAGCTAGTGTAAGTTTGTATTTTAACAATTTGATGACATGTTTCTAACTTGATTGGTTATTGTAATGATTGAATGATGTATTTATTAATGTTGTCCCTTTTAGTCTTCCATAGTTGCTACATGTCTGCTAAATCTTGTATTGTTGGCTTGTATTGCTGCTTTTTATGCAAAGTGACATAGGCATGATGCCTCACTGCCCAGGGTGGCATTTCCATAAGGGGCATCATGAGTAGCCAAAAACAAAGAATAGAAAACTGTTATTTTAATTGAATGGCTTGGATATTATTGAGATTCCAGGACTTTTCCTCAGATATTCATGTAAGAATGACCACTGATCAAATGATCACTGATTCACAGCAACGAGGAGGATTACATGTGTTTAGGTTAATCTGGCATGAATCAACAGGGGTAAGATAAACAGTAGGGGCCTAAAACTTTTTCTGTCTTGCAAATATTTTATTCACAGTGAAACTCATAAATTTTTTATTCATTATTTTATGTAATAATATTTTTGAACTGGTTTACCTTGTCAAACCCATCCTTTTATTTAGAATGTTAGAGAAAACTGGACTGATCAGATTACTAATCACACCAGCTACATTTCATACTACCTGCTTTGTTTAGAAGCTCTACAGCCAAAAAGTATTTGGTGTCATAGTCACTGTTTTAACTTGATATTGATTACAAATCAATGATCAATAGTGTTTTGGTTTTATTCCACTGAGTGATCATGATGAATCAAAGGCGTTTCCTGTCTTTGATTGAAGCCATTGCTGAATGCTGTTTCATGAACTCCCCAGCATGATGCGTCCACCACCATTCTTTATACCAATGTGGGTCTAAATGTATTTATGTTAAGCTGCTGTGTGCTGTTCACCCAGTCATGTGGTTTAAACCACCATTTTAGCTAAGGACAACTTAAAGTTTTTGAAAGATGTTAAAAAATGAGAAGTAGCATTTCTGTCAAAGGTGCCATAAAATAAGTTATTATAACATAAAATGATCAAAACTTTGATTCTGATGACTGAAAAAACCTTATAAACTACTATCTTAGCCTATTGACTGAATGAGATCATTTGTGAAAAACCTCATGGATTTGTGGCTTCCTCACTAATTGTTACAGCTGTTATTTTTTCCTTTCATCTGTAACTGTTGATAATTATGACTCATCAACCCTCTGCTCCCCCACCACCACTCTGAATGATGTTGGTCCCTGACATTCTGAAAGCCACTCTGATAAATCAGTTAGTTAGACCAAAAGTCTTTTTCTATTAAAACTCATAAATGATCTCTCCTGGAATCTTACTTTCACATTAGCTCATTGTATTTTGGTTGGAACCCAAACTATAAAGCCAGCCTGATCTAAGATCTATATGTTATGTGTCACTAGTGAGTCTTTATTCAGCTGGATGAATGTTCTACAAGACAATTGTGACTATGAAGTGTCTAAGAGAACGATTAAACTTTAAAAAGTTTAGGTAAAATCAACTTTTTTGAGTAAAAATATTCAAATGTTGAGCCCTCATCATAATACACACCTAGAGATCTTCCTCAGAGCTGCAGTTTCCAAGCTTCCTCTTCACAGATCAGGCCTCCCCTGCTCCTTTAGACTAGCCAGCAGCTATTAGCAAACACCTGGTGGAACTGAGAATTTTCTAAACTTATTAAAGGAGCTACGTCTCAGAGCTGCTCTGGTAAAATGTTGTTAAAGGGTTAATGGAGGAACCATGTTGTGATGACTTTCTGACGGTGAAGTTTCAGAAACAGCAGGAGTTGCTTAAAGAAATAAAAGCTAAATTTGCCTCATAATCTTACTGTCTTGTGTTGTTTATACAAATCTTTAGAGACAAACTGTTTATTTTCGTAATTTTCTAGTTTCTATTTCTGTTTCGAAGGTGGAGAAGGAGAAGATCCACGACCATGAGCGGCAGTGTTCATACGAGCACCTCAACCTGCTTCTGCATTTCATCATGGGCATCAAGGTGAGTCTGGAGAGCCTCCAACCGCAGACCTTAGAGGTGGCCAGCCAGAAGCTCCAGGTGCTGCACCAGTCCCTCAGAGAGCTGGAGCTGAAGATGAGCCAGCTGGGTGGGGGCGGCCCTGCTCCCGTGCAGGGTGCATGTGCTCTCACCCTGGCCACGTCCTTCACTCCACTGCCCAGCGCCATGGGTGCTGCTCTGGAGCTGCAGCTCCAGAGCGAGAAGACCAAGGTGGCCGAGCTGAGCCGGCGCTGTCAGGAGCTGGAGCTGAAAGTGAACACGTTTGAAAACATCGTCTGCGTCCTGAACCGGGAGATGGAGCGTTCCTGCACCACCATGGAAGCCTACAACCGTCAGCACAGACTAGACCAGGACAAAATTGAAATTCTCAGCAACAAGGTATGAATGATCCTTGGACCTGGATGCTTCTTTACATACCCAGTAACACCACAATGTAGCCCATGACACCAGAACATACACCACATCATGCCCTAGGGTGACAGTTATGTTTTGGTATGGAGTTGCGCCATACTCTTTCCATTTTCAGATGATGGGTTGAAATATGTTTCAAGAACCTGACCAAGCTTTAAGTTTCTCCACAGCTCCCTCCCTCTCCCATCTGCTGTGTTCCTTGGATTTAGTGGATTGAGAGTATCCAGCTAAAACGGCCTTATGCCTTTGGTGCTTTACTGCAGGTCCGACAGCTGGAAAGGACGGTCAGCCTGAGGGACCTGTCCATCGTGGAGATGGAGGGGAAGATGAGGGAGATGTCTGCAGCCACCTACGATGGAGTCTTTATCTGGAAGATCTCCGATTTCACCAAGAAGAGGCAGGATGCCGTGGCTGGCCGCGCTCCTGCTATGTTCTCCCCCGGTCAGCATTCCATGCAGAGATGCTCTCACCAAGCGCTTCGGGCCTGGAATGACCAAGATCTCACTCAGTTGTTTGATCTTGTCTTCCAGCGTTTTATACAAGTAAATACGGCTACAAGATGTGCTTACGAATCTACCTGAATGGTGACGGGACGGGCCGTGGCACACATCTGTCTCTGTTCTTTGTGGTGATGAGAGGACACAGCGACGCACTCCTTAAGTGGCCTTTCAATCAGAAGGTAGAAGTCTTCTTTTTTTTTATCAGTTTAAAAATTATGTTGCTAAAATCCAAATAAATTCAAACGAGCTGTAGGACTCTCTATCCAGACTGGAACCAGGCTGCCTGGACAGGCCAAAATTATTTGCTTGATCTTTGGGTCCAGGCTTTGTGGCATGAGCACAGAGAACAAACACCACGTCAGAGTGTACAATATAAAACTGTGTTTATCTACTTATTATAGTCATATGACAGCTTTTCCTATTAAGGAACAAAAGAAAGTAAGGTGCAGAGCAGACACTTATCAGACTGTAACAAGCACAGCACACAGTAAACACTTCTATCAATCACACATCCTACATGATTTGCACTTTTCTCATGCTCAGGTTACAACAAATAAAATTCAGTTCTCATTGTGCAGCTGTATTTACAAGGATTACCAAGAGAAATTCTCTTTCCTTTAAAACAACATGGCAGTAAGATGCAAGTTTGCTAAGTTGCATCTGAACGAACGACATTATTCTGGAACAATGTGCTTTGAAGAAATAAGACAGAAGTAGATCTATTTGGGCATGGTGGAAGGCACCATGTTTTTAGAAACAGAACCAGGACAAACACGTCTCACCAAGTGTTAAGCACCGTAGTAAGTAGAAGGCTGTAGACTTGAGCTTGTTTGCAACCACAGGTAGAATCTTTTGTGCACTACAGTGTTTTATGCTCATAAGTTCAGGCAGTAGCTGAGACAGATTATCTGTCTGTAACGAACGGTCACAGCATGGCGACAGTTTTAACAAATGTGTAAAAAGGTTACATACCACAGCTTTAGAGGAAGGTCTACTAGCTGTTAACTCTTGAGGTGTACTTAATTTTTTATTCAGAGCATTTTTATTTTGCCTTCTCTCTAAATAAATGACTGAGAAGTCTATTGTGGCTCTTGTTATCCTGAGGTTACTTCAAAGACTAGATATGCCCTGAAATTTAAAGAGGGCTGTTTCCTGATGGTTTTACCCTGATATTCTGATTTGGTCTGGATGTTAATGAACAGATCCCAGAAAACTGAAACCTGCAATAGAAATGCACCTTTAGCGGGATTTGCATTATTAACTTTAGTTCAGTCTGATCTGTAGAGAGAATAGTCTTATGTAATCCAAATCTCTGCTGCACTGATCTCCAATACCAGCCTGCAAACAGTAAAACAAAATCCACCTCAGCTCCAGGTTCCCTGTTGATGCTGCCATTGGGTAATACTTGTACCATCTGTGTAGGTTACCCTCATGCTGCTTGACCAGAACAACAGGGAGCACATAATCGATGCCTTCCGGCCCGACATCTCATCTTCGTCCTTCCAGAGGCCCGTCAGCGACATGAACATCGCCAGCGGCTGCCCGCTTTTCTGTCCTCTGTCCAAGCTGGACTCCAAAAACTCCTACATTCGTGACGACACCATCTTCATAAAGGCCATCGTCGACCTCACTGGGCTCTAGAGAAATCGTAAGAGCAGAAATCCCAACTTTGCCTTTTTTTGCGACTAACCTGTTCATCAACCGGCCTTCGTATTAGCAGTAACCAGCACTTCTCTCGGGGGGTGTTGTGTCGTTTGGTTTTGGAATCAGTTGTTGACAATATGCAAGTTATCATTTTTTCTTTGTTGGCTATTCAAGTCCTTTAGTCTCTGTTTTACCAATCAGAAGAACTTTTATGCATCAAAGTTGTGACTATTCACCAAAGTGACTGCAGAACTTTAAACAGCGTTTTTACTAACCAAGGCATTCCAACAACTGTGTAGTGTACTATGTGAAACAAGCTGACTGCCCGCCTCATTAATCCCTCATGAACATGTTGAAGCTCCTGGTGCTTCAGAAGTGGCTCACCGTCAAGGTTTAAAGGAAGCTTTCCTGTAGGCACTAGCTAACGCTCTTGTTATTACTAGTTATAACCCAGAAAATGGGAACTTACTAACCGCTAAGATAACTAACAAACACGCAAGTCCCTGAAAATATTCAGCTTCCTCAATAACACTCATTAAGTCTTCTGTGATCGTTTCACCGATTTCCAACAAGATTGTTTTTCTGGTTACACAAGTTTTCTTCCATCTTAACTAGCTGGTTTGGGATTAATTATAGGGTTTAATAGAGAAAATAACCACACGTGAATCAAGCTGAAAAGAAAGTCGTCTGAGTTGATTAAAAATAAGAAAATGTAAGTTAATAAAACCAAAAACTATCCAGATCTTTTTTTTGTCCCAGATGCTGATCCGAGTGGTTTTAGAACAAGTGTTCCTGGATTCAGACTATCAGTCAGATCCTCTTTGTAGTCGTCGCCTTGTTTGCAAAATCTGTAGCTTTAAGGAGGAGAAAATGAACTACTTGTCAACTGTATTATGTGGTTTAAGTTGGTTTGATGATCATGAAGCAGTTACAGTAACCGGCCGCTGCAGTGTGTTGGGTTTATGTTGTTCCCCAACCTGCAAGAATCAACCAAAGACACAAATTACTTTTCTGCAGAAGAGGGGAGAAGAGCCCAACGCGGAGAACCGCTGGCAAACGCTGTCTGGGATCCACTCCGCCGGCTCTCAGTCCCCAACTGCCTTTTATTATGTCAACAAACAAAGAGGTTGGCTATTTTACATAGTTAGTCATTCTTCCTCGGACATGCTGTTACTCGGACCTAAGGATGACCTCTATAAATTCACCCCTCAGGACACAGATAATGATTAACACAGCTTTTAGCAGAGGAATGTGTAAACATTTCTAACCCCTAAGGAAACAGTTAAGAGTATATCACAAAAGAAAGGAGTCAAGAAAACAACACAGAATAATATGAAAACATAATCTTTCAAATAAAAGTAAATGAACTTAGATAAAAGTAAATGAACTAAGATAATAATTTTCCCAACAAGTCCCAGCATTAATATGGTGCTTGGTTAATGAAAGCCAGCATAATGATATGGGAACACGTGAGCTAAAACACTTGTAGTTTCATATACGTTTATAATTACTGTATGTCTGATTCCACATATGCACATTTCTCCTGCTGGTCTTGTTCTCTGTTTTGATGTGACTTGTTGATAGTTTGGCATTCAACAAATTTCAAAAGTCATGTTCATGAAATCAGCGCTTCGCTTTGAAGATGGTGTAATCTAATAGGACTTCAGACTTATTTAAATAACACGTTTAATACAGGTGTGGAAGCTATGCACAGGAAAAAAATAGGCCATGTTTTAAAACAATTGGCTGCAGAAAAGCATCCAAAGAAATTTAAACACCAAATGAAGCACTCAGATGGTCCATTCTGGATAGATTATTTGAACGAGAAGGAGATCAGAGCTTCTACATCTGAAAGGAGAAATGGAAAACTGAAAAAGTTTATGCTAAAACTAAATCTTCTAAAATACCTGCCCAGGTCTGATTTTGAGTTAACTCCACCAAAAAAACAATCTTCAATCCAGTCGAAATAAACTCCATTACATTTATCACATGGGTGGATAGGAGGTATAGGCCATGATGTTATTCAGACAGTATTTTCATATTTTAACACCAGTGACTGATACTTAATAACATTTTAAACGCATTTCAAACATTTCCACTAAATTTATATTTATCGAGTGGCAGTTTGTTGCAGGCAGTTGCCGGCGGAAACGCTGAGTGAAGATCAGAGGATGGCCCCCAGACATGGCAGACGAAATGAATTGAACTTGACAGAGTCTGGTTTGTGTCATATTTTGGGTTCGCATTGTGAAAACAAATTAGCATCACCTGCCAAGTTGATAACCCAGACGCCACATGACGGTTCTGGTTGTACAATAAAATCCAACCGATTCGGTCAGTTCCTTCTGACCGCTTCACTTGGTGCCAGCAATGTATGCACCAGTACACCATAAAGTGCATAAAATGATTTTTATCGTCTTAATTCCACCTGTAGTATTTTTTTTTTTTTTGCATTTCAAATGATGCACCTTTTATTAAAAAACTGCTGATGATTGACAATACTGAGAGGCAGATTATAATATCTACAGTCAAAGCAATAGATCAGACCACTATTGGCTGTTGTGCTCACTGTTGTGTACTGTCTAACATTTGGTGATGTCATCATTCTTATTTTATATTTCTCTCATAAGCTTTGCTCACAATGTTGTCAGAATTTCTCACACACTGTTGCAGAACAGCGATTGGTCCATGTCTGGCTCTGCTGTTCTTCATTTGGGAATCATTTGTTGAACATCTCTTGAATCCCATCAATTCTATCTGCAGTACTTCTGCTGCTAACGTTTCTGTTTGTGTGTCTTTCCAGTCCTTTTCCTCTGAAAGAAAATCTATGGTGTGAAATATGAATCAAGCCTTGGTTATTATTTTGTTGTCTTTGGTTACACTGAATAAAGGTGGATAGAGAGTTATGGGCTGCTGATGGTCTGTAACGGCTTTATAATCTTCCAACACTTTCTCTCAAAACTATCCCTTCCTTAAAAAAAAGTAGTTGAAGACATTGACAAAATGTAAAAGATTCTAACTTTCTCTAAAAAGACGAAAGAAAAATAAAAAGCAAAGCAAAAATAACCAGAAAGATGACTTCAGAGATGCAGTACAAATGAAGGCTACATGCTGACATGAATTGATGTTATTGAGTCCTGGTATTATTTGAATGTTCCAACACAGTTCACAGAAAAACATTTATATTTTCATTGGATTTTTGATGAGTTGAAACTACGGGTGCACCGATAACAGTTTTCAGGCAGATTAATCTTCAAAAACTTCACCTGCCAATTCCTATATTGGCTGAAATGTTTTGCGTCTGAAATGTTGCTAAATTTAGCAAGAAAATCACTGAGTTGCTAACAGTGGGGTGACAATAGTTAGCTACAAACTTGTAAACATGACCATTCTATCACTCAAACATGGCTCATCGCAGAGCTAAAGAGGACAGTGGTTGATTTTTAAGACCTTTGCTGATGAGATAAGATCGGCTTCACATGTAAGCATCAGCTGATCACCAGTTTCTCCAAATGAAGGAAATTGGAACTGGTAAATCAGTGCACCCCTAGCTGAAACACTTGTTTCCAATCTCTACAAATATATATATATATTTTTGATAAGGCTAACGGGGCGTACAGTGAGGTCAAAGTGTGTCACCTTACATGTCTTCTGGTGTTGATTTTTTTAAAATTTTTGTTACACTTGCATGTTTAAGAGTGTCTTAATATCAGATGGAGATAAACCGAGTACCGGTAAATGCATACAAGCAGTTTTCCAGAGAAATAATCACCCCCCGGAGCTAGAACCATCATAGGTTTGACTCGACTGAAAATTAGTGTTTTGCAAAACTCCAGAGGGTCTTTGGTTAAATATTTTCAATCAGCCACATTTAAACATTTAGGAATTTTAAATGGCACTTAAATATAAATTTTGACTCGGCCACTTTAAAATTATTTATTATTATTATTATTATTATTATTATTATTATTATTATTATTATTATTATTATTATTATTATTATTATTATTATTATTATTTTATTTATTTATGTATTTTTTTGCAAAGTTGAACTTTTTTGTGGGCTTTGGGTTATTTTTCTGCTGCACAACCCATGTGTCATGACCCTAACCCTAACCTTGGCCCTAACCCTACAGCAGCAGGAAGCAGCCCCAGGCATCACATTGCCACCACCATGTATGATCTCAACATCCACAGGATGTTCTCAGAAGTCCTGCTGGTCAGAATTATTATTATTTTTTATTTTTTGTAAAAGTGAGAAGGGTCTTTGTCCCTGAAATTCCTTAGATCAGGACTTGGTGTGTTTTGTTGTTTTTTAGGTGCTTTGTCCAGTTTCATGTTGTCAGATGAGTTTTCTGTAATTTTTTTTGTTTTATTTTTTATTACTGTATTCTTAAAGTGAGTCAGGCTTGGCTGAGACTAGGGCAACCAAGATGCCCTATTGTGGTTAATCACTGTTGATTCATAATTAATAAGGGGGTTGAAGAAGCTTTTGCATAAAGCGATCAGTTTGCTCCGGATTGTTTTTTCTTTCCATAATAAATTAAATCAATTTGGGAAAGCTGCATTTTGTAAATGATCAGGTTGTCATTACCTGGTATTAAAATTTGTAAGACATATCTGAAACATTTAAGAGGAACAAAAACCAGAAGAAAAGTACAGTTTCACGCAGCACTGTAGGAATGGAAACAGAAATCTAATTATCTTCCTTATCATCGACTCGTCTTCTCCACCTTTTAAACGACCTACTTTCCTGGAAAAAGAAGTGCCTGTATTTATGTTATGTAATCTTGAATATTTTTAAATGTGCTATTCTGTATGATTAAGCATAACAGTACTTTATGAACATTGAGTTTTAGAACATCTTATCCTTCAGAATTGTATTGCTTTTCTGTTTTTTTTTTTTTTTTACAACATGTTCTAAAATTTCATGTGACCTTGAATGTTTTTCTTTGCGTGCGGATAGTAGTGAATGTTCAGAGTGAGGCTGGTGAACCAGCATGCTTTTAAACCTCAACACACGCTGATCCATCTCTGTGCATGAGAGGCTTCAGTCGGACATGATGCATAACGTTGGCCACTGGTTCACATCGTTGGTCAGGTTCTGATGTCCTTTTTATGATTTCACTATTGTATTTTATGCAAAGTAAGAGAGTACCTTGAGGGGCAATCGGAGAAGTAAATATATCTAAATAATGTATAGATAATATTTATTGATTAGAAACGTTTTCTGTTGAGGTCATTTGAAAGCATGTTGTAGTTCATCTGGCTCATTCTTGCCGAGCTGCGTCTCCATTCTGACCTCAGCTTGTTGCATTCTCTTCTTTTTCTGAAACAAATTTCCGTTTCTCTTCTCGTGAGTGTTTTTGCACGTGTAGTGATCTCCGTTTTGCACGTTCCAGCAGCCTCAAAATGAAGCCCCTTCTCTTCCTGCCTATACAGTGTGTTCTGGTTGTAGCACTAGCAGATGCTCAGCTGACGTGAGCCTGGATTTCTTGTTCGTTTACAACAAAAGGGCTTCACATTTCATCAGCATCCACCTGACATCACATGCGGGCTTTCGTCCGCGCGGAGGCAGAACCGCGCGGTGGTTCCGTTTGAGCCAGCTGATGTTTCCGTGGGTCAGCGACGCTGACATGTAGGAAGTGCCACACTGCCTCACTGTTCTGCAACAGAATAAACAATGTTTTGATAAATACTGCTTCAGAAACTGAAACTAGTCACTTTTTGCTTTCCCTCCACCTCTGTTCCCTTGGATGTGGGTTATTCCTCTAAAGGCCTTGCTGAGATTAGGATGAAGAGCCTTCATCTGTAGCGGTGACATCAGTCGTACTCGTTCTTTCTGCTGCATTCTGTGGATAGAAAGTCATGTGTTAGTTAACTCTTTGTACAGAGGAAATTTTGTTCCATATTTGTATTTTGATTTAATAAAGATTTTAAAATGCCCTCCATGCAAAGACTCTGTGTTCTGATGTTTAGACAGATCAATTTTAATAAATTGGAAAATCATTGAAACGTTAATTTATTTTAGACAGAAACATGGATCCATTATACAGATGATAATTCAACTCCATCATGTCAGATGAGTAAAAAAAAAAACATTTTAATACAGAAATGTGGCCCTATTGAAAAGGACTCAGTATCTGGTTGTGGCAGAATGAATGGACAAATTACTGCATCAGTGCAGCATAGCATGGAGGAGATCAGCCTGTGGTTCTCCTGAGGTTCTGGAGTCCAGATTGCTTTGATAGCTCCCTGCAGGCCTACTGCACTGTTAGTCTGCTATCGTCTTCCTCTTAACAGCCCAAAGATTCTCTGTGGGGTTAAAGGTCAGGGCAGGTTGTAGACCAATCAAACACAGTAATACCATGATCATTGGACCAGCTTTTGGTACCATAGTCAGTGTGGGTCAGAATCAAGTCCAGATGGAAATCAATCCAGCCTCTCCATCCAGCTGGTCAGCAGAGGGATGTGTTCTGAAACTTCCTGCTAGAAGCTGCATTGACTGTGGAGTTCAGAAAACCCAGTGGACCAGAAACCAGCAAAGGACATTGTAACTCAAACCATCACTGACTGTGGACATGTCCATTGGACTTGGACTCTGATCCTCCAAGACTGGACCTTGACTTGATGATTGTTTTACTTCCATCTGAAAGCAGGACTTTGGAATTAAGTTCTGGTTCTCCTCAGCCCAGGTTGGATGGTTCTAACGTCTTTGAAACAGTTGCAGCTTGTGTCCCAGTCGCTCTTTGACCTCTGACTCCAGCAGAATTATGACTCTCCTCTAAACTCTTGAATAGGTTTTGTTTTTGTTGTGGTTATCCCTGTTGCTGGTTCACATTGTTTTACAACACTTCATCTTTCCTCTCTCGATCATGGATTCAAGCCTCTGAACTGCCAGCTTCTTCACTCTTGACCTTTTGTCTTCCTCCTGATCATGTAGACCATAAAAAATATGTTTGTTTTCTCACTATATTTTCATTTCCCTCCAGCAGTAAATATCCCAACGTGGTCATGTGGTCATTTTGACCACATGAGGGCGCTCTGAGTTTCCTTACTAATCACCATCATGCTGAGCACAACGCATGACCCAATCAGTGGAAGACATGCATGACTTCATATGAATAAATAAATAAAATAATACCAGAGCATCTTTTCAGAAACAATTTGAAGCTTAACAGGTAGTGAAGTTATTTTAATTTTTTTCCCATCCAATTCAACAGGGAGAGAAAATATAACATTTGCTGCTTTTAATAACAAGGTTACAACCAGGTTTGGTTTTGTACTTGGATTGTTTAGATGGGTTTTGCTTTCTGTATTTCTTAGCTCCTCTTCTTTTATTTAGATCAGCTATGTTTGGTTTTACTTCAGTTCACTGCTTTCTTAGCTTCTTTAGTTTCATCATTGTTCTGTGTTATTTGGTTTGCTACGGTAGTCCTGTTCCTGTTCTTTAGTTACTGCTTCCTCTGGGATTCTAGTTTATTTCTTGTGTCTATTATTAATTAGTGTTAGATTTATTTTCTCGTCCCCTCTCACTTACTCATTAGTCTGGTTCGATGTGTTTCCAGTTTGTGTTCCTTTGATTATATTTAGCTTTGGACCTGGCTTTCTGTGGAATTTTTGTGAGTTGTTGTTCATCATCATATTTTCATTATAAACTCTATTTCTCTGCCGTTCTGCATTTGGACCCTCAACCAACCACCACCAAGCATGACATGTTTCTGATTTGCCTTTTATTTTGCTGGGTATGAAACAAAGCATATGAAATGTGACAAATGTAAAAAGATCAGACATCTTCAAATTAGATTCTGCAACCACAGAAAAAAAAAAAAAAAAACCCAGACAATAACAAAAAAAAAGAAAAAAAAGAATTTGAGATGATGAACAGCTGAGACATTTTATGGTTACAGCTTATGTTATTTTTCTATATGCATCATGTAGGAGGCAGGGCTTTTGGAGTTTAAGTTGGTACCTGTAAACCAAATGAAAATAATGTGAAATTATGTCAGGAATGTTTCCAGTTCTTTATTCAGAAAAGAAATGAGCTCTATTAAGTGTTCTGTAACACAAATGTGATAAATTTAGCACAAAAGGGAAACATTAAACTGCAAAACATTGCATAGATTTTATTATCTTGACTGAATTAGAAAATCAGTAAAAAATACTATTTCATTTAGCTTGTTAAAATTAAGATGAATGAACTGCTGAAAATCTTGAAGTAGTTCTCAAAAAATTTTTTAGAAATGGGATTTGTAACTGACTATTCATAAATACCAACATAAAGATGACAGTCAAATTATATCCAGAGAGCTTTTCTTGATTGATTCTCCAGGATGTTTGAGGTCTAATATCAGCGGATGTACTTCCAAATATGTCAATCTTCCAGCAGCGGTTCTTAGTAATTTTCCTGAAAATATTAATGTGGAATATGTCTGCTGAACATCTGGTAAAGAACTCAGAGCATCCCACTGGCAGACTCCTTCAGAAACTCTGTTCAATCCATCTTTTCTAAGAGATGGATGTCCGAGCAGCCAGTATCCAGGAAATGATGTGTGACGAGCATTGAGAGGAAAGGTGAGTTCATCTTGTGGTTCAAAAAAACGTCAGATTTATTTTGATTCCGAAGGTTGAAGTGAGGATGCAGCCTAAGCTGGTAAGATTCAGTTCAGGTTCATGTTTCCACCCCGGCAAAAATCAACCAAACATATCAAGAATAAAATCACCCACTTTTTGATTGTTTTACTGAATTTCCATAGTTAAAAATTTTTATCTGACTGTCAGAATTACCACTCAGATTGGTTCAGGTCAGAGTAGCAGTTTCTGTTGAGAGATTTAGAAAATAGCAAAGTAGTTGACAGAATAAAGATTTTCAGAAGACAAGAAATTAAAAAAAAATCTCCCCTGACAATTA